GAGACTCCTTATCTTCTGTTAACACTGCAGCTGCTGCTGGGGTTGTTTCAGTGGACTTCAAACTGTGTGACTGCATCAGTCTCCTTTCACGGTTCAGTTTACTTGCACGCTTCAGCCTACTTGCACGCCTCTTCGCAACACTTTGAGGAGGAGGGGCAGGGTCGGTGAGAGAATGGTGGTATTCAGTGGACTCTACAGAACTCATGTTGGGAAAAACAATAGAGGAAGTAAAACTAGACGTAATTGAAACAGGGATAATTTATCACTGTTCTTGAGATATTTATATGACATGAATTGCTAATTCGTAACACAATTAGTTATGGTACTGACAGTGATCTGAGCCCTAATTAGGTCTAATAATTGGGTCCTAGAACTCATAACTGGGTAGTTACAGTCATGAATGTGATTCAATTATTGTCTTAATCATTATATAATATATTAATGACTTAATGAGGTCAGATGATCCCGGTCTCAAATTCAGGACGTGCCCTGATCACAAGCAAGCTGGACAGCAGCAGATTAGATGGCAACTAAAATGAGACTAGACTCTAAAATGAGACTAGACTCTAAAATGAGACTAGACTCTAGATGCAGCTAATTTTATCTAACAGTCTTTATAACACTTTAATTACTACACTTGAACTGAGAGTTCGTGGATATTAGATATGTTTTAAACCAATTACAACACTACAAATTTATTACATTTATTGAGGACGTTACAGAAGGAATTCATTTAATGTAGTTTGAGGAGTCCTCATTCTCCTCACGTCCAACAATGGCGTTTCTCTTGTCGCTTATATGTACAGGGTGTACCGCATAAAGTGTTAGCAATTGCTCCTTCATTTTATATCGTTTCTCAAAAAAGTCATACTTTCTGTGGTACACCCTGTAATATGATAATGTCATGTCAGTAATGCTGGAAATCGCCCAGTGAATGACACACTTGACACACCCAGATATTTTGGAAATTCTGGTATTTGTCCATTTAACCATGAGCTATGACAGGTATTTTGCCAGGAATGCCTATTTAACCATGTAATGGGCAGCGTGTGGAGGAGAGTTTACCACTCTGTGCACAGAGCAATAAACCACAACAGCTCTTCACTCTAATTATTTAAATGTATTTCCTCAGAGAGAGAGATTGGCAGCACATTCCACCAGAACAGGCTGGGTAGTGGGGAAGATACCAGATTTTACCAATTGTACCCCCGCTAATTTGGCTATTATTAGATTTTACCACCCAAGTTTTGGTTACATTCCTGGATCACATGTCACCCCAGGCCAGCAACTGGAGCTGTCATTATATTGTACAGTTTTAGTGCCGAAAAACATTTCCAATCTGACAGGAATCTGACAGAAATTTGTCAATTTAAATCAGGAATTTGTCGAGTTAAATCAGGAATTTGTCAAGTTAAATGTACCGTCAATGAACGAGAAACCTGCTAAATATCAATTTTAGTTAGCGGTCAAATTAATCCGCCCCTCGTAAATGTGCAGGTTCGGATTTAGACAACACGTTTATGATTAATGAGGATTGTGGAGATGACCGTCCTTTATTTGATTTCAAGTCCAAGTCCACAGACATTGGTTAGAGAGGACTGCAAATTTAATAAGTTAATAAGAGTAAACCACACACTCTGCTGTCCAGCCTCTAAACATCTGCACACTAACCTGGAGCCGGAATTAAGCAGCTAACCACTATTACATACCCACTAATCATGTAATTATACCTACTAATTATGTAATTATGCCAACTCATTATGTAATTACGCTATTATAATGATTATTATTATTAATTAGCCTGATAATTTATATAGAGGTGGTAAGGTCGGGTGATCAGCCCGCACACATTGCTAACTTAACCAGGTTACAGCGTTTCAAACTAATCCCCTCTCATAATCACATAGAGAGAGGGTATGTCTCATAATCACATACCCCATCTCACACACGACCCCTGGTTACCTGGTATAAACCTACAATCCTACATTTAGACTCAAATTTCAGGTTACAACCTGGGATTATAATTTAGGTTTACTCGTATATAACACGGTATCTTTATATCTCGTATCTTATTTTATGTGAGTAAAGTTAAATCCTGATTTGATTTTAGGAGGGTGAGGGGTTTGTGGTTTTTCTGCTGAACATTCCTGAACACCAGCAATCCTGGTAATCAGTACTTTAGGTCTGCAAAAAGGAGAATATTTATGTTTTGAGCCGGAAATTAAACCTAATGATCATGTTTAACCAAAATCATGAGTGCATAATCACACGCAGCAGTCAGGACAGTGCACGTTTTATTTTCTGTTTTTCTCTAACAGTGGTCAACACAGCCATGTTGGTTTTCCCCAATAATGATAATCAAATCACAACACCATATCAAACCATATTTATACAATTATTGGGATAAACAAGATTATAGTTATCTTTGTAAAGGTGTTTACATCTGCTGATAACGGTCTGAACTTTAAAACCCGTATCCTCAAATGTGATTTTCAATTGTTTACAGTTCTACTGTGTACAATGTTGAACGTATGTGACTTTGTCTGATAATATCAGGAGACCTGGCGAGTAGTAATAATCAGAGTAACAATACTGGAGTAACAATACCTGTATTATGTAGGAGTAATGTTCACATAGACACGTAATGAACTGATGAACTGTTCATTAGAGATATTATCATTTAATTATTTCCACCTCCTGGTCCTCACGTAATGATTCCGGTCAATGCTCTGATATTATTAACGATATCATGTTTTAGTAGGATATTCTTAACGGATATGCAGTAGTAAGACATTGGGAAAAACGTCGTCATTGTAACTTCCTGATTCATGAATTCTGATCTTTATTCAGATTTCTGAAACTCAAAAAAAAAAGGATGGAAGTGTTCATGACGGATACGCAAGCCTAACCAACCAAACTATCTTGTCAGTTGATTCCTAGATTGAGAAATATAACCAACTCATAGAGGTCTCTCCTTTACATTTAAAAAAATGTTTGAATAAAATAATCCTCATAATTTCTGACTGTATAAAATATACAGGTTACTACATCATAGTATAGCTGTAGTATAATACTTGACCTATCTAGGTATAATTTTTACCCCAACATGATCTAGACAAAAAGTAATAGTCTAGGAAGTCTGCCTCAACAGTGAACATAATATATATAGTGTCGACCACACCCTGTTGACTTGTAACTTGTAATGTACTAACTGTGTTGTGATTGGTTTACAGGATCTTATCGTATTTGATAATCCACTTAAACCGCGTGCAGGTGTCAATTACATTTAGCAAATCAAAATTTGTCACTGTAAAGAAAATGTTTGCGGTTAAAACGATTATGCTGAAACCATTTGAATAAATTTTCAACAATGAACTTTGTGTGATGTATGTTAAGATGTGATACGTGATTTCCGAAATCACTGATTTCGTTAACTATGCAAATAACGGTAATATAATGGTGATTACATGGTATTAATGATGATGTCATCTTGTCAAGTTATTTATCATCTAGATTAAGGCACACTATCACAGTGTACCACATAATATCTTTATCTACTCATATTTATTTTGTCAGTACAACCCAAGATTTTATTCGTGTGCACTGCACTGTGTTCATTTGTTGTTTACTTGAGGCTTCAAATATCATCAGACTTGATCAGTAGACCGGGCGATTAGGAACGTATTTATTTATGGCTTATTTATTTATCAACAGCACGTTGTGCGGTTGAATTCTTCAATCAGTATGATTAAGTAACTATGGCTACTTAATTAAAGTATGATAACATGTTATTGTTATAAGTAAATAAATGTATAATATGTAATGTAAATAAATAAATCTTGTTCAAGAACACGTGATGATTTAAATTGCACTGCTTCGTTAATATTTCATGTATCTTAAATTCAATTGTTGTTACGTTTTCATCAGACTTGTGGTCTCTCTGACATGAATTTAACAATTTTTATGAATTTAAGAAAAAGAAAAAAATTAATATTATGTAATATTATCATAATATTAACTTTACAGTAAAATGTGAGGATGGGGTGCTCAAGCGACGGAATTCATTTTACAATAAAGTAAGGTAAGTAAGCTTCATTAATAGTGTGCAACATTTATTTTAGATAGTTGATTATATCGGGACTTCTCTTTACAATGACCAAAACATGGGACCACCCAGGGCCGTGTGCAATGTCAGAACAGCGGAATAACTTTAGGAGACGATGGGGACTACTCTCTCTACTTATTTTAGCCATAATATTTCCCTTCGCAATTATAGGTAAGCATGTTTTTGACTCATTATGTAAGATTTCTGATTTTATAGTGCTCATGCTGTATACACATGCTGTATACACATCATTTAGTAATTAGACAATTAATGTGTACTATTGCACGGTAAAATGTTGAAAACCGATTTCATAGCCATTTTCTTTTAGCTACGACAATTAAGGTTAAATGGGTCTGGTTTAGTTTCTGTTAAAGTAACAGGCACTGTCAACTACTTTTAGGTAACAAAGTTTCTCTCTACCAGGAATATTCCTTATATCACCCTTGTTCATCATCCTCCTATTCTGTTGTCTATGTTGGTGTCTACTAGCTGTTTGTTTAGTTGAGGTAGAAGATAGATACATACGAGTAGAACACACACCCCGACACAACGGACCACCGAGTGGGGACTGTGGACCTCCCGTGGGCCCACTGCCTCCTGAGCAGAGACCAAAGGGAGCTTAGAGCAAGTGTGGGCCCGCTGCCTCCTGAGCAGAGACCAAAGGGAGCTTAGAGCGAGTGTGGGCCCGCTGCCTCCTGAGCAGAGACCAAAGGGAGCTTAGAGCGACAGTCTTAGAATGTGACATGTGTAGCTTAGAAGTTTAGTTCTCTAAAGAAAATAGCAACATATTGTAAATAATATCTCAATTAAAAAGAATAGAAATCAAAATTGTAATTATGTATTAAATTACTTCAATTTAATGTGCGATGAATTGAACAGTATTGTGCGTTCTTACCTTTTTTAAGAGTTTTGGTTGCAGCAGGTGCAGGGTTGAATGCTGCAAGTTCATTTATCAGGTCGGAAAAATTCTGTCCTCCATTTGTGGTTTCTGTGAAATAAAATTAGGTAACAAAACTATCAGTATACAACTTATAACAGGAGGAATGCAGCAGGTTATTTTGAGGGGCATCACCCTTTGTTACTAGGACTTCATTTTCAATGTAAAATTATACATACTTCGATGATTTTTATTATTTATTAACATAAATTAACACTGTATTCATATATTTGATAGCATAACCTGCATAATAATATAAACTAATACCATTAAAAATTTACCATCTTTGATATCCAGAACATCAGGGTCTTTCTTTTTTATTATCTCCTAATGTTTTATTAGAGATTCATTTGATGTTAAGTTGAGATTACTTATTTATAGAATATCCTAGTGATTGCACAGTGAAGATGTTTAAATTTATGTTTAAATTTATGTTTAAATTGATATTTAAATTGTAAAACTATTTAAAAGTAAAATCAAAATTGAATTACAAATAACAGTGCATATTATTTTGATTCAATTCTGTACTATGTTGTTTACTGTGATATTCACAACGAATAACAACAATCAAAGCTATCAAGTAACACATGTGATACATGATTAAAAGACTCACCTTTTTGCGATTGGGTTTGAAATCTATGTCATCTAGCTCACCAATCATAGAATCAATTTCATCAAGTATAGACTCCATGGCACAAATAATCTGAGGTCATGAGCTACCTACAAAAGAGTGAATCAATTAAGATTTGAGACAAGTTATCAATGATCATAAAACTTATCTAGAGCTTTTATTTTTTGTAAGCTATCATTGTTTGGGTTTTTAAGTCACAATTTGAATATAATAAGACCCAACTGACAAATAGTGTACCATCTTTAAACAAAACAGTGAGGTTAACTCTAGACTGAGAACCTACAATAATTTATGTCAAAATTCACAATATACAAATTACCAATCTTATCTTCTACAAGCAATCACTCTGAAATATGCTTGATTTTTACATAACTGCACAAACATAACTGTACAAACAATCCGTACAAAAGTCAGAAGAATTTAACTTAGGTAAGGGACACATTTTCTTTTTGCTCTTCTAGTAAGTAGGGTCGGCTTCCTTGTCGAGCATGTGTAGCCTTCATGTAAGGATATTGGAGCACGAAATTTCATTATCTTGTAGAGCTCGAGGTAACAGTGGTATGTATAGAGATTTTGGATAGCTAGGATATTATTATGTTTGAATAGCGGTTTAGTATGTTCTTTTATGAAAAACTTGTTGTTAAGTCTTTGGTGCCCTATTGGTCTGGTACGTGCACAGGTCTTAAACTTATCAAGGTAAGCCTCCCTATCACCGAACATAACCCTAAGACAGTACTTCTGGGCGGTAAACAGAGAGCTTATACGATGCTTCGCTGCCCCACCCCAGACAGATATACAGTAAGAGAGATGGGATTCAAACAAAGTATAGTATAGTTGTTGATGTAGAAATTCTGGAAGGGAGCAGCGAAGTCGACATAAGGTGGAAGTGGAATGATTTAGATTTCGCTTAAGGGCTTTAATGTGTTCTTCCCATGAAAGGTTTTCATCAATTATAACTCCAAGGAATTTAGTGGATGAAACTTTTTTTATCGGAAAGTTGTCTATAGTAAGTCCTACTTCATCATCTGATAAAATCTCTGACTTAGAACCTTTCATGGGAGGCTTGAAGTGTATGTAGCAGCACTTGGACATATTTATATGTAACTTATTTGCTCGCATGTAAGACTGCAATGATGAAAGAAGCTTATTTCCACGTTCATAGGCCTCACGTTTTGTTTTTCCTACAACAAATATATTGGTATCATCAGCAAATGTAACAAATGATCCTAGTTTAGAACTGTTTGAGATGTCGTTCATGTAGAGGAGAAATAGGAGAGGTCCAAGTATTGAACCCTGCGGGACACCAAATTGAATAGATAGGGTGTCTGATTTTTCTCCCACAACTTCGGTGTATTGTAGTCTATTTGTTAAGTAGCTTTTTATAAGGTTATTTGCTACTCCTCTAATTCCACAGCCCTCTAATTTTATAAGTAGTGTTGAATGGTCGATAGTGTCAAAGGCTTTGCTTAAGTCAATGAATATTCCTAGAACATGATTCTTGAGTTTAAGAGATTTTGTAATTAAATCTACAGAGTAATTGACTGCATGAGATGTAGAATGGGATTGCCTAAATCCAAACTGTGTCTCCGATATGGCTCCTTGAGAGCTAACAAATCCGTATATTCTTGAGTAAATGAGCTTTTCGAAGATTTTACCGAAGACAGACAGTGTGGAGATAGGACGGTAGTTCTCAATTTCTTCAGGGTTACCTTTCTTATATACAGGTGTTATCTTACCAGTTTTCAGGACATCTGGAAATATACCTTCGGCCATAAGGATATTGAAGTAATTTGATAAGACAGGTGCAATTATATGAGATGACTTTTTTATTACACTTATTGGAATGTCACTAGCTTTGCCGTTTTCAAACTGATTTATAATTTTCAATATTTCGTTCGGGGAGCAATCTTCTAGCATAATAGTTTTTTCATTTCTTTTATTCAGGAAGTCATAAAAAGTTTTCATGGGTAATATAGGCATGCCATGAGATAGGTCATTAAGCGTCTCATTCAGCTTGGGTGCAATAGAGACAAACCAAGCATTGAATCCATTAGCGATTGTCCTTCTATCAACTATTCTTTGATTATCAATGATAAACGGGGGTTTGGTTTGTCTCTTCTTCTTGCCTCTAAGTTCATTGATAATTTGCCAAGTTTTCTTGCTGTTTTCACAGTTGTTGAGGATTTCGTTGCAGTAATGCGAACGTTTGGCAGCTTTAATGATGGCTTTAAGCATCCTACGATAATTGCTAAATACTTGGTAGAACAAGAGATTACCACCAGGGTTCTTATTGGTAACAGTGTCAGACCACTCCTTACGTAGTTCATGTTTTCTTTCTACCGACTGGATGATACCGTCTGTAATCCATGGGTTGAGTTTCGGAGTTCTTTTTGTCACTTTTGGTACTTCCAGTTTACAGTGTTTATCAAGTGTCTGGTCAAAACATGCCGTAAACTCATCAAATTGTGTCGAAGGAGTCAGCTGGTTTACCTTCACCTCAAGTTCAGTTACAAAACTTTTTAATTTGGAGCTTGAGTAATCATAATATCGGACATGTTTCTGGGGCTCTGTATTGCGAGGGGTCTCTGCTGAGGTAAAGGTAAATATAGGGGCATGCTCATCAAGCCGCTCCTCGATAACACCTGATAAGACTACATTCTCTATTTTATTTGTTAAAATGTTATCAATACATGAACTTTTACAGTTTTGACGAAAATGTGTTGCAATGGATATAGTCGGATAGAAGCCATTTCTGTACAATGTATCCTCAAAGAGCTGGGAACTGGTAGAAATATTAAGTATGTTTGAGTTAAAGTCGCCCAACAAATTGACAGTTTTTCCATTTAGCTGTCTTGCAATTAACTCCAGCGTTTCACAAAAGCTGTCAAAGCAGCCATTTGGGGGTCGGTACATGACTCCATGAACAATTTTGCAGCCTGCGCTATCTGTGGTTTCAACAAAGAGGCTTTCAATATTTGGAGTACAATGTGATACTTTTTCTAAGACCACAGTGTTTAGATTGTCAGATACATAGAGTGCAACACCAGTGCCTTTCTTCTTGCCCGCCAATGTTTCCCCATAGAATCCTGTGTATGTTGGAATTTGATACAGACCCTGCTGCGCAGGATCAGTATTGGTTTCAGCAAGGCCTATCATATCAAACGAGTGTCCTATACTTCTGAGCTCAATCAAGAAGCTATCAAAGTTGGATGCATTTCCATCCACATTGTAGAATAGAGATGATAACATGGGTTTTTTTAAGGAATTAAGCTGCTTAATTGCATTTAGAAATTCAATTTTAGAGTAGCGACGACAGCGTTCAAGTACAAGGGAATACGATGCAATCAGGGTATCCTCCTGGTTCCTATTTTCATAGAATCTGTCAGAGTCATAAGATTCTTCATTAGATGGAAATGGATAGTATCGTTCCTCTGCAGAACTAGCACACTCGTAACACATCCACAGACCATTTTTGCAAGAATATTTGGCAGATTTGAAGCATTTGGTATGGATTGCATTATTGCAGTTTTCACACTCCAGTAAAGGTTGTCCAATGTTAATAGATCTGCTGCATGGGCCACACACATCTTTAATCAGTTTTATATTCATTTTTACTAAGTGGGGTTGTTAGACCCCACTGACTGGTTGTGTTTTCCACGTCTTGTCCACTCTTGCCTCGCTCTCACATACACCCAGTGCTTCACACATCTCACAAATTTTGCAATACCATAAATACCTAAATGTATATCATCACCACTTCTGGTCAGATTAGTGGCAAGGAGTCCACTACTGTCCAGAAAGTGGCCAACTCCAATGTGCCATACAGTCTGGTTAAAGTTGGCACTCAACAATTCATCGACTAGTCGGTTGAAGATCATGATGTTCTTGTTCATTTGGGGCAGTCTGGTTGGGAGGACTGCGGTGACAAAGAGTTTGATTTTAGGGGAGAGCTTTTTTATCTGTTCAATCTTCATGCGGAGAATGTCAACCAGCTGATAGATTGCATTCTCTCCTCTAAGGTTGTCTACTCGAAGGTCATTTGTACCACATACAATAACAGCATTGCTGTATCCGATACAGTGACATGGGTCAATCAAACCAACTTTGCCCGCCTTAACTCTTTCGCCAGGGAAAGACTGACCCATAGTACCAACACCGCTCCCAAACTTGATAGTTTTGGTGTTGGAATCTCCAAGTATGATGGTGCTTCTTCGAAATTTTTTGTCAACTGTTCTAAGGGTAATTGAGTAACGTCCTATGGACGGGGTTACCTTGGTCTGTTGGGTAGCTTTAATACCATGTTTGAACCATGCCTGTGAGGAACGTGTCATGATATAAACTGAGTTTGATTCCAGGGACATTTCAGTGTTTTTTGTGGGTGTTTGTCCTTCGTGGATGGGCATGAAACTTATTTTTCTGACCTCTCCTATAGAAATTGTGGCTATGTCAGAGTCAGAGTCTACTTATTTGTCAGGCTGACCCACCTGATAACCATAATACAAGATCAACCAAAATTTTTAACATGATTACTCCAAAAATTAGAATGGATGACTTTACCATGAGTGTGATGTGTTTGCGGGGAAAGCTTAAACGTGCACTATTAAATAATCAACACAGCCACGCCCCGCTTGATTGGACAATCAAAGATTTTGACTGCAACAATATTGTCTTCGAAAGATCACTACTTGCTGGTCACACACATGTCAGCGAAATTCCCCTAGTCTAGTGTTTTCCAAGTCTTGTTCTGTGAGAAAAGTATGTGTGAGAAAGTCTTTAATAAAATAAAATGAATGTATATTTTTGAATTTTTAACATTTAATTTGATAATGCAGTATAAAGAAATTTTTAATTAGCACTGTATAGTTTAAGATATTTATATTAGCTTATTATAACCATTGATACAACGACCATAATTTTTCAACAGCTCTCCAATATCCATCTTAAAGTTGCATCTTATATCCTCAAACTACACAATTTAAACTTAGGCATATATATAGTGTAGACTTTCTGTCACAACAAGACTGTAACCCATAGTAACAAACACAAACAGAACCCCTAACGTCTGCTAACAATTTTCTTCTGATCCTCATATGAGCCCTGTCTCTAAAAACTCAACTGAACTAGCGTTTTGGTGTGTGCAAAAGCTTTCAGGCACGCACATTCCCTGCCCCGTTAGTTGCCTGTCCCTTCAAAATCAAACTAACAGTCAAGGACAAAAAGTCATACATCAAATGAGCATTATATTTTTATAAATTGTTTTACATCTCTTTACTCTGTAAAATGTGCTAAAAATTAAATTTCTTGTTTCATTGAAAAATTTCTTGTTTCATTGAGTAATATGATTGCAAGAACAGAATGACATTTGGAGCACAATTTAGGAAGCATATGATTTAAAATCATTGGGATAAACAGCAAGAAGCAGAGGTTCAGTTCAGACAATACTGCACTAAGCCCTATTCATTGTGATGGCAGGTTTGTACCTCCCATTTAGGAGGCGATGTTATATGTTTGTTTAATTCGGTCAGAATGTATAAAAATTTCGCCATGCCAGTCATAATCTTTCAGACACTAAAGATTTGAGGAACTTTTAATTGTTGAGCAAGTAATTGCTCTGATATCTCTGACGACAGTGACACTTTTTTTTTCAGTGATGACTCGTTAAGAGCACTAATTCCGACCACCCGGTCGAAACTCGAACCGTACCGAAATCAACTAATTTAAGACCCATGTGTATAGCCTATGTCCTGGCCTACAGCATCTAAACTAATGGCAGAGACTCAATGCCTTAAAATTGATGTCGTTGCAACGAAGGAGAGAACGATATACCATCATCCACATGTGGAAAGTGCTGCACGGCAAGTGTTCAAATGATGTCAACATCCAGTTCTCCGCAACACTCCGACATGGCCAAAAGGCAACTATTCCCACTTTGAATAAATCTAGCTGTCAGCACAACCAAACGCTCTACGACAATTGATCGTTTGCAGTAATTGGACCTCCATTGTGGAACTTAAATTAATCCCATCAAACATGCATCCTATCGAAGATCCCCTGCACTTTAAAGAAATGCTTACAACGTTTGAGAAATCATTCCCGGATGAGCCTCTAGTGGCAGGATACAGCTGTCGAAATGGAAACTTGTTACTGGATTGTAGTGGAATGAAGGCAACGGTCGCGGTCTTGCTGTCAGGGTGGTCAGCAAATCTGATGACTCGATAGAGGATACTATGAAGCAGACCAAAGTTACCAAAAAGTAAAAAGCTACTCAAATATTATTGTAGGTTTATAACCTACCTAAGACGCACGTTGAGTTGGACTTCACATAGCCATGTGTATACGCATACTGCGTGACGCGCTTGTTTCACAAGTTGTTTCTTTTGCTGCCTTCGGCGGTCGCGCGCTACTGCAAGCGAGAGGGCTCTGGTTAGAGCAAGAGTTGGACTCAAATAGTTTACGAGTATCACTCGTCAAAAATATTAATGCAATATGAAAATTGAAAAACCTACTCCATTGTCAATAAAAATTGCAGCTGATTAAACGAATTAAAAGATTGAAAAGTCAAATTATAATTTTAATGTCTGATCCAATATAAAATATAACATATAAATTTACGCAAAAAAATGTTGTGGTTCATACAATTTTTATTTTATTTTCGTTTGTTATTTTTGGAATGTTTACAATTCACAAGTTAATTTTATTAAACACTATTGCAAATGTTTTTAAAAATTTGTTCCGATCAGTAAACACTACATTACTTCAACTATTGTAGCGCAATGCACTACTAAGCTGCGCCGCGCGCCGCGCATCAAATAATTCTTTTCGCAACCGCACACTTCGGTAGACCACATTTCGGTAAATTGGTTGTAGCGCGATGCACTACTGGGTCGCGCGCGCATCAAATAATGCTTCTCGCAACGTATGCAGATCGGCGAGATGCGAAGGATTGACATCGTGAATCAAGTAAATTGGCAAAATGCACCGCTGGCCTCGCCGAGCTGTGCAAGATTGACATCGTGATTAACTACAACTATGATTAAAAACAAATCATATGATAACTTTTTGAACAAAAGAAATTAACACTGCCCATTGTTACAACGGATTAACTCGGTGCGCGCTTTTTTGTTTCACTTGCCTTTGACACAATGGGACACGTTGCAACCCTTTCTCGCGCGCGACGCGAAGCTCGCGGCGCGGTGGCCTCCTCTAAGAAAAGATAAAAATATACAACGTGTAGCAACACTTGCCGGTGCGTCCTACTTCAAAAATTTTTAACGAGTAACGTCGGGTCATCAGCCGTCAAAAAACATAAACATTTAAATTTAGTAGAGATTAGACTGCTAGGTAATTTTATTACAGCATGAAAATGTTAACTTTGCCTGGCACCCCAATTTTTGTGGGCGGCGCTCTTTTCAAGTTTCACGTGAAAGAACCAAACAATAAATTAGCTAGCTAGGTAAACGTTGGCTGTATTTTGAAACTTGGTGGCATAATTTATGAATACGATCACTTGCTACAAGTCATTTAATATAGTGTAGCAAATGCTTTTTGTTGCATAGAGATAAAGTTTGTTAAATTAGTGTAATTAATGGCCAAAGGTATTTATACGTTTTTAATGCACTGTGAGGATATTTTGCAAACAAAGATGTGTGATGATATGATTTCAAAAATGTTACTTACTTACTTACTTATCGGAGTTTTGGGTTCAGTTTTTCATGCCGATTGAGCTAGGACAGCACGTTCAATGAGGTTCCAACAAATGTCATGTCAAGTTCTAAGGTTAACAGTTGGTTTTCGTGACCAAGCAATTTGATAAAAAGTGTAAATCAAGTGCGTTTGCTTCCATCATCAAAATTTCCAGTTGACAGAGAGATATTAACGATGTGACAGATGATAGGTAGTAGTAATTCAATATGAACGGACGAGGTCTCGATTAGACATTGATATCGCTGATCAGTGGTCATATAGCTCTATTTTGACCGATCCTATGGGTCTAACTTTCCTGATTATCCTTTGGATTGCTCTGAATTATTCCGTTGCAGCGGGTATGTTTAAAGACACATAATGTATAGTATAACAATTAGTCTGTCAAATTAGTCTGTATTGTATGAACTTCTTGTGGAAAGAAAGTTCACACTATTTTGAAAACTTTATAACTAATGGACATTCTTTTACAGGTGCTCTATCCAACTGCGCAGTGAAACAACTTGGGTGTTGGGCTGACAAATCAAGCAGGGCTATAGTTGGTGGGGTCAGATTCATATCTGACTATCCTATTAAGGATTGTCAGAAATATGCAGCTGACAGAAAATGGACTATATTTGCAATCCAATACAGCAATGAGTGTTTTACCGCTGCTAATGCAGGAGACACATACTGGAAATATGGTGCTTCACTTGCATGTAGTACAAATGGAAGGGGCGGAACGTGGGCTCAAAATGTTTACAGCATATCCTGTAACACAGACAACGAGAGAAAAGTGTTTCCAACCGCAGCGATAGTGATATTAGCGATAATGGGGATTGTTTTTATCTGCTTTGTAGCCTATCGGATATACAGAACAAGGCAGTCACCAAATAAACTGCTCATTACATCAGATTGTACGGACTATGTTGTGATTGTTAATGAACAAAACGTGCCAATTGACCCATCGGAAGACCCACACATGACCACACCAGGAACACCACCAAGGATTGCATTTAAAAATGCACTATTTACTGCAATGAGAATTACATCAGACTCAATCAAAACTAAAATTGTTGAAAAAATTAGATCCCTAGCTATGGAGAGACAATAGCTAACGGAAATTATATTATATGAGTATATCTCATGATAAATGAGATGGATGTGGATGCTTTTACCTTTGTGGCTGACTTAACATTCCACAACCTTGATCCTGTTTGCGACTGTCTACAATTAATGTTGTTGTAAAGTTCTCCTTTTCGTGAAAGTTCTGTATATAATTGGTGATCTGAAATAGCTTCATAATAGGTTCCTTGACTGACACTGCCAGTCAGCAGAGAATTTAAGTTGCAATTCAATCATCTCATACACTTCCAATAATGGGCATGACATCTAATAGTGGTCTTTTCGAACACCTTTTTCTCGACCAATAAGTCAAGTTACAAGCAGTTAATAAGAAAATATTTTTACCCTCCATCTCGTATTGTCAAAAGTTATAATCATTAATTATACTCGATTTATTTGATTTATAGAAGTATTGAAATTATTGAATCTCCTCAATATCCTTAGCATCATTTATTTACTTGAAGATTCATGTAGGTGATGACTAGAAATGGAGTCACCAGAAAGCCTAAGTACCCCATCATTAGCCACTGTATTCTTTGATAAGTTTGAGAAGGATGAACTGCAGGAGTTACTGTCTACTAAACCGCATGACTGGTTGTTTGCTCAGAACATTGTTGATGAGAAGGTAATGTATAATTTAATTGCTATGATCACATTGAACTTCTAACAACTTAACCAAAACCCATGTCAAATCAGGGTTTTATTCCTGAGATCATGATTGGTTTGTGTCGTTGATCCTAATATTACAGCAATAAAAGAATAGGAAAATCAATCACATCTACAAATTGAAAAGATATTTCATGTTAAAATGGCACTAACTTTTAATTTGTTTGAGAGTTTGTATTAAGTTTGTATTAAGTTGTATTAAGTTTGTATTAAGTTTGTTATATAGTTTTTGTCAGTTCACTCTGACCATTGTCATATCAAATGTAACAAAGTTTTAAACTTCAGGTATCAGAACTTGGTAATGGACTGCTAACAAACATTGCCAATCCAACATTGGAAAACTTGAGCAACTATGTACTTCTCGTTGAAAAAGACAAACCACTTGTAAGCTTTTTGTATCATTGGGTTGTCCTGGATTTATGTATTGTTATGTATTACTCTATAAAATCATGATGATACATGACAAAATAATCATCACGTAAAATTATGATACCTACATGATAAAATCACCATGTACAACATTGTAAAATTATGAACTAGAGAAGTGTTCGTTTTTATAATAAAAGTACACTATATCATGGACAGGAGAATACATTTATTAATAGTTGCATAGTGAAATACAAATTTGAAGTGCAAATATTTCCTTGTACAGTGGCTAAAAAGGATAATATGAAAACCTGAACTGGTCTTACCACAAGATATTAATCGCCAAACATCTTCAGAATAAGAAAAAAGAAGAAAGTTTTGACCTGAGGGAGATTCAGCAGATAATAAGGGAGCTGACCGTAGGAATTAACGTTTTTGAGGAGCTACCTGCAATCTCTCTTAGACCTCGTTATGATAAAGGTAATATACATATTCTCGAAACTTTTCTTTTAATTATTTTTGTGTTATCTGCACAGTATTAAGTCTTTAAAGTGATTTATTAGTCAAGTATTGATTCTTCTGGTCTTTTAACTAAAAATGCACTTTAATCAGTCTGTTCTCACATTCAGAGTTTAAAACGTTTGCTTTCACAGGGACATTCGTGGACATCCCCCCAGCTTACATCGACACACACGTAGCTCAGTGCATGCTGGAGTTGGACTACTACATGAAGGGGCTGTGGCACGGTGCCCATTTTGGCAGGGAGCGGCGCCAGAAGTTTACTGAAAGGTTTGACTGCTTGTGCACGTCATGTTTATAGTTATTGTTAAGAATGTTTTTTAGTGGCAATACAAATCATCTCTAAATCTTACTGAGTTCTATAAATAGCAACCACGAGTAATGACTTTCAGGTGGGCTGATCTGATGAATGTAAATAAAGACGGTAACCCAGAGACTCGTGTAGATAAACAGGCTATATTCAAGGATTATGGAATGTATGACTTCAACAAGGTTTGATTTTGCTACTAGAAGGATTTTAATCCTTTGATAAGGTCTATGACCCAGTTTCAAATTAAAATCTTAAAATTCGTTTGATCTAATTATTTTTTCGTACTCAGTTTCTCTCTTACAGGATTCTCAGTGGCACGGTTACTATGCCAACGAACATGAGACACACGATGATATTGAGGAATGTAAAAAGATGAACAAAGAGGTACAGTGAGAAATTAATGAAATAAAGTTAACAGCAACAGCAGACACATTTCTGTAGAAAGAATTCTGCAAAGTTTTTTTGACATCGACATGAAACTTATATAGTCTATATCACATTTTGTATTGTTTATCGACTTGAAGTTCTATAATTGATAAAACTAACAGTGTATAATAACTTCAGATTCTAGACAGTATTGGAGTGTTCCTGTTGTGCAGTATAAAAGAGGCTCAGCACCACAGGAACATGCTCGTGTTCTCCGTTCAGCACGACATTTCCTCCTTTACCAGGTTAGTAGTTAGTACTCTACCAACTCTAGTTAGTACTCTAGTTAGTACTCTACCAACTATTCTGTTATTTAAAAGCTTAGTCAGTTCGACTGATACGGATAGATAAATACGGATAAAGTCAATATTTCAAATTATTGTGTAAACTAACTCAGTTGTACATTTTGGCAACAATTTAAAATATTGAATTATTTATCCATACCATGCCACATGTCTCGTGATAGTTGTTTCTGTGACCCTTAGGAAGGGGCTAGACAAGCTGATAGACGACACGCATCAACCGCTGACCTGTTGGTTACAGTCCCAACGCTCTGCAGTTAGGTTGGTTATATTGTATTGTTATTGTTAATTAGGTTCAGGTTCTATGTTTACAGTTTTACTGGAACTAAAATATGGGAATTATTGCAAATTTATGTGATTTATGGCATGTATGATTGACAAACATCAAATCTACAAAATTTCGCACTGTCATGTTATATTATAAGATTAATCGAAGTTCTAAATTAAATAAAATACCAATGACCAAGCTTTACAGGGAGTGGTTCACAAAGAAGCCCAAAGTGAGACAGTTACTGTCCAAAGTGAAGTTCATCACAGCTCTCAGCTACTTCTTAGTCAGCATGAAGAAGTTCAGTATGGTACCAGACATCAGGTTATTAGTTGTTATTTAGAAAAATAAAATACTAAATAAATAAATTTAAAAAAATAAGGTATAGTAGTTAGTTATCGTTATTGATTATTTTCGAGGCTGTTTATTATTTAGTCTTGTAAATTCCTGAACTGGTGCCTTTTCATTTGAGTAGACTAGTCATAAAATGATCAGACAATAAACACAAAATTCTAACTAACTAACTGCACGATGTTAATTGAGATACAGTTCTAAGTTGAATGATTGATTATTAGCTGCGTATTATATATACACGGCATGTAAACAGGGATTGGCTAGTTAGAGGTGGTCCGTGTAGGCCTTACACTGTGCTTTCAGCAATACTCATATTATGTTATTCCTCAATTAACTTAGCCGTATAATTTCGTTCAACAAACCAGCTGCCAGGAGAAATATCTAACATACAAAAGATTACTAAAACCGCCCTTATTAACAGCTGCGTTGTAACCGTTACTAACCACCCAATTTGACAGTGCGTACCTGCCCTCCCTGACAACTGAACAAGTAAAGACAGAGGACACTCTCCCTCCCCTCATGTTGCACAGCGACAGTGTGACAAGTAACAAGCTGTTTGTAGACGATGATATGTACTGTCACGTGCACGGTGGTCTTGTTATAGGTGAGGGGTTACTGAGGGGTTACTGAGGGGTTATTAAGGGGTTACTGAGGGGTTATTGAGGGGTTACTGAGGGGTTACTGAGGGATTACTGAGGGGTTGCTGAGATGTTGCTGAGGGGTTACTGAGGGATTACTGAGGGGTTACTGAGGGGTTACTGAGGGGTTACTGAGGGGTTATTGAGGGGTTATTGAGGGGTTACTGAGGGGTTGCTGAGGAGTTACTGAGGGGTTATTGAGGGGTGACTGATGGGTTACTGATGGGTTACTGAGGGGTTACTGAGGGGTTGCTGAGGAGTTACTGAGGGGTTATTGAGGGGTTATTGAGGGGTCATTAAGGGGTTATTGACGGGTTATTGGGGGGTGACTGATGGGTTACTGATGGGTTACTGAGGGGTTACTGAGGGGTTGCTGAGGAGTTACTGAGGGGTTATTGAGGGGTTATTGAGGGGTTATTGACGGGTTATTGGGGGGTTACTGGGGGATTACTGAGGGGTTACTGAGGGGTTACTAAGGGGATATTATTTTACAGTACACAATTCTAGGGTTACTTTATTCATATTCTTCTCAGACAATATGTACACGGTATACCTTGTAATATTAATGTAGACACAAGATAATATCATACCAATCTGTAAGTGTAAAACAGATATAAACCTATATCTTCAGTATTCATAATCACCAAATTTCAACATTTCAACATTTCAACACCACTCAGGAAAGAACTGCGTTACTCTGAAGCCAGCTACAGAGAAGTTAGTTGAGAGCTACGAAAGTATCTGTGAGGTGGCAGTGCAGCAGAACCACAAGAAACTCAAGGGGAGTGGGGATGGGAACCTCTACCCTATGGCAGGTTGGGACTTTGGAGAATTAAGAGATGGTCGATGGAATAGTTTTAATTTCTGAGTTAACAATAGATGAGCACGCGTAACTAATACTATATTTATGACAACAGGAACTGTCTACTTGTACTTGATTCTAGGTCTCCTCAATCATTCTAGTGGCATGCACCAATTAAATCCCGTTTGTGTCGTATCATCTTCCTCCAGTGAAAACTAATTATATGTAGACCTGCTACAAATTACAATAACAACCCTGGCCTGGCTAACCCGGCCTTCATCAACCAAGCATCAAGGATCCTAAGAGTCCCAATAATCTACCCGTGTAACATCACGTGTAACATCACGGTAACATCACGTGTAACTGTTTAACATCACGTGTAACATCACGTGTAACATCACGGTAACATCACGTGTAACTGTTAAACATCACGTGTAACATCACGTGTAACATCACGGTAACATCACGTGTAACATCACGGTAACATCACGTGTAACATCACGTGTAACTGTTTAACATCACGTGTAACATCACGCGTAACATCACGTGTAACATCACGTGTAACATCACGTGTAACATCACGGTAACAAAGTATCATACCGATAAGCTGAAGACGGCAGGAAATCCCTACTAAAGTCCCACGGAAGATAATAAGGCACACTATCAGTAGGATAACTACCATCAATAGTAGGCAGCTGGCATGTGAGCGGGTTCTGATGGGACAGATAATCAGCTATATCACCTGCTAGCTCTGCAACTACATCAGGGTGGGTGTGTGCTATGTTATTCACCTCGTTAGGGTCCTCGAATATATCAAATAGCTGTATAATGGTGAAGTCTATAGAGGAAATGTTGAGAGGGTAGAACTTATAGAGACTGCACGCCGCACTGCTCTGCTGCGGTCCTACCAGCAGTTTATACTCCTGTTTTAAATACCCGGCTACCCTCTTAACCGGGTCAATATGCAACATGATCTGAGTACGGGGACACACCATATCTGTGTTATCAAACAACAGGTAGTCAGACTGGTCCACACTGTCCAACTCCGCAGGCATTTCCAGCCCTGTTGCCTCGGTGTACGCGTCCCAGCCCCCTGAGACAGCTATGAGGGTGTGGTACCAGTCCGACACGTGCACGTAGCAGTCAGTAGAGCCCCGGTGTTGGAGGATCTCCTCGTTTTCACTGTAGAGGAAACCAACTGTGCGGACCCCGCCCTCCCACAGGTGGGATTTGGAACCTTTGAGGGGGCCGTTTGAGGTGTACTTGCTTTTTGGGGCTCCGTTATCTGGGGGTTGGTGTTGGTAACAGATGTGGGTTTTTTGGAATCTTTGAAAATAATGCAAAATGTCGTAAGAAAATTAATAACTGAAGATCATACTCTGTCCTTCTGCTATAAACTATCTACTCGCTCCTTTTACCTATCTACTCACCAGAGTGATAAACAAGCAGAGTATTCTCCCACATTCCTGCATCCTTCAAATACTGAATAAAATCAGTTAACAACTCCTCCGCTGCCTTTAACATAGCCTGCATTGTACAGCGCGGAGAGTCCGTGCAGTCGAAAAACCTGATAATAATATGTGTTTACATGTTTTGTAGTGTGATGTGTCTAACTGAGCACTATCCTAACTATGGAATCCCTGAGAAGGGGGGGGGGGGGGGGGGGGTTTGATGACGTTATCAGGGGGGTGTGATGACGTCATCATAACAGTCTTTAATAGCATTCTCTTCTTAACTAACTTCTTGGGTGCATAGTAGTCCGAGTGTACGGATTGCATGGGAAGGTAAAGGAAAAGGGGCTGGTCAGGGTCATGTTCCTGCACGATGTGCCTCACTCGTTTGTTATAGAGGTAGAGCGAGTAGATACCCTTATCTTCTGTCAGTATGTCCCAGTTTAGACCCTCCTCATCACTGTATGAACACTCGTAGAAGTCGTAGTAACCACTGATCATGTGACTATTATATCCGATCTCTCCGTTTACGTAGCCGTATGCGGTGTCGAAGCCGCGCATGCACGGGAAACAGGACCAGCGGGCGTACCCCAAGTGCCATTTGCCGACCAAGTGGGTGGCGTAGCCGTTGTGGCGGATAACTTCAGGGAGGAGGAGCTCCTTTTCGTTTAGACATTCCTCTGTGTGGGGTGAGAATATGTCGTGCTGGATACCTGGTATAGTGGGAGTATTAATTAAATCTAGGTTCTTAATAATGTGTTAATGTATAAGATTATTTGGATACTTCGATGGTTTCCTATCGTTATCAATATCTTTAAACCTTATTCATTTTGTGCTGAACTCAAATTCTAGATGATGGGTTCAGCATTAGGTTAATAAGTTCAAATTTAATAAAACGTTAAACTAAAAATTTAATAAAACGTTAACTAAAAATGTAATATAACAACAGCTGTTTTACCTAGAGTTATAGGGTATTTACCAGTCATGATACTGGCACGTGTAGGAGTACACATCCAAGCTGAGTAGTGTCTGTTCATTATCAACCCTGACAGAGGAAATTTATTATTCATTGCGGTTATTATTTAAGCTTGACATTATCTGTATCATGCCTTTTAGTTTTGTCTCATTAAAATTAAAATTATTTGGCTTGTGTTCTCTACAATAGTTCTGGATACTAGAAGGGAGGTAAACCATATTTGCTTTGACACGTGACATTGATTCTGGGTTTTTATGGTCAATACTGGAAACTGACTGATCAATCACTGTCAGAGTGTCACGTGACAAACATAGTTCACCTCTCAACAACCAGTAATATTCAGATTTACAACACATCCAACAAAACATGTCCTGAGCTTGTCTGCATATAATGGTGCCGCAAGTGCCACATGTTTGATGTTAGTGCCGCAAGTGCCACATGTTAGAGCCGCAAGTGCCATATGTACATGTTAGTGCCGCAAGTGCCACATGTAAGTGCCGAAAGTACCACATGTTAGTGCCACAAGTGCCACATGTTAGTGCCACAAGTGTCGCATCATGTTAGAGCCGCAAAAGCCGCAGTGCTGCATTTACGTAATAAGGTTGGCTAACCTTTAGAAGCGAGACCATCCAACACGGGCGTTTTAATATCTGCCAGGTCAGGGTAGGTGTACCCCACATCCCCGTACCCCTGATCATCCATAACCACGTACAGAATGTGTGGTTTCTTCGCTGCTTTCTCTAACCATGGGAGGTATTCGTTCAGAGCGTCTAGCCATGAGGCATCTGCTTTCTTTGCTTTTGTCAGTGATGTTATTGTAAGTGTTAGGAGTAAGGCAAGGATGCAGTTTATTGTTCTGTTCATCACCAGTCTTTAGCTAGGTCCCCTGCAGGACCTTGAGGTGCTTCTTCCTTAAACCAATTGTTTAAAAACTTTTTAACACATGTGCTAGGAATGCTCGATGGAATGTAGAACTGAAAATACTATTTTCAAAATAGAACTGAAGGAAGGAAGGGCTTGCACTGCAATTAAAAGATTGTAATAGTGTTTCAGCTTGCTAGGCTCACATTGTCTATTATAGCTTTATAGTGTTTGCGGATTTATGTGGGAAACAGTATAACTTATATGATGCGTCATCATAACATCATATTTACTTCATGTCTCATTATCATCAATTATATTTTAAATTATATAATTCCCCATTGCTATGATCAAAGTAAATATCTTGAATGAATATTTACTAGCGAACTACTAACCAGGTGTTTGACTCCTTGACCCTTGTGCACCAACGTCCCTCGGGTTTGACATGAACCACAAACCTCTAACTGCCCGATACAGGGTCTTGGAGATAAACATATTTAATCTAATAATTTATAGTATAAATACAATCTAGTGTTTAAATTTATACATAATACCATGTTAGTATATTGCACACATAATTCACCAGTTTAAATATTATCACTTTCAGAGGTGGACGTAGATGGTAAAACCTACGCCATGATAGCAATCGAGCTGGAGAAACTCTACATTCAAACACCTAAATCCCCGCGATGGTAAGTCGTGTAAACTAGTGTGATGTCATTATTTATAATTGTTGTAACAGTATTGCAGGTACCGTGATCAGCTAAGTGCTGATGATTATTGTGATGCCAAAGTTTTATAATGGTAAAAACTAAAATTTTTCCGTTGGCATATTATTTGATAAATTGATAAAAAGTCTTCACCATTTCTATGGTATCGCCAATATTTGTAATGACATCATCACACCTCCATGATGACGTCATCACACCTTCATGATGACGTCATCACACCTCCATGATGGCGTCATCACACCACTCCGTTGCAGGTTACATCAGATAATAGACGGGGCTTCGCAGACTAAGAAGAGAGTGTTCCCAGTAAGTGAGACAAGACTTGTGGAACAGTTCAACAGACGCTTTGGGAATGTGAGTAACATTCTTAAACTAACATTCTTAAACTAAAATTGTTCACTAACAGTATAATATTTTCTTCATGATTTGTCAGTAAAAATAAAATGCGCAAGTTGTAAAAATGTCTAAAAAAATGTCTATACAATGTTCGCAATAATAAAACTTAAAAGTCTTAATATTGAGTATTTAATCTTGATAAATGTACAAACAAAAATCAAAAATGAACGATCTCCTCAAAATATCTCCCACTTTCAGCCCCAGAAAGTATCAACCTCACACCTAATGGTTGCAATACATCTGGGTCGTTCTGCAGTGTTCCAGCAGACAATGACGAAGAGCACAAAGACACGACTTAGTAAATGTGACGAGAAGAAGATGTCTATGATGCACTACGCTGCTATGAACGACTATCATAATCTCATTTGTAAGTTGTTTAGTATTTAATTAAGATTAAATCAGTTGAAAGGCCCCGAAATGATAAATGAAAATTTACTCTCTATATCATTATATTATGAGTATTCTTATGTGGCCCAACTGTGTCAAAAGTAAACATTCAAACATTTAACAAAATATATATAAAAGTTTCAATGATTGATCTCAGTTTCTGTAATGTTCTCGTAACAATCCCCGCACTCCCAGGTGACATGGTGCGCACGTGGGGGTGTGACGTGAACGTGCGGTGGGAGAGTGATGACCGGACCACATTCGGTCCTGCACCGCTCCACACTGCTGTACGACACGGGGCTATTGAATGTGTGTACTGTCTGTTGAGCTACCACGCTGATCTCAACCTGGTAGGGAGATGTGGTTTAGGAGTCTTGTATTTATTGTAGAAGAGTTTTTATATAGATCGGAGTTATTGCCCGCTTCTTTTAAAATAAGAATCATACTGTTTTTTCGAAATTATATTTAATAGCTAAACATTTTCAAATAATAATAATATAGTACTGTAATCTCACAAGCATCACAAGTTATCTGATAGCTATTGCTTTAAATTACTAATCACTTTTAATTGCTAACCAACATTATTAAACATTACCATAACCTTTAGTTACCAATTAGTTACTAATTTCTTTTAATGACTTAATTGCTAACCAACATTATTAAACATTACCATAACCTTTAGTTACCAATTAGTTACTAATTGCTTTTAATTACTTAATTACTAACCAACATTATTAAACATTACCTGTCAGGTAGATGATAAAGGTTGGTTACCTATCCACACAGCAGCCTACTACAACCAGCATCTCATCGTGGACATGTTACTCAGCAGGAAACCTAAACTTATTGACAAGCCGTCTTCTAATAGTGGTGAGTTGGACAGTTAATAGATTTAATTAATTAAGTTAATAGAATCTATTAACTTAATTAATTAAATCTGATGTAAGTTAATGTAAAGCTGATTTGGTTATTCTTTAATTTATGATTAAATCATGGATGGTGTTTATGCGATGGCTTCAATCGCACTGTTAATTAAATCGTACGTTGTGTCTCTAACCCTGAAAAGTAGAAAGATTAAAAAGAGTGTTGCAATCTCATAATGCTAGTCTCATTTTGAAATTACTACATATGACAATTTATTAGAGTCATAGACATAGTAAGTTTTTTTGTTACTTTATAGTTATACTCTTTTCATTAAAATTGTAAAACACTGACCTGAATGGAAGTACATATTTTAAAGATTTAAACTATTCTCAGTCTTTGTGCACAGATAACGCGACAATCATGTCTTATAAGACTAATAAGTGCCCCAGCAGCCTATAGCCTTATAAGTCATTATTGCTATGACGTTATCAATCAAGCCTATTAGATAACCCTATATAAAACACCTACATTAATTATATATATATTTTGCACGCACCTATTTTCTTACAGTGGGGCTTGTCACCTTCCCAACTACCATCTGATTTACACGTCATAGCAGTCTTAGAACCAATCAAAAGGAAGCGTCTTGAGCACGTGATTGTTGCTACTAAACCCTCTTCTACAGTTCCACTTGGTGAGATGTTTGCGTTCAGGACCGTCAATTGTGGACAGAACCCCGCTGCAGAGGGATTATTTAGACTCCTTGATTATTGTTTAAAAAACCTTAATCATTTGGCTTGGTCAGAGTTTTGTCGGCATGATACCGAAAAAACCAGTCCCATAACTCTAACCGTTTTCTTGATTAAGCCGCTCGGAAATTACACGCGAACGAACAAACACACATCTCGAGATTATTATAAGGATATTACCATGATATGGACTGTTAACCAATCAAACTTATGGTTTCTTAGTGCTATCTGACTTTTTGAGAAGAATTTGCTAAGATGAATGGCTCTCTGGATTCTTATCTCTGAATTCTACTCGTCCCCTCTCTCTAGGTAACTAATAACTATACCTAATTAGTAATTTCAAAAATGGGAAAATCATTTCTGTACTATCATACCTCTTGAATCCTAATTTCTAAAATCAAATGTTAGACTTACCACAAGCAGTTTTCTCTTCGTTTGCTGTTCCAGGAAGGCAAGATGTACAGGAACCAGCATTACCGGTACTGTAGGTCTCACCTTCACATTGTTGACAGATATCTATATCGTCAGAGCGGTACTTTCCCGCTGGGCAGGCACCTGAAATTATTGCTCTTGTCAATACTGCACAGTAATATTTATACTTTTTAACCAGGAATAAAGAATCCAAATATTTCTTAGTATAATTTCAAATTTTCAATATCGTTTCTGGCCTGTTATCAGGCAGACATGATAAAATATACTAACTGCACAGAGGCTCTGCAGAGAAGGTAAATATCTGGAACTGATCACAGGTCACTTTTTTATCCCCACTCCGTTCATATCCAGGCTCACATCTGATAATCAGGGTTGCTCCTTTAGTTATTGGGAATACAGATTCTGGTGTGGGAACCATGTTGGTGGTGCTCCATGTTGGAGTAACGCCATCACAAACCGCAGCTAGAACAAATAGGAAATTAGAAGAAACAAATAATTCATTATTCAGTCTTGTTAAAGGTGAAACTTGCGATCAAATAGGTATTGACTGCGACTGCTTGGAAGCAAGTTCAGGATTTAGGTCTTGAAGAAAAGCTTTTAATCCCTCAACTTGTGTCCCGGTTTTAACTCTAAACACTTACTACACTGCGGAGGATCATTTTCGTAGGTGAACTCTGTGTTCATCTCACACGTGACCGTCGTATCACCACTCATCTGATATCCCCTCTCGCATTTTAGGTCCAGGACTGTTCCTTTAAAAACTGGCAGCTTCTTTCCCGCAGGTACTAACATGTTCCTCCAAGTTTGCTTGAAGTTATGGCACTGTTCAACTGAAGAGGAATGATATGTTAAAGTGTAAATTTGTGAGGAATAATTACTATGGACTTCCCATAGTAAAAGTACTTAAAATAATCAAATTATGTTTAATATTACTTAGAGTAAGTCTGCTAATGAGTCTACCGAAACTCCGATAAAACTAATTTAGAATTTTCAAAAGAGAAAAAATATATTTAAAGATACGAACGTACCACACAGTGGTTCTACTACAGCAGTAAACTCAGTATCTGTTACACATGTAACTGTATCATCTCCCTTTAGTCCATACCCCTGCTCACAGCTGAGACTCAACTCTGTTCCTTGTATCACAGGAAACATTGTTGTTGTTATCATGTTGGTCCATGTTGCTTTAAAGCCGGTGCACTGTTCTGAAAGTTACATTTTATTTGGTAATGATGGTAAATTTTAAAGATATATCTGGAAAAATCATCAAATTCAAAGAAAATCAACTATGTTAAGGTAAAATAGTGACTCATTCAAATGATTCAAATAATTTTATTCCCTATCACTAAAACGTTTAGGTTTCACAAGACTAGTGTTAGCTGCATTATTTCATTAAAATATCAATAAAACTTACTCTCGCTAGTAGTACACGTAGGCTCACTGGAAAATGCGCATTCTGAAACTGTTTTCTTCTGTTAGTTTTCATCTGAATTATACTCTAGCCCAGAGATATCAATAACATATACATTTAAATCTGTTAATAGTTCAAAGTAACATTTTTTGAGATTTACTCGTTTGATTCATTGTCGTAAAAGTTAAATTATTTAACAAATTTCAATAAGTTTTGTAAGGCATCTGACATGCAAATATTAATTAATTATCAGCAATTATTAAACACGCACCTTGAGCCGGCAAGAAGAAGTCAGACGCTGTGTCAGAAATGAACTTTATTCTTTTTATATCTTTACCCCAATAGTTCTTCCAGTTTGCCTTGTGACTAGAACATATGGAGTCTGACAGCTGGAGGTGTAGAATCTCCGTGTTGTCGCAGTGAATAATCACTCGGACAGGTTGTGAGAGTTTGGTTATTTTCCAAACCCTATCGTCATTATCACTCGCTGGGAGGCTGACAGGAAATTCTTCAGCGGAATTGCGACAAAACCTAATGTAATACTTTGGTACCGTGGCCAGATGAATGGAGATGCGTCCTATCTGTTTGGAATCAAAGGAGAAAGTTTGGAAATAGACTGCATGCCTACTTCCTATTGCACTGTCAGTCTTAATTCTGAGAGGAGAGTTTTCTAGGTCGTACTCAATTAATTTGTTCTTTTCCACTGTTTGCCAGTCTGAAATAAAATTTTGTTACACTTAGCTTTTAGTCTTTTTTGTTTTTTGACTGGACATAACATCATCTAACTGAAGATTCGTGGAGCATGCTAGGTAAGTTGTTTTTGTGAAACTATGGCAAAAGGTTTGCACAAGACGTGTTCATGTAATGCCGTATTGAAACTTTAAAATTTCGCCATAGAATGCGAATGTTGAATACTCAGTACTGCATACTCACAACATGTAGGTTCCAATGAAAATGTGTACTCAGTGTCTTTAACACAGATCACTGTCTTATCCCCCTCTATCTCCTCTCCTCCTCTACAACTCAGTGTTAGCACTGTTCCTTCAACAATAGGGAAATCCTGGTCTGACAGCACGTTATTCCAGTTTGCGTTGAGACCAGTGCACTCTGTGAATTAATCAAATTGAATTTTGATGCTCCGATAAGTAAAATTTGACCGACAGAAATGTTTAGATGTGTACGTGTAGACCTAGTACATAAGTTTAGCCAATACCCAGGTGACAAATTAAATAATTTGTCAGCCATAATATGTACAAGATATCCAACCATTGATAATAAATATTTCATTATTCACCTGGGGGATGCTGATAGAAGTCAGATGCTGTGTCTCCGTGGAAATTTATCTTCTTCATCTCTTTATCCCAGTAAGTCATCCAGCTGGTGCTGTGACTTGTACATGTTTCTTCTGAGAACTTGAAGTTTAGGATTTCCTTGTCGTTGCAATCAATAGTTATTCCGATAGGATTAGAAGTTTTGGTTATTCTCCAGACCCTGTTATCGTCTTCTGGGAGGCTGGTAGTGAGTTCTGTCCAGGAGGTGCGACAGTTATCGATGGAATACCTTGGTTTGGTCATCAGATGAATTTGGATTCGGCCTGCTGATAACTGATCGCCCGAAGAGTAAACGTAAACCGCGATTCGATTTTTAGATCCTATTGAACTGTCAGTTTTGATTCTTAGAGGAAAATTTTCTAGATCGTAATCGATCTTTGTGTTGGTAGACACCACTGGTTTCCAATCTGAAATAGTTGAGTGTTGACATGATAAAGTAATTACTTTTATGACTGTTTACAATGTAATGACTGTATTCTCTTAATATGACACGTATAAAGGAGTTGCAGCCTTGATTGACCAGTTACAACTACGGATATTAAGGGTACAAAACCCGGTGTCCATGAAAACACCTCCATCTAACACATCTCGGACTATATAACAATCAAAAAGCTGGAAATACTCCAATCTAGCGTAAAAGTACTTTTCAGCACAGCAAAAGCTTTTATCTCTCTAATTTATTTAATTTCGCTACTCACAGCATGTAGGTTCCTCAGTATACTGGTACTCAGTGTCTTTAACACAGATCACTGTTTTATCCCCCTCTATCTCCTCTCCTCCTCTACAACTCAGTGTTAGCACTGTTCCTTCAACAATGGGGAAATCCTGGTCTGACAGCACGTTGTACCAGTTTGCGTCGAGACCAGTGCACTCTGTGAATGAATTATTTTTACAGCCACTCTGTTTAATTGGGAAAACTCTCTTTCTGCATTATTCGATCTTAGCATCCACACATAAATTAAATAATTTACAGCCTTATTAATTGAAAAACGTAAAACAAACTTGATAACTTGGATCATTTTGGTCATATAATGTGGCTCGTGGTTCACATGTCAGGCTAATCATCACATATAATAATAATATGGTGCAAAGATAGCCAACCGTATAATGTAAATATTTTATTATTAATATTAACCTGGTGGATGCTGATAGAAGTCAGATGCTGTGTCTCCTTGGAAATTTATCTTCTTCATTTCTTTACCCCAGAAATTCATCCAATTATTTGTATGACTTGTACATGTTGTCTCTGAAAACTGGATGTTCAGAATTTCTGTGTTGTTGCAGTGAATTGTTAGCCCAACTGGTTGCGAGGTTTTGGTTATTTTCCAATCTCTATTATTGTTTTCTGGGAGGTTTGGAGGAAATTCTGTCCAGGATTGACGGCAATTTTTGATCCAATATTGGGGTTTGGCATTCAGTCGAATCTGGATTTGTCCTAAAATTCCAGCACTTGAGGAGTAGAGCGAGACAATCATGTTCTTCCTACTTCCTATTGAACTGACAGTTTTTATTCTCAGAGGAGAGTTTTCAAAGTCGTAATCGATCTTTACGTTGGCGCGTACTGGTATCCAGTCTGGAAAAATTTAGTTTATATCACGTCATAGCTTTTGTAAATCTAATTTCTCTGGTTTTCATCTCATGATGCCATGTTAAATTATAGTTATTGGTTCACAATTATTAATTCATATGACAATTTGAAATTTTCAAATTTCACTACTCACAACATGTAGGTTCCTCTGTATACTGGTACTCAGTGTCTTTAACACAGATCACTGTCTTGTCCCCCTTTATCTCCTCTCCTCCTCTACAACTCAGTGTTAGCACTGTTCCTTCAACAATAGGGAAATCCTGGTCTGACAGCACGTTATTCCAGTTTGCGTTGAGACCAGTGCACTCTGTGAAATTGAAAAGCGTAAAACAACGTTGATAACTTTCATCATTTTGGTTATACTTATAGGTGGCTCCGTGATTCAGACGAGCAGATGGCAGGCTAAGCATAAATGGTGCAAAAGGTAGCCAACCTTATAATATAAAGCTGAGTAAGTATATCGATTCATTATCGCTATGTATCATTTAATTTTAGAAGTATGAAGACCTTAATATAGTCTTCCGTAAGGGCTGAAATCACCTTCGGATTGCAGGTTGCATGTCTAGGTTTTTTCTGTTATGTCGAGGGGGAAAAGGTGCAGGAGACCACCTACTTCACGATGGCATCTGATACAATACAATACAATATAACGATTTCATTATTAACCTGGTGGATGCTGATAGAAGTCAGATGCAGTGTCTCCGGAGAAATGTATCTTCTTCATCTCTTTACCCCAGAAATTCATCCAGGTATTTCTATGAGTTGTACATGTTGTCTCTGAAAACTGGATGTTCAGAATTTCCGTGTTGTTGCACTGGACAGTTATCCCAGCTGGTTGCGAAGTTTTGGTTAAAGTCCAAACCTTGTTATCGTCTGCTGGAAGGGTAGTAGTGAATTTTGTCCAGGATTGTTGGCATTTCCCGATGTAATACTTTGGTTCGTTCAGCAGATGAATTGCGATTTGTCCTAAGTTATTACCACTTGAGGCATAAAACCAGACATACACTTTATCGTTGCTTCCTATTAAACTGTCCGTTTTTATTCTCAGAGGAGAGTTTTCAAAGTCGTAATCGATCTTCACGTTGACGCGTACTGGTAGCCAGTCTGGAAAAATTTAGTTTAACACGTCATAGCTTTTGTAAATCTAATTTCTCTGGTTTTATCTCATGACGCCATGTTAAATAGTTATTGGTTCACAATTATTAATTCATATGACAATATGAAATTTTCAAATTTCACTACTCACAACATGTAGGTTCCTCAGTATACTGGTACTCAGTGTCTTTAACACAGATCACTGTTTTATCCCCCTCTATCTCCTCTCCTCCTCTACAACTCAGTGTCAGCACTGTTCCTTCAACAATGGAGAAATCCTGGTCTAACAGCACGTTGTACCAATTTGCGTTGAGGCCAGTGCACTCTGTGGATGAATTATTTTTACAGCCACTCCGTTTAATTGGGAAAATTCTCTTTCTGCATTATTCGATCTTAGCATCCACACATAAATTAAATAATTTACAGCCTTATTCATTGATGAAAATATTGCCAAGAATTTACCTGTCGGATGATAGTAGTAGTCGTATTCTCTGAAATAGGAGTTGAACTGTATTTTCTTAGCCTTTCTGCTCCAGATCTCACTCCATTTGTTTTGGTTGGTGCAGATGGTGTCAGACAGCTGGATCTTCAATATCTCATGTTCGTTACAGTGGACGATCATTCCTGGTTCCGGGGTCTTTGTTATCTTCCAGATTTTCCTGCCGTCTGCTAGAAGATTTGAGGGGAGGCTTGTGGGAGCGTCAGTATAAGAATTGTCGCAATCAGTTAGGTAGTACTTCAGAGTGGTGTCCAGCTTAATTCTGAGTCCTCCTGCTGCTTGGTTGTTCAGTGCAAAGAAAGTTAACTTCACTTCATCTCCACTTTCAAAGGGACTGTCTGTCCTGATCTTTAGTGGGGAGTTTTGTAGATCGTAGTCAATCTTCCCAGTTTTCATCTCTCTCCAGTCTGTAAATTTGGATCTTAAGATATGATCGTACTATCATGAAAGGCACAGCAAAATATTTTGTATCAACATAGAGTCACACAAAGTTTCAACGCTGTCATGAGCCAAGGTCAAAAGGAAATCGCGGCACGTGCAGAATCGCGATTTTCCCATTCTCCGTGTCAAATCGTGATTTTTGACGTTTGCCGCGACAAATCGCGATTTTCTCAGATCCTCGCGACAAATCGCTATTTTTCGCAATAAATTATGCATTTTTCTTGTTGCGGCGCCTCGATTTTTGGCCTAAGTAATCGTGATTTTCTTTTGTCCTTTAAAAAGTTCATGCTAGCATATAAATCTCTGTCAAAAAAGTGATTCATGCTAGCAGTGACGATCAAACGACTTTTATTATAAGATTCTACCTGGTTCTGCAGCAGAAGTTCCACTGAATAACAGCATCACAAACATGAACTTGAAAAAGCTCTTCACCATTGTGTTGTAAACTTTTATCCTCTCGAGAGCAGAGGGACGGTGTTTACCGTCCATCTTACTATACTAATGATTAGCGTTTATAAATGAATATAATTGTTAGATATAATATTTAATAATGAGAACAAGTGGTGTGGTGACAGAAAGCAATTGTGGATTCGGCATCGACTCTGCTACTTGAATAAATTGTTAAATTGTAATGGGATAACTAGCAAATTACTGACATCTTGGAATTTAAACCAATAATATGCAGCGCCGAACTGTTCAAGATTTTGTGCCGCTGCTTTCTTACAGATTATTTGTCATTATATCACTATTTCACTATTCGAACATGATAAAGGAAACTACCTTGAACTCCCATAAAGTATGAATGCTAACATACCAAGGGTCCTTAAGCTTCATATAAAGGACAAAGGTACGTGCAATCAGATAACAGAAATGTAGTTTAACCACAAATTAAACGGGCAATACGCAAACAATGTATTTATCATGACATTATTCACAAAGCAACATACAGGGAAAGGGACTAGAACATGAAAAACAGTCAGTGTGATGATAAACGTATAAACTTTAAACAAATGACAAAGAAAACAAACTGAACCGCTCTATTTCTCCTCACTGGATACTGGTCTACACTCTACATTAATCATCTTGTGAACTCAATGTTATTGCCATGTTGTTAGCAACTGCTCTGTCTTTATGGTTGATAATATATATAATGTACTGACTCAAAGATCTACATCAAATTGTGTAGATGAAATTTTATCATTAGCTGTTATAACAGCTAATGATATGTCATAAATAATATTATCTACTAATCTACTTTCACCTTATACAAAATTAAACAATGAAACAAAATGTTAATATCGACAAAAAGACAAATAATATTATGACGTGTAAGATGTTTGGAAGCCTTTTGTGCTCACATGACCATGGATCACTGTTAAAGTCGATACATAACTGCCATCTATAATAATTTGCTCGTGTAGAAAGTTGGACATCTTTCCTTCGAAATTTCGTGAAATTGAGCCCAATGTTGGCTAAATCAGTAAGGTTCCGAGAACTTTATTTTTCTTTTTTAGCTCACTGATGAACCATTACTTACTTGCACTACTTGGACTGTGTCAAACTACAGTCCAAGTAGCGTACTAGAGTCCGACAGAGTCGAACTGTAGGGTTTGTCAAACTTCAGTGAGTCAGTGCGTGTACCCTTGGCTAAGAGTACGGGTAATAGGCCCACGACTTGGTATCTTACCAGTACGTGTATTCCAACAGAAAGCAAAAGGCCGGTAAATCGTGGAGCCCACAAGAACAACATCCTTAGTACAGTTGAGCACGCATTATGTTAATAATTCAGTAAGCCAAGGCATACTAACTACATCTTAGAGAGTATGCCTTGGTGGCAAAGTGGGGTAATTGCATTGTTTTCGGGACAGTATGAGTACGATTAACTCTGGTCTCTGAGGGCACGGTGAGAAGGCTCATTTTCCAGCCGTGCCACAAGTAAGATAGACGATTAACTCTGAGTCTTGTGGCATGGCTGGATAATGAGTGACGTATTTCCTGGGGAAGAACTTAATGGCCTGCACAGGAAATTGTAGACTGTTTATGGAGGGATTTTGTGTTTCCTGGAAATCTACACTATCATACTCCTGGAAAAATTGTACAACGTTAATCTCGGAAGCTACGAGCCACTGATCTCGGTATGGGGTCGAAGGGGACGAAGATGACAAAGGGACAAAGATGACAAAGGCGACAAAGGGGTCTAAGGGGTCTGACCCTCATGAATATTGGACGATTATTCAGTATATAATTGAGAAGATTGTTCTCACAGCTTAACATATGGCGGGAACATGGTAGCATTTGTACTGTGTAGAGCAGTTGCTCTCCACGTTAGTACATCTCCATTTAAGAGGGTGACCTGTTTAAGAGGTCACCCTGTAATGGCTGTAATGAAGTATCGCTGCTTCTCAATGAGATTAGGGGTTGTTCACATTTTACGTAATTAGCCAAGGGGGGAGGGGTTTCCAAATGAGTACGCTAGTGTAATTTTGGCAAAAGTCAGTACCCATACGTTGGCCTTAATAGCTCAGTCACATTCACTGAGTGCTCAATTGAAATTATTCGCTCTGGTACCACCACTGGTTCGAGGAATTTGTCAGATGACCGAAATACGAAGCATAACGAGTTTATTCATTACGTGTGATCAGGTGATTAATATTGAATGGGCGTGGTCTAAAATACTCGAATTTTCAAATTCAAGGGACGGAATCCTCGAAAAGTATGGACTATGGTACAGTATGCCAATTGCAAGACAACAACTCTCAAATATAACTTATAAGACACGGCGGTGGTATAAGACCTAACGTATGGATACTGACTTTTGCCCCCTCCCCCCCTTCCCCTGTAACTTCATAGAGTTTTACACTTACAGGATAAAGTATCACGTAGTTTCATGACACTAACAATTCAGTAAGCACCTATCTTATCAAAATAGATAAATTTCTCAGATAACTGACCCCGAGTATCACCCAGATGAGTTGACGCCCCTGCTGTTAGCATGTAGCAGTGGAGCTCTGGATACAGTGGAGAGGTTACTGGAGCTGGGAGCTACACCTGCACTCTTAACTAGGACTAAGAGGGGGGTTATACACCTGGCTGCTCTCAATAGACATGTCAAGGTTAGGGAGGCGATCACACAATTGCTAATGCCAATAATGCTTTATCTGGTCATTGCTTCATTGATTGAATCCTTGCCGATTCCCATTTCCCAGTTATGTTTAAAATCGAGCTACAAACCTAATATTTTGATCGGTTTCACCTATAAAATCAAACTGAATATTTCAGGTGCACCTTTAAACTTTAAAAAGAGGATTTGAGTTACTATTTACAACTCTCAGGTATTAGAACTGTTCATCAACAAGGACTACCCTGACTTAGCAGTGTGGGATATCCTGGTAGCTATGATGAACAGTAAGGAAGATACTGAGAAGTACCATGCTGTAGTCGCTCTTGATACTCTCACTAAGAAAGGTAATGGGTAGTGGCCCGATTAACCAAGTAATCAATTGATAAATTATAAAGTATGTAATAACATGTTGTTGCTGATGAACTGATCAGTGATCATCATACTGTTCCAGGAGGGAACTGGAATGAGCTATTGGAAGCTAATGCGATCCCAGCACTGGTGAACATCCTAAAGCCTGATAAAAGTCTGCTGCCGGAGGAGGAGAACAGTGTTCAGAGGATGGAGCTGAAGATGCAGACCTCTGCTGTTATCAAGTTAGAGCATAGTTTACTTTATTTCTGTTTTTATTTCTGATCTAACAAACAAATGTCTTAAAATTACTGCTTATTCGCTTACAAATCGACTCAGAACCGTATCGCTAAAACGTCGAAATCTAAAAACATACAGATCACCCCACCTTGATCTCTCCAACAACATACCAAAACTCACTTAACCTCATCTTTAGTTTTATAACGGGTGATGAATAGAAAATGGGACTACATGTTTTTTAGCCCTCAGATTCCACCTGAACAAAATTTTGATATTTTACCACAACCACCAGTTACTCTGAACGATACTCGAACAGTTTCCACCCCCATTTGATAAAATTGGTTGATCTTTGTCCCCGATAATGGTCTCGAACTAGGGGAGGGGTCCTATAAAAACTTTACAGTAAAGCTCTGTTCACAGAAGTCGCCTCACAGGTAGTTAAAGCTTCCATACCAAAAAATATTTAGCAGAGAGTATGCCGTATGTTATGCTTAAGACGAGGGTTCAACACCCATCAGCGTAGCTAAAACCAGTAAGAAGACATTTGAGCTCAAAACCACCTGAGGGGTAAAATTTTACCATGTGAAAGATCGAGGCTAGGTCAACTATCGGCTTTAGCATGGTCTATAATGGTACCACGTAAAAATCAAAGTGCTTGAAGCCTTGCCAGGTGTTGTTCCTACAAGAAAATATCCCCAAAGGGTGGAAGGTGGTTCGTTAGGATGGGGCTAGATCGTATTTTTCTGGGAAAACCACATCTTTATTTGCCATAAGGGCCAATTTCGTCCCAAAAGTTATCGACCAAAGTAAATTTTGACAATCTCAACCCATAGAGGACTTCTTTAGAGTCAAAGAAGAGACTGCGCCAACACGATTTTAGGCCCAACTGTACAGACGGATTTTTGAGCTTGATGAAAGAAGCCCTCCTGAACCAATCAAAATGGGCTCATGGGCGCTTGTCATTGACCATACTCGTTCAAAATTGCCCGTTTTACAACGCTGTTTCATTGGTTTGAACCAAAAATAGTTTTATCGACACTAAAAAGACCCTTGAAAAAAGTCCCATTTTTTAGTCATCACCCGTTAACATCATACCAAAACTCACTTAACCTCACCTTTAGTTTTATAGTTTTATAATAACATACCAAAACTCACTTAACCTCACCTTTAGTTTTATAGTTTTATAACAACATACCAAACCTCAATTAACCTCATCTTTAGTTTTATAACATCATACCAAAACTCACTTAACCTCACCTTTAGTTTATAGTTTTATAACAACATACCAAACCTCACTTAACCTCACCTTTAGTTTTATAACAACATACCAAACCTCACTTAACCTCACCTTTAGTTTTATAACAACATATCAAACCTCACTTAACCTCACCTTTAGTTTTATAACAACATACCAAACCTCACTTAACCTCACCTTTAGTTTTATAACAACATATCAAACCTCACTTAACCTCACCTTTAGTTTTATAACAACATACCAAACCTCATTAAACCTCACACCCCACCCAGGAACATCTCATATGAGGACGATGTCAGGAAAGCAATTGCAGCCACAAACTCTCTAAAAACCTTCATAGGTCTCCTCTCACTACCCCACGACGTAGTACAGTCCAACGCAGCTACTATAATCTCAGACGTGTGCCAGGTACTACTTATCTAGTACTTTTTATTCTTTTTTTTTACACGTTTTAAAATTAATTTTGTAACACTACAGGGATGTTCTCCAAATTGTCACAAGCAGGGAAGTTTCATGAATCAAACTGTGTGCACAACGTGATTAGTGTGGTGAGTGTGGTTAGTGTGGTTCATGTTATATCGCCACTTCCAGTTTTACAATACAACCGTCCTCACATGAGTAGGCTAACACTGTTTTCACGTGATTTGTTTTGTTGTTGCAACACCTACTGACTTGCGAGCAAGCGACTCTTCTTCACTCGGAGTCCTACTCAGGCCCAGATGGTGAGATGGTTATATCCCTTTTTATTAGGGACGCACATCTGGTACCATTGCTTAGCAATGGCCACGTGATACTGTCCTGTAGTTAGTAAACGAGTTGAAAATTAGTGTACCGTCAGTGGAAATTAGTCTATACAATCAGTCTATACACTTTTCTATGTTTCACTCGGACCTCCGATGCTGTTTACCGCCAGTTTACGTTCATTGTCCATGCTAACATTAAACATGTCATGGTTTTTGTCATGGTTTGACTTTATGACCTATTAACCGATACTGATAGTTGGATAATATCCGGTTGGAAGAGACAAGGACAAATGAAACAGGAAGTTAGGAATGTAGGCAAATTTTCGGCGTCAACGCCATCTTCAGGCTAAAATTAGTACAAATGACCTATTAAGTATTTAACTTATTTAAGCGAGTCGTTTGCTAGCCTTTTACTTTGTGAAACATAAGCTTGAATATAACCGAGTAGGTTGTATTTTATGCTGTTTGCTGATTGCTCCAATCCAGCGCGGAATGAACGCCTTAAATCTAACACATTATTATTATTATCTAACTTTTAAAACAATCTCGAAATAGTAAAGAAACATCTTAAGAGACTGATAAGTGCCCAAAAAAACATAACAGTTCTCTGAAAGATAAAGGTTAATTATGAGGTAAATAATTTTCTCCACAAAACTCTGTTAGAGGCAGTAGCCCTAAGATCATAAAGATCATTAATATCACGTAATGGTAGGTTTCTTTTATTCAAATCATTTATAACAAACTTTAAAATATTACTTTGGTGTCGACCAACACGTCCTTTCATGGTAAATAACGCATTAACAGCAAATTGAAGAGCTCTCTGAGCTGGTGATGAGCAGTCACTGCGAAGGACATGTCCAAGCATTTTCCAGCGAGCATATGTCACTCGCTCTGACAACGGTGTTACACCACAGCGTTCATAGAGTGCTTTATTACTGATAATAATGGGATAAGTCATCTTCAATATTTGACGCAGGTGTCTTCTATGACATGCATCAAGTTTGTCAAATAGGTTCTGAGGGGTAGCCCAGCTATTGCAGTTATAGAGCATAACAGATGTAACGTATGCTTCGTATATCTTAATCTTGGTCTTCAGATTAATCTTAGATCCTTGCATCCAAACTTTCTTGTATTTTTCGAATGCAACATTTCCAAGGATTATACGATGCTGTATGTCTTCTTTACTACATAGCTTAGAGCCTAGGGACACACACTTCCTCCAAGGTTCTCTATTTCTTAGAGGTTCTCCTTTTTCGTCCTTCTCACTACTTCCAGCCAGATAACACTTTACAAACTCGGTTTTAGATTCATTTACAAACAAATTCCATTCTGAGAGAATTTCCTTGCAAATTGGAAGGAGCTGGTGTAACGAATCCTCATCTTCATCAGCAAAGTCCACATCATCAGCATATTCCCATTCTAAAGGAAGGGAGCTTTCAGATATGGGGGGATTTGGGCGTAGATGTATAACAACAACTCTAAGGTGGTAGAGTGCTCCAGCTAGGTACATGGTAAACAGCGAGCCAGACAAACAGTCACCTTGAAAGGCTCCTATTGTGACTTCGAACTCTCCCGATGTCGTCTTTTTGATCTTAATTCTGAGCTTGGTGTTAGCGAGCAGATATCTAACTAGTCTTATGTCATCTTCTGAGCATCCTGCATCTTCGAGTAGCCTGAGGATAGTTGACCGATGTATTGTGTCGAAGGCTGATGACATGTCTATCCCCATTTTACTAAACTCCCAATGTTTCTCCTTGACAACAGAAATAAGAACCCTTTGTGTCCAGACAATATTAGAGCAGCTGTGTCCTGATTTATAGGCATTCTGCCATGGCCCAGTGTAGTCTGCTATCTGTTGTTGAATACGCCGGAGTGTTATCATGGAAAGGATTTTCCTGGTTCCATTGAGAAGGCACAAGGGACGCAGACTCTTAACTGGTCCTTTTGGTTTTCCAGGCTTCTGTAGGGGGGTAAGATATCCCTCAGTGAACGATTGAACGTGCTCTTGTTTTTCAAAGGACTCATTGATAAGTGATGCAAACTTCATGTAGAAGGAAGGAGGTGCATACTTAAGGAATTCGTTTGGGAGGTTGTCAGGACCAACGGCTTTACCGTTCTTTAGTTTCTTGGCTGCTGTCTCAACTTCAAGTGCAGTTATAGGCGTATCTAATGGCTTAGCAGCTCCAACAAAAGGTTCTAGTGGGGGTTCTGGGCCTGTGTAATGTTCCATGAACCAGTTCTTGACTATGTCTGCCTTATCTTCGTCATTGAGAGCAAGTTCTTCTGTTTCTGGTAGGAATACTGAAATAGGAGGAGTGTCCTTTGTACTTGAAATTGCTCTGGTTGCTTCGAACATTCTTCTGGTATCATCAGTGGAGTTGATCGTCTCAGCTAGAAGGTCGGCATGAGCGGTTTCAAGTGTAATAAGGCGCTTTGCAATGTCATTCTTGAGTCTGTTGATTTCCTTACGCAGGATAGTTCTGTCACGCATTTTGTTGTCGTTTAAATGTTGTAGTAATTGGTGTCTCTTTTCTGACATAGAGACGACTTGTGGGTCTGATGTTCTGTGACGTTTGGCTGTGTTTCTTTTCATACCCACTGTTTCAGATGCAGCAATTTTAACCGCCTCGAAAAGGTTGTTAAAACTTTCAGTGACTGACTGGGCAGATGTATCAGTTTCAATCTTCTGAGCAGCATTTTGTTGAAAAGAACTTTGGACATCTTTGCTACAAACCAATGAGTTGGTGTTATACTGCTTGACTTTGTGTTTGGCAGTACTGTAAAGTTTGTAACGTTTACTGAGGTCAAAAGTTGCTTTTACAATTTTGTGATCAGATTGAAGTTTTGCACCAGCGTAAGACCTAGCGTCAACAAGCAGAGGGGTACTTCTAGATCTACATAAAACATAATCAATTTGAGAAAACCAGGGTACAGACTTTTTGGATCTACGGTCTTTAATCCATCCTGTAAAAGTGTTGGTGTGTCTGCTCGCATGTGAAAATGCAGTGTTGGCTGCATAGAGTCCATTAGTGATCATGAAAGCTAGCAACCTTTCGCCATTTTCGTTACGCCGACCAATACCATGTCTTCCCATGTTAGTTTGAAGACCACTTTCAAAATCTGATTTAGTCCGTTTCCCTAGCCTAGCATTAAAATCACCCATGATGAAAAGTTCATGTCTGGCAGGAATTCTGATAGCTTCCTGGAGCTCACAGTAAAACTCATCAGCAATGCGTGGGTTCTGTATAGATTTGACATTAGTTGGACTGTAGCAGTTTATAATACGGGCTTTCAGTGATGGTTTCCCATGACACTTTGATGGTAGAGAAAGGTCCATGTATGCTACTCTGTCACTGATTTGATGGTACGAGACAACATTTGATACAAATTTACTGTTGATAATAAAACCGAGTCCGCCATGCCAAGACAACTTCTGGTTAAACAAAAGAAGCCTGTGGTTGCCGGGTATAACAGTGTCTGAGTGTTTAGACACCTTAGTTTCTTGGAGGGCTATAACATCCAAGTTGTATCTGTTGCAATCATTTGTAGCTAGATGCTGCGAGTGTTCCTGACTAATGCCTCTAACATTCCATGTGGCGAAGTGGAGAGATGCCACCGTGAAAAAACCGAACAAAACAAAGCTGAAGAGAAGAACTGTAGGCTTCTTGGAAGCGTCAGACGTTCTGGTCGTAATAGTTACTCCCATGCGTGCCCGTCACAGCAACACACCATCCTATTTCATCCAATCTAACACAAGTATCACAGAATTAATTAATAGGTCATATTAATGTGTCATATTGATATGTCATATAGATTGAGCTTTATCATTTAATATGTATTCACTGCTGCAAGCTTTCGTTTTGTTGACTGTGGCAACCTTTTATTAAAAACATCAAAAAAGATTGAGTACCATAATAGAACTAGACGTGCTACATGTTCATAATAATAATAATATATAAAATATACCGTTTACTTTAATATAAAAACAACATCTAGTGACTGTCTCTATTAGTGACAATACGCATAGCTGATAAGAATAAGATATGATTATGCAAGGACTTAGATGCTAAATTATCACATCATGTGAAGATAGTTTCAGCATGGACAAGATTAGCATTTCGTGGTCGCCGTTTAATGCATACGTTTGAATTTTGTTTTTGTGGATCGATGAATTGTGCTAGAAGGTGCTGGCAATCACTTTTTAAAGCAGTAGTTTAGACAATCTAACCGTGTTTCCTTGAAAGCTTGAACTATGATAATAGGAATCTACTAAACTACGGTAGTAACTGAACAATGAATTTGTCGATTTGTTACACCCGAGTAACCAAGTGACCGTTGACCAAGTTACTAAGTGACAAAGTTAGAAATTGACCAAGTAACCAAGTAACTGAGCTACCAAGTAACCAAGTAACCAAGTTACCAAGTTACTAAGTTACCAAGTTACCAAGTAACCACGTTACCAAGTTACCAAGTAACCAAGTTACCAAGTAACCGAGTTACCAAGTTACCAAGTAACCAAGTTACCAAGTAACCAAGTTACCACGTTACCAAGTTACCAAGTTACCAAGTTACCAAATTACCAAGTAACTGATTATGTAACATAATTACAGGTGAATGATAATGCTCAGAAGGTAGCAGGGGAAGGAGGAATTGTTCCCCTGATCCAGCTCCTCAAAAACTGGCTACCCTCTGTTCTTACTTCTGCTATGAGATCTCTCGCTCAACTTGGTTTGTTTTAGTTATTTAACCTTACATATTTACATTCTAAATGTTTTGGCAAACAAATTGGGGGAAAATAAGACGACCATATGCAGCAATCTTACTGTTTTGTATTCTGTTTATCAAGGGTTTTATTTTATTTACTAGAAGTGTTACGTTATTTTCATTGTGAACAACCACCAACATGATGCGCCGTTGCATTTTCCGTTATAATTAGATTATAAAACGTATTTCACTTCAGGAGCGAACTTTGAGAGCAATAAGGACGAGATCGCCAAGAAGGGAGGTTTAGATCCGCTGGTGCAACTGCTGGACAACTCTGATGCTAAGGTATTTTCGAACACAAGGAAATATTTTTTGATTATAGTTGGTGACGAAGTGAGAGTCTCCACTCAGTGTTTCAAAACAAATTAGTTGTCGACGTTTCGGCAACATGCCTTTGTCATGGACAGGACGTTACAATAACTTACATAGCTCAATAAATGTAATAGATTTATAGTGTTGTAAAATATATGATCGACCCACTCATAAGAGCGAAGAAAGATTACCAACAAGGAAATACTATAATAAACGCTCGCGATAAAACACACGTACCAGCATACACTAGCTATTAGTATTGCCATTGGCTGAACTATCGGTTGGTCTACAAGAAACACGACTCAGCTCTCCCAATCTATAAAGATTGTACATATTTTACATTACTAACCAGGCCCTCGTACAACAGAATACTGGGTACCTAATGACACGTGACTCTCATTACATATTGCACACTCTCGTGGTGGCCTGCACCAATAACATCCCTGTAAATCAAAAAGAGACAGGTTTTGTTATAGACTCTTGTTGAAAGCAGTTTACCTGGTCTGAGTCATCGTCCTTAATTGCTTTAACAAAAGTAACACAGACTAAATACTTGAATAACCGAGTGATGATGCGTTCCGCAATCTGCATATAAAAATATAACACAGTTGAATCATACGTTAGACCCGTACCTGCATTCTGCATGACAAAGAAGAAGACAACTCATTACTAGCTCCACTATGAGGGCTGCCTTGGTATGAGCATGAGTTACCTTGGTACGCCTGAGTACTGGTGGACTAAGTGAAATATACGCAATGCCCAGAAAGCCTGTTTAGGCAGTAGGCAGATCAGTGACGATGTATGATCTGCTTAAAAATATGGTACTCACCTTTAATCTCAGAGAATTGAGAAAAGAGTTGCTAGTTGTTCTAACTTTCTAATTGCTCTCCTGGTTAATTACTAATTATTCTAAATACCCTCATGACTAATCACCTCTTCTCTCAGGTACAAGCAGAAGCAGCCAACGCTCTGAACGTAGTGTGTAGAGACAGTATAAATAACCAGAACTTTATAATCTCTATTGGTGGAATACCTCCTCTTGTCAAACTTGTTCAGTCTAACAACATCGAGGTAAGATTTATTACAGTTTTAAGTTTAAAAGTGCACGTTTAATAACATCACGTACAAAATCCTGCAAGATTACCAATACATTAAGACTTTAAGACAATAGCTCATGATGATAGTCAAGATAACACGTGACTACTTTATATCGGCCGCATAATAGCCACAGAACTGAGCTGCAATACGGAGGTGAACTCAGCTCTGCGGCCTTTCTAAAGCTGTTCTAGTGTTCTGCGGTTGTTCTGCGGCCTTTCTTACGCTGTTCTGGTGTTCTGCGGTTGTTCTGCGGCCTTTCTGAAGCTGTTCTGGTGTTCTGCGGCCTTTCTGACGCTGTTCTGCCGTCCACATACTAAAAATTCTAAATTCAAACGGTCGGATAACTACAAATTATGTGGTAAAGTAGTCTGGAATTGTCTGTTCACTGCACTGTTAATCAACGACCACTTAGTTTAATCATTCTAATTTTAGTCTGGTAACCTCACTCTAGTCCACATTAGAAAAGACACTGCTAGGAGCTAACAGTGCCAAGTGCGCTGTCAATCACAGTGGTCAATGCATTGAATTGCTTCTCAAAGAGTGAATCATCTATTCAGTTTCTCACTCCATTATTGGTGTGGTCATATACTGTGTTTATCCTGGATACTAATTCGGATTATTTGAAATCTTCGGTCGAGTTTTGTTACATTTGTTGCTTTTGAGACTTAGATTGATCACGGCTTTGGAGTTTTATCTGTACGAAAAAGCTTTAATCTCTATTTGCTTAATTTCTCGTCTAAATAAATTGTTCGATATGAATGGTATAAGAGAAAATTACAACTGGGATATTGGTGAAAATGGATTCGAAGACAATCAAGAGGTAATATGAAATTTTAAAAACGCAAAACTGTACTACTCCATAAAACCCATACAAATAAAACCACTACTTTTACTCATCTCACTGTCTCCCAGGTACAAGTGAGTGCTGCGGGTGCGCTCCGCTCCCTTGCTCAGTCCAACTCGGTCTCACAAGGTCGGATAGCTGAGTTGGGTGGGATCAACCCTCTTATCAGACTGCTCAAGTCTAACCCAAGAAACTTGGACGTAAGTTTATTATATAATATGAGCTTTATTATTATATAATTAGCTATAAATAGCTTATATTTCCTTTATATTTATCTTTTACTCTGCTCTAGACTCTGGTCATTATTTTTAGCTTATTTTCTTGACGAAAATTGCAAAATCTCGGTATGGTTATTATTTACAGTGCAGTGGTTTGTCAGTGATCTGGCTTAATGATCCGTTCACAGATTAACCAATTAGCTAATTAAATAATTAGCTAGTTAAATAATAAGCTAATTAGATAATTACCATCAGGTACAAGAGAAGGCATCAGGAGCTCTGTGGGCCTTGTCAGGTGATGACCCTACTAAAAGGAGAGATATCGGCACTAAAATAGGGATTGAAATGTTGATAGTTCTCCTTGAGAGCAAGTCAGAGAAAATCCAGTAAGTTTTCATTTTCATTTTAAGGTCTTTAAAACATAGTGTAGACACTAGACTTGCTGAGATGAATGTTTCTTGGATTCAAGACGGAACTAAATTCAGTCAGGTTTTTATGAGGTACTCAGAAGACCAATACCACAGCTTTTGTGAATGTTTATTTGGATGGTCCTAGTATACACGTTCATAAAAAGGTGGCACTAGAGATTGATTTTTTACTGCCAAAAATGTGTGAAGTATTTTAAAATACTTGTATCTCAAGGAGTATGCTATGAAAGTTAATATATAACAAAATTTTAATATGTGGTCTAAAAAGATTCAAATGTCACATAATTAAGTCATTCATCTCTATTATATATTCAGTTAATTGTGCAAATATGAGCCAGAAATCACAAGATAATCATTTATTGCCCTCTAATGGCGAATTTACACTCTGTGAGTGTATTCTGAGAGACTAAGAGAGAAAAATGTGACTTTTGGATCCCATTAACTGGTTTTAATACTATTGAATGATATTGTGTACCCTAATTAATGATGAATAGCCAAGAAAAACGTTAAGTGATTCAATAAACACAGCTCAAAATAGGCTTATTTCCAGCGTTTAAGTTGTGATTATTGAATCATTTTGGCCCCAATAACAATTTCAGATAGGACATTCCATTTCTCACATGCATTATAGCCATCAAATCAATTTTGGTGGCTTTGTGAATAATACTTTTCAGATTATCTAGTTTAGAATCATCTTACATTAATTCTTAATGTGTGATTTTTGAATCATTGGCACTTAAATAACGATAACTCATGACGTGATATAAACAATAGAGACCCCGTGATTTCAGCATCATGAAATTTAATCGAATTTTTAAAAATTTAGATAGATATATCAACCAACAAAGAGCAATGACTATTTTTTAAACGCATCTCGGAAAATCAATCTCTAGTGCCACCTTTTTATGAACGTGTCCTAGTATAGTAGTATGCACACTGATTTATCAATTTTCATATTTAAAATGCCAGGATTAAAAAGAAAAAGGAGCTGGATCAATTAATGAACTATTCAACCAGCAGTTATCGCTCAATTAATTAGTTAATTATCACTCAACTAATTAGTTAATTAACAACTAATTAATTAGTTTATTATCAACTAAATACTCAGGTTTGTTGCAGCGAAAGCCCTATCGACCCTATCATGTGGCGCTCCAAAACACCAAGCTAAGATAAGGGAGGCAGGAGGAGTGTTACCTTTGGTTAGAATGTTGAAGGGAAGTGCTAGTGAGAGGGTGTTACTAGCTGTTATTAGTACTTTAGCTGCTCTTTCTATTGGTTAGTGGCTTGTGACGTCACCTTATCTTGGTTATGATATTATCACGTGTTGTTTCGTGATGTCACGTGTTTTTTCGTGATATCACGTGTTGTTTTTTGGCATGTTTGTTTACCGGAGATGTCTTTAAACTCAGATCTTGAAAGTTCAATGGAAGCTCTGTTAAAGCCAATACAATACTTAATATTTCACCATTCACAATTAATGATTTGTACTTAAATGTATTTTGTTCTAATAGAATAAGATAAAATAGATAGTATTATGATCAACATGCTCCATTATTCCAGGATTAGCCCACACACCAGTGAAGCTGAATCAGAGTGCGATTGCTGGCGGAGGAGCGATCAAGTCTCTTGTATCTCTTGTAACTGGCAATTCTAATGATCTTGCCAAGGTAAATGTGCTAGCACGTCCGAACGTGACTCCTGTCCGAATTAGGTGACCGCAAAACGATTGTTGTCCGAATCTTAAATCTGATCCGAATACGGCAAAATTTAATGTCGATTTGGTAAATATGGGCAGGCTGTTATCTCCACTTATCTGCTCTTACCTGCTCCTCTTATCTAATGTCATCAGAATAATCATACCACATTCAAATTTGCTTTTATCGGTGTTTTGAGACGATTCCATAATTTAGGCTTGCATTTTCTCTATTCTAACAAGAACGACCTGGTGATTGATAAATCTCTCAAGTAACACAACCTAAACCTAGTTATTTTTCATCAAACTAACACAGCACGATGATACCCATACTACGTTTTATACATCTTAATTAATCAAGTGAGATAAAAGTATTATTCAAGTTCATTTTCAGTATATTAATGAATCAGTAGCTCAAGTAGCTTAAGACCTAGTAGTATGTTGGATCATGTCCATTTTCTGGAATTCTTGATTATCCGGTCCTCTAGCTGATTAATACTATCACTCTTGAAGAGCCGTGTGTTCTCAACTGTATTTCAAGTTTATTTTATTTCATGTTAATTAGTGAAGTCGTTCGCGCTAAATTTCGGAATAAACTAGTCAAAGTGCGGTTTATTCGGGTTAATTTTCACCATGTCGACTAATTTACCGATTAAGATAGGAATTATAGTACTAATTATACAATTATCAGAACCTTCTAATCATTCCAAGTTACGATTGATATTTTAACTAAATATTGACTAATTAACACTTTATATAATCATGTATTAAGTGACTAACTTACATGATTATATAACTAAATAATATCAGGTACAATCAGCGTACGCTCTGGCTTGCATAACTCTCGCACATGCGGATAATCAGAAACTTCTTCTCAAAGAGAAGTTCACTTTCACTCTACTGATTGATCTGTTGTACAGTTCTACAAGAGAGGTAAGCATGACGTCACGTGAGGGAGTGTGACGTCACGTGAGGGAGTGTGACGTCACGTGAGGGAGTCTAATGTCACATGAGGGATTTTTATAATATGCGGCCGGATCTTTATTCAACGAATAAGGAGGCAAACAATACAGGGATTCTGTAAATGAAAGCTCAATTCTACTACTATATTTTCTATGTTTTTACATTAATTTTCATCAAATTTCTTGCCCAAGAATCCCTGATTCGGGACCTGATGCGGGACAGGGATATATGGAGGGGGTTCTCTGGCGTAGATCGGACTTAGTTCCGACATAGTAGTAGTAGTAGTAGTAGTAGTAGTACATAGTAGTAAGAATCCCTTTTTAACTCAGTTTTCCCTCCTTCAGGTATCTCTTGGAGCTGGACGGGCTCTGACCACATTTGCTTACAATCATATTCCTACTCAAAAGAACATTGTCAAAGGAGGTAATGATAAATCAAACAAGTAAATTTAGTAAATCTCGCTCTGGGCACTAATACATTCATAGTCTCAACCATGACATCGCAGCAAACATATTAGCTGTATAGTTTTCACAAAGCTGATTCCAACAAATCCACTTGATAAACATAACGCAAGATCTAGATCCCTGCACAGTGCACCATGTCATAATCCATCACAAACACGTCCAAATTGCCGTCAACAAGCTCGTGTCAATGTGTCAAGTACTTTGCAAGCAATACACCAGCTCTACTCCGCAAGCAATCCGCCAGCCCTACTCCGCAAGCAATCTGCCAGCCCTACTCCGCAAGCAACCCGCCCTGGTGTATTAATTAGATCTGGTTCATGCTAGTTTCAACCACGTGGCAGTCACGTGGCAGTCACGTGCTAGTTTCAGTCACCTCACGTGTTGTGTAGCGGCGATGTGTCAAGTGGTATATAGTAGTAGTGGGAGAGTTGTGTAGGTTTCAGTGGATTCTTCTGTTGTTCTGGTCGTGGACTTGTAGATTGGGATTAGCTGATTATGAACATTTATAAAGTTTAGGTTAGTTCTGTCATGTTAAAGGAAACATGTTGGCTAGAACCATATCGTAAATTTGTATTGGAATTATGCAGCTAAACGATTGTAAACCGTGTGGTAGGTACTCCCCATGAAAGTTGTAACAAATTATACTTCCTCAGGCGAGATTCGTTACGAGCAGTTTATACAGTTCCTAGATTCAGATGATCAAGAGGAACAAGGTCACGCTGCTTTCCAGGTTAAACTTTCAAATATATCCAGTTATTTTATTTATATAGCGGTAAGACTGTGAACAATTAATATTATTGTTGGTGATTTTGTTGAACACTGGGGTATGGTAAGCATTCTGACTGGAATGTTCTAGAATGTTCTAGAACGTTCCAGTAGTATGAGATTTATTTATTTGCGATGACAATGTTCTATAAAAATACTAACATCACATTTTTATCACCGCTCTTTAGATCATATTACTGTTGTTGAGCGACCTTTCATCTATTTTAAGACAAATTACCAAATGTTTCGATTATGTAACAAAAATCTAAGATTACTGAGATGAACGCATCAATAAAATATGGTTGTTGAGTATCAGTACAATAGGCGCCAGATGAAAAATACCCTAAGCGAGGCCGCGCTCACATGTGCGGATAATATGGTCACCTCAACCAGTAGTCTGGTTACCATAATGATTTTATCTACTCAAGTAGGTATCAGCTCAGCATGATGATTATGATTTAAACCACCCGTAAAATTCAAACCACGTGATACCTCGCTGTTTTAAACCGATCAATGAGTAGAATATCACAAGTATTACCGTTCGTCAAATTTGTCCCTTAAAACACTGTCACGTCCCCATCTCACCAATTTGTTACCGTTTAACAGTAATTCCGTGCAATCGTGGAACTGGACTCCACCACCTACTCCAACGACACCCTCTTCGGGATACAGCACGAGGGAGAAAGAGCCGTGCTTGCAGCATGGTACCTATTTGTGGTTGTATCCTCTCTCCTCGGAGACACCGCTATCTTGGTGGGCTCGATAAAGTACCGGGCATTTGAACTGAACAAGGCTACAGTGGCCTTCATCCAACACATCGCAGCTGCTGACCTAGGATTCACTTCAACTTACCTCGCCTTCCAGCTCATCTCAATCATCGCAAAGAAACAGATGTACGGTCCCTGGATCTGCTTTGCAATACCCTACTTCGGGCATTACTTCGCCACTGCTGGTGTCCTCCTGATTTGTCTGATGACTGTGAGTAAACTGGTGATGATGTCCTTCCCTCTGAGGAGCTGGACTGGAGACGAGGCTCAAAAGATCTGTACTGGAATGTGGGTTCTATCTCTGTACTACCCCATCATATTCCTGGCCGTGGATAAAAGTGATGTGTATTTTGATTACAGGTCCTACAGCTGCATGTACGGGTATACTTCTGACGTTTGGAGGTATCTGCAGTCCATCATATTCGTCATCATCCCAGTTCTACCTAACGTGGTTCTAGTCATAGCAACAGTTATTCTGCTGGTAAAGGCGCAAAAGTTTGTCAGCAAAAGTCGGAAAAGTCTGCGTTGGCAAGGAATCCTTACAGTTCTGCTCACTGCTATCGTCTTCACCATGGCTTTCCTTCCCTACTCCATCTACTGTATCCTTGAGAAATCCGTGGGGGTAACTCCCACTTCAATTAAGTTCTTCTTCTCATTATACTACAGGATCTCTGTAGCTTGCATGGCTTTAAGTGCACTATCCAACTTCTTCATCTACAGTCTGACTGTACGAAGTTTCAGAGCATTCCTGAGAGCCAGACTGCACCTAGCATTCCGGACCAGATTCCATCTGGCTGCATTCCTCTTCTCCTCCACCAACTCAGCAGCTGAAAGAACGAGGACTCCTCAACAGGCGGGGATTAGTGAGGACAGTTTGCAGATAGTTGTTGAGAGGTTACGACGAGAGAACTTTAACATGAAGGAAATTGCTGCTAGGAATTCTGCTGGGAACACTCCTGCTGGGGGTACCCCAACTGGAGGTAATTCTACGAGAAACACTTCTGTGGGGTCTCTCGGGGACATTCCTGAAATCACTGCTGGAAATGTTGGGGATAATTGGACTAGAGGTAATTCTACGAGAAACACTCCGTTGGGGTCTCTCGGGGACATTCCTGAAATCCCTGCTGGAAATGTTGGGGATATCGCTAATGGGAACGTCAGGGAAATGCCTTCTAGAGATGTTTCTGTTGGGGATGTTTTTGATAAGAATGCTGGGGACAGTCCTTTTGGAGATGCTTCTGCTGGAGATGTTGTTGATGAGGACATTGGGAACGTTCCTTCTAGGGATGGTTCTATTGATGAAGTTTTTGATGAGGAGCCTGAGGACATTCCCTACCTAGGCACTTCTGTTGGGCACATTCCTGCTGGCAGCGTGAGGGCTGGGGACGCTCCTACTTCTGTCTGGAATGTTTCTGATGGGGGTTTTGAAGAAGAATACTCTGTAAATTATTAGTCTTAATTGAGGAACTATTATGTGTGCGGATATTATTGTACTTTAATCTGTATAAATTGATTGTTTGAATTGAGGAGCTTTTTCAAACGAGAAAAGTATTTGAAACAACATTTTTTGAACGTGATATTTTGTAACTATTATGTATCTTCAGTCTTGACATGTTTGTATTGTACTGTATGGTAGATCTTAGTGCATTTTTTGTTGTTGCTACCAGAAGCTTCTTTTCTAATTTTAGACTTTTGTGGTGTTTTTCTATTTTCATTTGCCTTTGATACGTTTTAGTTATTTCATTTCAATGTTGGGTTTCATTTGAAGACTACTTATCACTGTAGAGTAAATAATAAAGCCACTTAAAAGCAGACAAAGGAAATAAAAAATTAAATAATCTAACCAAGAAGCTGTAGTAGTTTGACTTATCGAACTATCATTTCATACGAAAAATTTCAAACTCAATCTACAATATTTGATCTCATTAATTTGTAATTTTAAACTGAAATATTTCAGGTGATAATATTAGCACGTGTAATGACCGGTGAAGATCACGTGTTAGTCATGGCACAAGGTATACATCATCAAATTAATAATTATCATCATACTATTTTGTATTGGTTACTGTGACATTTTAGTTTGGTCACTCAGATTATTCAAAAATTGTTGAAATCAGACAAATTTACAAGTAAGTCTTCAAAGATTGCAATAACATACAACCTTTGATATTACCATGATGTTTAACAAATAACTTTGTCAGGTATCCAAATATTATATCAGTTACTGCAGAGCGATAATGAACTGATACAAGAGCTAGCTGCCAACAATATCGCTAGTTTAGCTCACACCCGAGCAGGTAAGAGAATATATCTCATCAAATATCCAACATGGTAAAATTATTCCCTCTTAATTTCATCAATACTGATTAAACGTGTCCATGAAACACAACACAACGTGACCTGCGGTGTCCCAAAACTACGAAAAATCGTTATCTTCTCGACAATAATTTCATCAACATCTAAAGTACGACGTATATCCCTGACTCACTCTGATAACACTCTCTTCTGCCCCTAGGAATCCCCGCCGCGCTGGTCAGCGTTGGAGCAATGGACACACTGATTGAGCTGTTGTACTCACCTGCTGAGCTCGTGCGAAGTTCTGCTGCCACGGCTGTTGGTTACATGACATTCAATAGAGGTGCTATGAGAATACTGCTCACTGCATGTCGGAGGTGTGTTAACAAGCGCTGGAACAAAATATTTAACTTTTTTCCTTGTATTTTTTAAATATTAAACGTAAGAGCTGTGTATCAATTTCAATTTTTCCACGGTAAATGTAATACTTACGGGCCTTCATATCTCCAGGAAGCCGGATCTTTTCCAGATTCTACAAGAGAATTTAGGAGCCGGGAAAATATAGTAGCTAGTAACCATAGTTACACTACTAGTTACCATAGTTACACTACTAGTTACCATAGTTACACTACTAGTTACCATAGTTACACTTCATATTTCCAGGAAGCCGGATCTTTTCCAGATTCTACAAGAGAATTTAGGAGCCGGGAAAATATAGTAGCTAGTAACCATAGTTACACTACTAGTTACCATAGTTACACTTCTAGTTACCATAGTTACACTTCTAGTTACCATAGTTACACTTCGTATCTCCAGGAAGCCGGATCTTTTCCAGATTCTACAAGAGAATTTAGGAGCCGGGAAAATATAGTAGCTAGTAACCATAGTTACACTACTAGTTACCATAGTTACACTACTAGTTACCATAGTTACACTACTAGTTACCATAGTTACACTTCTAGTTACCATAGTTACACTTCTAGTTACCATAGTTACACTACTAGTTACCATAGTTACACTTCTAGTTACCATAGTTACACTTCTAGTTACCATAGTTACACTTCGTATCTCCAGGAAGCCGGATCTTTTCCAGATTCTACAAGAGAATTTAGGAGCCGGGAAAATATCCGACGTTTTTATCAGAGAATGGGAATACTGTCTGACAGTTGGACTGCCATCACAATCGTACGTTTAGATTTATGATCATGTAAACATGAATTGTGTCACATAAAATTTAGTACACTTAAATAATTAACAACTTGCCGAAACGATTTGATTCATAATCTTCGTTTATTTCAAAATATTTGATGATCTTGACAAATCTTGACGAAACTCCCGACCCAAACTGTTTTTGTTTTTATTCCGGGAAACACTTTGTCAACGGGGGCTAATGTTCTTCCTTTCAGTTGTCACTTGATGCCAGTTGATCACATAGTTGATGTTGGCGACAGTTCTCAGTCTACACTAATTGCCCACTTGAAAACAACAACTGGCACGATCGTAAGTAGCTGAATCATTTAGCAATTAGCCAACTCGTTATTGTAAGTTGTAACCATGTTAACATGTTACGCTATAACCCAAGATTTGAGTGCTGTTTGGTTTACATAAGTGGCTATTAAATGTAACGCGCGCTCTCCGAACTGATTTTATGTGATAAAATTGCTCTTGTTGCTAGGGATAGCACATTTTGCACAAACAGCGACGGCGCGGCTTTAGACTTAACTTCTGTTCGAACGTTTGATCTTGACCGCCAAATTTACCGAATCGAGCAGAAGACGGCTGTCAAACCTCTTTCTCATCTGCTTCTCATCTGCTTTTTGCAGAGCACCAACTCCTTATTTAGATCTCAAGTAACTAAGGCGATAAATTTTACCGGTTGTGAATTTTGATAAATTTTGTTTGATATCGTTTCAGTCACTTCGCCTAAACTAAGGATCTTCATCGAATGACTGTCCAATATTCAGTATTAGATATTTGCGCCTATTTTTGTCTAAACATAAACTATAGATAATTTATGCTCATTTTCTGAATAGGTTATGAATATTATGACCATCCCTTTAGATTCTGTGCCCGCTAAATAAACTGTAGTGATAATAATATGTTCAATTACGAAACCATGGCCGACTGATCGTTACGAGTCGGCCGACGGCCATGGTTTTTACTGTTATATACGTGACACGTATTTAATGTTTAATCTTAAAAAGTTACGTTAAATTGGATATGACCACAAACTACAGAGTGCTTGGTATTTGAACCTTGCAAATTTTGGTGTCGTATCATTTTGAATTCTTTATCTGACGTAATCCTCCAACAGGACACTCCAACATACGGAACTACAGTGACAGAAGACATGTTTGAAAATTCCAGCACACACCGATACACTTCAGCTTCTTCGTTAATGCTGCAATAGTGATCAGTGACGTTATAGTGACGTTATAATAAGCGGTGACGTCATGTTTATTTCAATATATAATCAAATGTCCCGGGTCGTCAAGCAAATGTCTAGTAAATTAACAACTGATTTCTTAAAGTAATCCTGATAGAGGATTCAAAATCCGATGGGAAATTTTGGATAAGATTGCGATAGAAATAACACTTTGATGACAGTTCTTGATAAATCCATCTAAATTATACTATCTGACTTGCTTTCAGAAAATTTAAGCTTCTTTTATGTGTGAAAATCTTTCAGTTATTTTAGACTTCAGGTGTACTTAATATGAATTATTTTACTTCAAATGTAAATAGTTGTAAGTAAATTGTATAGTTAAGTATCTAAGTATTTACACACTGTTTTACATCTAAATTACTAATAACATGTGTTTTTAATTTATACCACATTCCGATACAGATGGTAGCTGTGATCTGTAGTGTATATAATGTCACTACGCAGATCGTTAAAAAAACACAAAATATGCGTTTTAAGTTGAGTCTGATCACATATTATGTTATACTATAAGTCTTAAACAGCCACCCAATATGACCAATATTTTGTATCCTGCAACGATCGATACCATTGCTTTATAGTCATACCCCTATAATCTATATACCATTCTCTTTGGAAGGGACTGGCGCCAGCAGGTCTCTCTGCAGTTTATTCGGCTAATGCGTTCATCAGACATCAGTGCAGTGCAGCATATAAGTTTCAGGGCAGCGCTCAGCCTGTCACTCCACCACATCTTCATCTACATTTATATGGAATCTAAGTCTGACGTTCCCAGGTAACGCATAATCTGCAGAAAACAAAATTGTTTTTAGAACTTTATGCTGCACTGATCGATTGGTTGAACTACAAACCGCGTATTATACAAATATTCTAGAATCTCAGGGGTGTCTAGTCAAGTAAAAGGTCACGACTTGGATTACCTAAAACCCACCTTAAAATATCTTTTTGTTAGTAATTTTATTAACGATCGAGTGCTGACTTGGTTTGTGCAGCTTTCCTGCAGATGTTGCCTGACCGGACACGTGTGCATTGCATCATTTGGTCAATGTGAGACAGGAAAGGTCACTGAAGGTCAACTAGATTGAGTTAGTAAGGTCGCAACGTACGTGAGACAAGTGCAGCTTGAGCTAAGCGTTGCAGCTGAGCTCTGCAGCAGGAGTTTATATTTATTATCACGTTTGCAATTCGTGATTTTTTAGAAGCGTCGAATTGTTGGGCGGGTCAAGTTGTTTAAACGAATAAAGTGTTCACCATAAATAAACTTACAGCGTATTATATTTTAATTGTCTCTTTTTTAAAAATATACTCCTTCTTCGATTGATAAATTATAAAAATCTATATCACTCGAAGAAGGAGTATATTTCATAAAAACGGATTGCGATAACAAAATTATTGTCAAAACAGACATATTTTCGGTTTATAGTTTCAGCTATGAGCTAGCTGTTGCGTCTATTACAGCATTGCAATAAAAAGCATTATCATCACCGAACCATATTGCTTCATGCCACATCAAAAATATCGAGATAATGGCGAAAAACTGTCTTGATCACGTGATATGACCGTATAAGGAAGTTGGTTGAATTTCTCGTTAGGGTTAGGGTTTCAGCATATACTTTCGTTAGGGATTGGGTTAGGGTTAAGGTTGTGATCAGATAAGAGGGTTCGGGTTTCGAAGAGTCGTTCAGGATCAGGGCCAGCTTGAGCTAGAGAACGAGTTGAAAAAGTCACGTGACAGTCGAGTGTAGAGTGATTAATCATCATCCACTTTATGCCACATCAAAAATATCGATCGGTATCAAATTTGTTGCATTTGACCCAGTCAAAAAAGTTCCAGTTGTATATCTTTTACGCGGTTTTTGCGAAAAGTCGTGTTAAAGTTGATGCCGTGGTGTCAGTAAAATGGTACGGATCCATCCTGATCCATATATATCGTTTCGCTTTATATATACTTATAGTAAGATTATCAATATCAACAGATCATTGCTTTTTACCGCACCGAAGTCTATATACAACCGGCAACTAAAGTTAAGTTATTGGTTTTGTCTATTTCAGAATTAAACCTAAAAACGACCGTAGTTGGTATACGGTAGTCATTTCCAGATTTTAATATCATATCATATCCGCCATAAATAAACATAAAGCCGTTTTGTTGTTTGTATGCTGGGGCATAATAAGCTGTATTCAAGTTGAAATAAATGTTTACTGTTTACTGTTTAGCCCCAAAATCAATAAAGCTGCCTTTCCCCAATGGTTTATTAATATATTGATAAAGTGATAACGTACTAGTACCATACAGTAGTCTGCGGGCTAAATATTTATTTGTTATAGTTATATACTAATTACTTTGATCGAGACACTAAATTTCTTTGCATTGTTCCCTTTGTTTTTTGTGCCGGTCTTTATCATTTATTAAGAACTCAAAACAGTCCGACAGTAATTTGATTCGAACTACAAATTATAACTATTTATAAGTTCAAAGAAATTGTTTAATAATTTATTGTCTGTATCACATATCTGCAAATGTCGCACAATGCATTGCAGCTCCAGATCATAAACTTAATGATACGGATCATATATAATAGACTTAAAGTTAAATAATACTTCATGATACTCCATGAACGGAATACGTAATTCAGACTGTTTAATGTAATAACTTTTGCTGTTTCTGCAAAAATTCCTAAAAATTGGTCGATCATCATGCAATGGCATCGCCATCATTTTACTAGGTGGCGCTCAGCTTGTCATTCCGTCGAATCTCTATTCTCTGTTTATATGAGCATGATAGGGGTCCCCCAGGTAAGGCATCATCGTATTTCGTAAGAATACGGGTAACACCGCCTGAGAAAATTGTAAACTCGATCTTTTCTCTAAAAGAGTAAAAGGGCCCCCTGGCCCCTACAGACACAATTGAAACCAACTTTGATTGATGTATTTTCGAACACTGATACCGAATCATCCCCCATGACAATATGACATAGGGTTAAAATGCTCCCCTGGCGAGATATTGGCGGAAAACTGTCTCGATCACGTGATATGATCGTATAAGGAAGTTGGTATAATTTCTCGTCAGGGTTAGGGTTTCACTTTCAGCGTATGCTTTTGTTAAGGATTGGGTTAGGGTTAGTATAGGGTTGTGATCAGATTAGAGTGTTAGTCTGTCACTACTTTTATATTGGCCTTTTATATTGGCCACGGCGGTGAAATTTCGGGAGTAGTGGAAGATAACAAACACTGTCGGTCTCCTATATTCTCTGGAGGATTATAAATTAAGTTGAGGCTAACTTTCAAAGGCTCCGGAGAAATTGTTTACAAGATGAAACAGCTGATCAGAAAAGATCTTTGTACCTAATATTCTCAAATATTGGGTTTCAGTTTTGTAAAATAATGAGATGAAAAAAATCCTCAAATATCATGACTTAATTTGGGGTAAGAAATGTGGCGGTTTTCGGAAAAATTCCCATATTTTCGTTCTCAAATCATTTAGGTCACCGGAATTATGTCGAACATAAATATGTCTCGTAAGGTATATTATATAAGTATCAACATTAATAATTTTATCCATGATATTCTGAACTATACCGAATTTCTCTTTTATGACTTATGATTTATCTCCATATTTATAATTGTATAGAGATTTAATTGCAGCACGGTTGGGACCTACCTTATCGGATTTTATTTGAACGGACATTATGTGAAGTGCCAAGTGGGGTGCTACCGTTCTAGAGATAAAGCTCAAGTTGTACTTCAGGCATTCTAGTATCTCTGGTAGAGCAGTTGATATCGCTCATTTATACCTGGTACAGCTACGAGTTGGATAAACAACCAGTTGTTAGAGATCTAGAAGATGTAGAGGTAGATTAATAGTAACTCCGAAGAAATGAACGAGGAACTGTAAATTAAGAAAGTGCAGAAGTGCCATAATATGATATTTAGAATATTTAAATTTTGTAATAACTTGTTTTTCATTGATTCAATGATATAGTTTAGTCCAATGATAGCGAAATTGAAATTAACTGAAATTTAGAAGTTGTCATATCCTGGACAGTAAGTGAATTAATTTTTGAAAAACATTCGACGGACTTTAATTTGACAGGACATTAAAATGAACGTTAGGGCCTCCAGCGTTCAATTGATATCCGTTCAAATAAGGTTCGATAAGGTATAAGGTATCTCCTAATCGCCAGGCATATGATTATGCACTCGTGCCATTTGTACAACTTTTAGGAAACTTATTTTATTCGAATTGTTCCTTCTGTTTCCAGAAATAAGGATACAATTTTATTTTATCTCCGATCGTTGTTAGGAATTTGGAACAGTCCAAGTTGGTCTGAGTCCAACAATAATCTGATTTGAAATAACAAATTTTATATCTATTTATAAGTAAAAGTTTATAGAAACTGTCTAACATGTGTATATATTTCTGCGGATGTTGTTCTGCAAATGTTGCAGCTGCACAGATCACAGACTTAATTAACGGAAGATGCAATTCAGACTATTTAACTTAATCATTGCATTATTTAATGGTAGCGTTAAAATTAAATAATAAAAGTTAAGTTAGGCATATGATTATGTCTCGTGTCATTTTTACAGCTCTTATGCTCTTATGAGATCCCCTGATATGTCATCTGCTCTATATTTTGGCGAGTAAGGGCCTTCCTTCAGTTTTTGCCCAACCGGGATTCGAGCTCGCAATTATAAGTATCGCAATTAATATCGCAATTAATCAATGTGTCAGTAAAATGACACATTGGTTAATTTCAAGTGATTGCAATGATAATTTTTTAATGTTTCTCATCGTTAAATAATTTACTAACAACCTTGAAATTATTTTAACAAATAACGTAATTATTCGCAGTGGGCACTTGTGAAGGTCCGGCCGTGAATTTTTTGTTCATACACTTTTTATTATAGAGCCTGCGATGTCACTATATCTTATTCCTAAAATTACTATTTTACTGCTTCGAGGTTTCCTGTTTATGCAAATATTAAAATTAATTGTTCCATATTCAACATTCATACTAACAACCTTGAAATTATTTTAACAAATAACGTAATTATTCGCAGTGGGCACTTGTGAAGGTCCGGCCGTGAATTTTTTGTTCATACACTTTTTATTATAGAGCCTGGGATGTCACTATATCTTATTCCTAAAATTACTATTTTACTGCTTCGAGGTTTCCTGTTTATGCAAATATGAAAATTAATTGTTCCATATTCAACATTCATAACGGCATAATTTTTTCTATTTTGACGGTTTTTCCTACTATACATAGAAAACTCTATGGAGGTGAAAAATCAGAAATAAGGTCATTGAGTATTGATTGTCATACGTCGTATGACCCGCCTGTATCGTAGAAACTCTACAGGGGTAGTGAAACGACGATGGGGATCACGACGTGATACAAAGTATTGATAATATAACGGGCCAACGGGGCAATGTCTTAATTTTCGTGGTTGTTGTACTATTCGTATCGAATTAAATTGTATTGGATTATTCGGACCCACCCAAACTCCAAGTTGTACTTGAATTTGTTCTCTGTCGCTCTGTCAATCTGTAGTCTGTACTTAAATGTATATAAGTGAAGATTGTGGGTGGAGCATAATAACTACTGTTTAGTGTTTACATGATCTCATCTCATTCCAAGAAATACAACTAGAAATATCAATGGAAGCTTAGAGAAACAACCAATATGCATTTATCGTGATGTATAACCTTTAAAAATCTCTTACCAGGGTAGTTCCATGGTTTTAAAGGGCACGATGCTAGCGTGCATCATACTGCTATGCCTTCAAGGGGTTCTTTTCGCAGGTCAGGAGAAGGATTTGTACATATTTACACTAAGATTTTTATGTGCACTATATCCTATTTTATTTTCATGTCAAATCAAATAGCCAGATATCAGCTGCATCGATCAATTCGAAATATTTAGGGATTGTTCCTAGAATAGAAATCTATTTTCAGTCCCAAACATCTGTTAATACTTCAAGGGTTTTATTGCAAATCGTAATTAAATTTTCGGCATTGATTGCCACTATCTCTAACACCTGCTGACAAGTTTTTCTTTACAGATTGCCCAGCTGGAAGCTTCATGTCAGCTGACGGCTGTGAGGAATGCGGAGTTGACCATTACAGTGCTGCAGGAGCTACATCCTGCACCCCCTGTCCTGGCGGACAGTTATCACAAAAGGGATCTGATTCTGTGAACGATTGTTATGATGGTGAGTGCATTGACATTTTACTGACCAAATTTGTTATACTCAATTTGACCAAAACCCATAATCATGGGTAGAGTGAACCGCTGCCAGTGTCTCTCTTTTCCAAACAAAAGGAAATGATATTAATTTGAGGAACCGTCCGCAAATGCAAATTGATACCGAGAATGAAATCGGTCGCTCGCTTTTCCCATTCAATAAGCTTTATTACAATTCCTAAGCTGGCGCGTATTTTGCGCAAATTTCTTAAAAACCTCCACATAACTATTTCTTATTCCTGTCATCTTTAACATTGAATTAGAATGTTTTGAACTTAAATATACCTGCTGAACTACTTTCGATGAGTTTTAACTTTTTAATGCCTGGAAAACAATAAAGGGGATATAATAGTATAGGGGGTAAATAGTATTGTGAATATAAAGGCAACGGTAATGCTTGCCAGCATTGTGATTTCGTGATATGTTACAAGTTTCATGACAAACAAGGCATTATGCTTTATTTCTAGGTTTATGTTTGGGAGCATTTTGAGACAGCACCATTTATTAGCATCTAATCTGAAACTACCTTATCGGACCTTATTTAAAGGAACTTACTTGAACGCTGGAGGCCCTAGCGTTCACGTTAATGTCCGTTCAAATAAAGTCCGTTCAATTAATGTCCGTCCAAGTTAAAGTCCGTTGAATTTTTTTTCAAAACTTTTTCCATTTCGAACTTTTTGTCCAGAATATGACAACTTTTTAATTTCAGTCAATTTCAATTGCTATCATTAGACTAAACTATATCGTTGAATCAATAAAAACAAGGTATTATAAAATTTTAACAATCTGAATTGTAAATATCACATTGTCATTATTGCATGATCACTATCTTGAAGTTGATCTTCGGCTTCTTCTACCTCATTTTGTCTTACAACTGGTTGTCTGTCCAACTCGTAGTCGTACCGGGCAATGAACGATCCCAACTGCTCTATTAGAGAGATACTTGAATGCCTAAAGTACAGCTTAGCTTTATCTCTTATAGCTCCCCACTTGGTATAGGCGACCTTCGGTGGCTTATGTCAGCTACGATACCTTCTACCATACCACCCATCTCGATAAAGGTGAAGACAAACCGGGATATCTCCCTGCACGAAAACCCATTTGATGAAGATGATATGTGATATTAGATAATGATCATGTACACATATTTTAACATTTTTACTTATTATAAACTGCTTTTCTTGCTTAGTGTATGAAAAATGGATTTGAAAATCATTTGCTAAAAATATTTAAAAAAAGTAAAAAAAAGGTTGAAACAAATTCGGATTTTTGATGGTTTTGATTGCCTTCTAGCGTTCATATTAATGTCCGTTCATAATTATGTCCGTTCAAGTAATGTCCGTCCAAATAAGGTCCGATAAGGTAGTTAAATTATTCAAGCTATTTCAATTATTTATTTTATTTCAGAGGCTGATGCTGCTGGCGAGGAAATTATTTATTTATTAGATAAAGTCACTGTAAAAGAGTACTTTACTAAAAAGGGTGAGCTTGTGATAATTCTATTTATAGAAACGGTTTAAATGAGCAATTATTAAGCCAGATGAACGATTCGCAAAGAGGTGATACTTTCGATAACGTATGATTTTTGGTTTCTAACTTATATTTGATTTCTGAATAACACGAACGAACTAAAACCTAGTTTGAATCTGGAGAGTCGTTGTAAACCATAAACATATTACAAATTTCAGGTGTGATTGAAGAGGGTAAGTTTTTATTTATATATTTATTTATGTAAATTTATTTAATTATGCAAATGACGGTAAATTTGTATGTAAATCCTTGGTATCAACACATTGATATTCATATTCATGTCATAATTAACTACTACCAGCAATTTGCGATTAGACACATTTCTGCACAACAAATATAATGGATACATTTTAATGTATCATCTTGGTGAAAATGTTTAACAATAATTTCTAACATAATTATTTTACAGAGGGTCCAACCACAACCATTAACAAAGGTTTGAAATATTTTCCATTTGTTTCTTTTTTTCTTTTATCTTATTGTTTATTTTTCTGCTGCCCACAATGTCACGTCCAATAAAGAGTGAAATATTATAATACCGTTTGATCGTGTTTTTGTTGTTGATTCGTTCATACAAATTATTTGGATTTTGTTTATTTCGACGTAATAGTGTTAGAGACCCTACAAAGTCTCGAAAATATACCAAATTTTGAAGTTAGTCACTACGTATAATAATGATCAGCGATCCCATTCAAAAGTGAATAATTTTCAAAAACAACAATTTCAGGGTACGTATGTCCGGAGGGACAAACAAAGTGTGGCGATATTGACGAATGTGTTCCCAACAGTGGTCTATGTAATGGAGGTCCTGCGTGTTCAAATGGTTTTGATGAATCAGCGGAGTTTTGCACAAGTATGCAGAATTATTCCTCAATATAGTTTTAATTATGTGTTGAGTGGTTAGGATTTATTCATTCGATAGACAAAGTAGGAAATTTGTTTCGAAGATGGAAAGCAGTTGGGTGATTTGGATTAATATTCTGTTGCAAAAAAAACTGAACAAAATTTACCTCCATAGCTCTAAGTCTAACAATATACAATACAATAATACTATAAAATAGTACTACAAAAGTACTATACAGGTTTTGAATGCCCTGCTGAACAGCAGAAGTGTGCGGATGGAATCCAGTGTTTTCCTTCATCTGGAAAATGTGATAAATTTAGATATCCTCACTGTAACGACAAGTCCGACGACGTGGGCTGCGCTTGTAGAGATGGCGAAATGATGTGTGCTGACGGAAATGGATGTGCTTCCTATCTAAAAAAGTGTGACGGTCACGCACAATGTGCTGACGGGTCCGATGAGAGTGACGACATTTGCTATGGTTAGCACTTATCAGAATAGATATTTGAAATAATATTCAACATAACATTTACCTTAGTGAAAAAAGTACTTTTCCAAAATGAACATAATTATATGGAGAATATTTTTAATTTGCAACATTTAAGCTCCGCATTCAAACGGCAGATTTCCTAGGTTCAAGTTAGTTCAGCACTGCTTTAATTCAATATAACATATTTATTATGTTCAAACTAGTTTCTGGTGAATGCTCGATCGGCACGAAAAAGTGCGTCAGTGGTGACCAGTGTGTCGCTAAAGGGTCAACATGTGACGGAAGTATCAATTGTTTAGACGGATCGGATGAAGATCCGGATTTCTGTATAAGTTAGTGAAGTTATTATTGAACTTAATTAGCTTATTTGCTTAAATTAGTTACAATTTAACTCAATAACTCAATAAACTAATTAAATTTTATCAGTTATTACTCAGCTTAATTAGCTTGTTCGCTTATATTTGTTACAATTTAACTCAAAAAGTCAATAAGCTTATTAACTTTTATCAGTTATTATTTAGTTTAATTAGCTTATTTTCTTATAATAGTTACAATTTAAATGAATAACTCAATAAGCTAATTAACTTTTATCAGTTATTGTTTAGCTTAATTAACTAATAAGCTTAAATTAGTTATTATTTAAGTTTGATAAATAAGTAAAATGTCAGTAAATTTTAGTTTATCAAAGTTTTGTCCACTTAACATTTAATAAGTCAACAAATCACTGTATCATGTATATTGTATAACTATAATTAATGTACTGTATATAATTTTACTATATCTAATTTTTGAAACCAGCCTACGAGTGTCCGGGGTACCAAAAGAAGTGTGATGGTAATAAATGTCTGCCCGTATGGGATCTGTGTGACTCAAAGCCAAACTGTAAGGATGGATCGGACGAAGATCCTGCATTCTGTGCTGGTAAGCAAATTATTTTAACAATATTAAGCTATATTACTATAATAGTGGAACAGCAATACTAAGGTAATGGGAGTATTGCTGTTCCACTACTACAGAAATAATCCCGATAACACTCGACCTCTGCCTGATCCAGAGGATATCACCATTTTACCTTCACACAGACATCGAACGCTGTACGAAGATGACGATCAGACCTCATTATATTACTATAAGTTGAGAATTATGAATTATAAACAAATAATAAATAATAAATAATCACTTTACCAGCCTACGAGTGTCCGGCAGCCAAAAAGAAGTGTGCGGACGGTATGCAATGCCTTCCTAAGAAATTCTTCTGTAATGGTAAAACACAGTGCACTGACGGGTCAGATGAGTCCGAGGAAGAATGCGCAGGTTCGTAGAATCATTATTGAAATTTGAAATATTTGAAGTATGGAAATATTGAGATTTTATTAACGAATTGCAACAATGAGAAAAAACGAGTAAGTCAGTTTTTCTGATAATAATGTATTTTTAATTCAGAGGAAAAAGGAGGAGGAGAAACAGTCATTGAGCACGGAAAAGGAAAAGGAAAACAAACGATTGGTAAGTAGCACACCCAGTATTTGATTTTTATCGACCACTAATCATTATGAGCTTGCTTGTAGATGCATTAGTAAATTCTAACGTTGTTTTAACAACATTGCCCTTCATTCTCTTTGACGGATTTAGGAACTTAATATTAAATTAAAGAAAAGTTAAGAGAATATCATTTTTTAGAAAAGGGTGAAAGAGTTAAAGGAGTGACGGATCAAGAAAGCCGAAGGGGGCCACCAGAGCCAGTAGACCCAGAGCCAGTTGTCCCAATAGATCCAGAGCCAGTAGACCCAGAGCCAGTGGTCCCAGTAGACCCAGAGCCAGTAGTCCCAATAGACCCAGAGCCAGTAGTCCCAGTAGACCCAGAGCCAGTAGTCCCAGTAGACCCAGAGCCAGTAGACCCAGAGCCAGTAGTCCCAGTAGACCCAGAGCCAGTTGTCCCAGTAGTCCCAATAGACCCAGTCCCAGTAGACCCAGAGCCAGTAGTCCCAGTAGACCCAGAGCCAGTAGTGCCAGTAGACCCGGAGCCAGTAGTCCCAGTAGACCCAGAGCCAGTTGTCCCAGTAGTCCCAGTAGACCCAGAGCCAGTTGTCCCAGTAGTCCCAGTAGACCCAGAGCCAGTAGTCCCAGTAGACCCAGAGCCAGTAGTCCCAGTAGACCCAGATCCAGTTGTCACAGTAGACCCAGAGCCAGTTGTCCCAGTTGTCCCAGTAGTCCCAGTAGACCCAGTCCCAGTAGTCCCAGATGGTAAGAAGACCTGCGACTGCTGGACTCCAGAATGTGGTTTCTGTTCAAACCCAGAATGCTCTGTCAAGCTGATTGGTGGGCTCGCCGGCTCTAAAGGTATTGGAGTACGCTCCTTCCTCCACAAAAGAAAAGTCAAGACCATCGTCATGTATAAAAATGATGGAGATTCAATCGGACAGTTCCAGTGGAGTTTGAACAGGATCTCAATGTCCGGCTGTGTCAGCTGTCACACACCTCAACGCATAAGGTACAAGGTAAAGGGGCTTCCTGTCGGAACTGTTGGCTGGAGATTTGCCATCAACGATGGAGTTGTTGAGCTTAGTGTTGAGGGTGAGATCTTGTTCACCTCGAAGCTGACAAGACAATGTGCGGAGGTATACGGAGACGTGAAAAGCTTCTCTTTTACCGGAATGAGCTGCAAGGGCTCGTTTGCCTACGCTTCTGAGGAAATGAAACTTGCAACTATCTGTGGTGGAGCTGATAAATGCCCCACCAACGCATAATTAGCATCATAATTAGTACAGTTAATGCTAATTAACGTGTTTTCAATGGAAAAATGAACAGTGAACTGGTTTAAGCTTAAAATGTGTCGTGCATGAACCCAGCAAACCCCACAATTTCAAAATCATGGAGACTATGTCTAGAAGAGTTGAAATAAATGTCTATATTTTTGGAAAAAATGTTTAAATTATTTTATAAATAACATCAACTGTGTCATCATTTAAATTTAACTGAATTATATGTACCTTATCGGATCTTATTTGAACGGATTAACATGTCCCTACAAGTCAAAGTCCGTTGAAATTTGTTATCTATCGTCGGACTAAATTATATCATAAATCACAATTATTAATGCTTAACAATCGCTTTTTTTGCTTACCGTATAAAAAATCAATTGAAAAATCGTATACTACAATTGAAAAAAACGTCCAAAAAGAGATTTCGGTAATGGCCTCGATAACCTACACGATGTGAGCTCCTGCTTTTTCCTTTCCCTGTACATATATCTATATATGGACACGTTCATTTTATTATTTAAGAAACTGTTTACACCATTAAAATATTCAAAACCCCTAAAAGAAATCAAGTCATCCTAAAATGGTGATCAGTACAGATCAAGACAGCTAGAGTTAAAATTTCGTTCATTTGAGTTTGAGGATATTGGTAAATATAAGTGACCCTATTAAAAGGCACAGTGTAGTTGACTTTGTCACACTATGAAATTACTTAAACCCTTGATGGTTAGGATAATCGTCTCATCCTTTAGGCTAACTTTGTCACATAACGATATCTTAATCAGGTGATAAGATATCGCTTAAATACGGCCGGCACGGAAATGGTTACATTGTCACACTATAAACATGTGACGGAGCAAATATGGACCCCTTGCTGCCGTTTTTGACCAAATTTTTTAGTGTCCAGTTGATTGGATGGGTTGATTAGTTGACTGACTATTGATTACTGACTACTGACTACTGACTACTGACTACTGACTACTGACTACTGACTACTGACTACTGACTACTGACTACTGACTACTGACTACTGACTACTGACTACTGACTACTGACTACTGACTACTGACTACTGACTACTGACTACTGACTACTGACTACTGACTACTGACTACTGACTACTGACTACTGACTACTGACTACTGACTACTGACTACTGACTACTGACTACTGACTACTGACTACTGACTACTGACTACTGACTACTGACTACTGACTACTGACTACTGACTACTGACTACTGACTACTGACTACTGACTACTGACTACTGACTACTGACTACTGACTACTGACTACTGACTACTGACTACTGACTACTGAGGGGGGGGGGGGGGGTGGGGCAAATTCTAAACATTTTTTCGGCATGTGCGAAATCGCGATTTTTCACGTTTGTCGCGACAAATCGCAATTTTTTCAAATCCTGGCCTCTCGTCAGATTGCGATTTTTTCAGTACTCCGCAACAAATTGCGCATTTTCCTTTAAATATGAAGACCAAATTCGCCTATTTTCCTTCAAATCTGCGGGCCAAATATCACGTTTTCTATAAAGCTATAAGTATATGAAACCAATAACATCCACAGCTCCTTGTGAATGTAGGTACAGACTTCAGAAAACCGAAAAAATATTTTCGGCTCATAATGATCAGGGTAGCATTAAACATAAACAAAAGTAGTTTCCAGAAAAACTTTGAAAAATGTTGACTCAGAAAATGTTCGGTCCGAGTCATTTTCGATACACGATACGTACCTCTGAAGGCAGAGCTCCCGCTTCCGAGCTCGTATTGGGAAGGAGAGGCCTGCCTGGCTGCCTTCCGAGATCGCATTAAACCTTCCAGATAGAAGATTATTCGTCTTATTACCATACTATAACTATCCATGGAAAGTGTAAGAAAATTCAAGAGATAATCGACTTTCAGTTCTCAAAATAATCGACCCTCGTCAAATATTGTTCCGCGGAACAAATGGAATGGAAAGTCCAACTCGGTGATTTAACGTGATATGACCAGTACCCATATTAATCCAGGTATAAATCCTATAAATAAACTGCACGTTGCACAAAGCCTACCTTACTCGGGATTATTATGACCGGGATAAAGTGGTGGGTTTAGGGTAATTTCGCCATATTTTTCCCGAACCACATTTTCACCGGTCGTTAATAAACCCGCCTACTCAGCTTTTAGGGTTCCCAAGGGGTATGGGTGCTCATATTTTAATCGTTGTCTTATATTCACTAAAGAAGACTATTGGGACACTTGTTGTAGGTTTTTCGACTTCATTTGGCTAAAATTGCAAAAAATTCACCTTTTTGCCCAATTCTGGTCATATATCCTTATTAATGAGGTCTGATCGTCATCTTCTTACAGCGTTCGATGTCTGTGTGAAGGTAAAATGGTGATATCCTCTGGATCAGGCAGAGGTCGAGTGTTATCGGGATTATTTCTTTAGTAGTGGAACAGCAATACTAAGGTAATGGGACTACTGCGGACCCTCTACCGGCCAAACCTTGTTAACAAAGCCGCAGCCAAGGTTCGGTGAACGGTAGTTAAAAGCGCTTAAGGGACATAAGTCAAATTGGTAGAGCAACATCATGTAGTGGACGTCTTAAGAAATGAGGAGTAGGTAGAATGTTAGGTTGCTCCTTTATAAATCGTCTTTTTCTCCGATAATAAGTTGACATCAAGTCTTGAAAATTATTCGAGAAGAATCTCGAATAATTTAGTTGCAGCGTGCCACATGGCTATCTAAACTGCAAACCCTACCCATTGCTGAGCAAGGCCTTTATCTTCTCCGACGAGCGGGATCATCAATAATGAGGTCTGATCATCATCTTCTTACAGCGTTCGATGTCTGTGTGAAGGTAAAATGGTGATATCCTCTGGATCAGGCAGAGGTCGAGTGTTATCGGGATTATTTCTTTAGTAGTGGAACAGCAATACTAAGGTAATGGGACTACTGCGGACCCTCTACCGGCCAAACCTTGTTAACAAAGCCGCAGTCAAGGTTCGCCGAACCTGGTTCGGTGAACGGTAGTTAAAAGCGCTTAAGGGACATAAGTCAAATTGGTAGAGCAACATCATGTAGTGGACGTCTTAAGAAATGAGGAGTAGGTAGAATGTTAAGTTGCTCCTTTATAAATCGTCTTTTTCTCCGATAATAAGTTGACATCAAGTCTTGAAAATTATTCGAGAAGAATCTCGAATAATTTAGTTGCAGCGTGCCACATGGCTATCTAAACTGCAAACCCTACCCATTGCTGAGCAAGGCCTTTATCTTCTCCGACGAGCGGGATCATCAATAATGAGGTCTGATCGTCATCTTCTTACAGCGTTCGATGTCTGTGTGAAGGTAAAATGGTGATATCCTCTGGATCAGGCAGAGGTCGAGTGTTATCGGGATTATTTCTTTAGTAGTGGAACAACCTAACATTCTACCTACTCCTCATTTCTTAAGACGTCCACTACATGATGTTGCTCTACAAATTTGACTTATGTCCCTTAAGCGCTTTTAACTACCGTTCACCGAACCTTGACTGCGGCTTTGTTAACAAGGTTTGGTCGGTAGAGGGTCCGCAGTAGTCCCATTACCTTAGTATTGCTGTTCCACTACTAAAAATATATCCTTATTGTCAAATTTGATTTAAATAGGCCAATTTTTAATTTCTTAGGTATTGACTATCTCTACATAATGAAATAGGACTCAAAGTAAAAGTAACAGTTAAATTAAAACTTGAATTAATTAAAACTGATGAAAGGGATGATCCAGATGAAGATAACGAAGATGATTACAACTTATTGGAAGACTAAACAGCTCTCCCTTTATCTTAATATCGATCTGGTTGTTACGCTTCAAATGTTTAAAATTATTTTCCATCTAGTTTGATTAACCACGAGTCATTATTTCTGTCTACTTTCAACAATTATTGATAATTCGACTTGTTTCACAAGTTTTAGCAATGCGAAAATGTCTAAACTTGCTTATCTATAATAAGGAAATTTACATCTGAGACAAAATTTTTGAATCTAAAATTGAAAGGTTGGACACCGGTAAAATGGCGACCGGGAAAATGTGGTGGGTTTTGAGCAATTTCGCCATATTTTTCCCGAACCATATTTTAACCGGTCGTTAATAAACCCGTCGTAATAATCCCGAGTAAGGTATTATATTTGTTTTAAAGTTCCAATAGTGAGTCTGACTCAATCAAATCATGCTTGCAGCCCTGTAGCCGACGAGGTTCAAGAGCACATAATTATGATCCAATTTTTTTTGAAGGTACCGCTCCCAACGGTCGTCGCACCATTGGACTGCTCTTCCTCTGTGTCCTCGGATGGCGGCGAGGGTTGTGCGGAGGATATGATCAAATTGGATATTATGTTTCAAATGAATGTTGTGTTTTTACGTTAGCTTGGAGTTGGGGAGGCTCAGGGTTATTTTGTGGGCTTTTATCTCTTAAAAATAAAATCATGTTCTGGGTTGCAGCAGTATCAAGTAAATGATAAATTAGAAGTATAACTAGTATTTTAATACTTTCAACACTACTATATAACAAATAATTTGAGGGCTTATGTCACTGAAGATGACGCCTTGCAACATGTTTGACGATAGCCTGTAGATTGATAGTTTGATCTCAGTATTTACAACAATTCATCTAGTTTGATTGATTCAAAGGGAAACAAATTCCTCAGAAGTATAACTATACGCATGTTAATTGCTTGTTATTGTTTTGTTTAATTAAGTTAAAGAATTCATCGCCAATTATTTCAGAATTTTTCAATTTTCCATCCGCACACTGATTTTGAATTTGATAAATTTTGTGGAGGTGGCCCAATTACTATGCCAAATCGACATACCCAAAACTGATATTATACTATTATAGGTTATTGTAGCTTGTGGTATTTTGAACTCGTATAAGAATTTTTATACAGCTAGAATCTAGATTAATTGGACAAAAATTACTAAGTTATCATTATCAACCAAAAACTATATTGTATATGCCCATATTTGAGCGCACGCACAAAATTTGATAGATTTTGGCCCATAAACTGGTTAAATATTTTTGAATGAGATTAACTTTGTCAAAGGTAAGCCTAAAGTTTAAGTAGGTACATATTCTTTGAATTAGGACGCTTAGGCGAAAAAAAACCACCGAAGATGAACTAAATCAAAATGTTTCGTATTTCTGATTTCGCTTCGTGTTAAAGCTTCCAATAAAAACTAACGGCTATAAGTTCTCAAATTTTCCTGGAAAAATTTGAAGTCAATATGCCACTCTACGTATATGATAATGTGTCTTTCCAAAAAGAAAGGTCAGTGACCAAACTAAAGGTAGCGCATTAAGATTAAATGGAATTTCCTTCCAAAGTTTCCAACCGGGTCCATTTGATTCATGTTCTACGGAAAGAGTTTTATAATAGTTATTAGTTACTATTCATATTTACGTTATAATTATACCAAATCAAGTTAAGCATTATATGATACGTTGCAGAAAACCTGGTGCAGCATCGGTCTCATTTTGTTCTGCAATAGGGCCAGGGTTAAATTACCTGGGGACCCCAGGCTATAATTATATTTATGTTCATAATAGAGATACGCCGGAATGACAGGCTGAGAGCCGCCCAGTAAGGATCCAGGAGGGAAATTAGCGACAGTTTGTCTAGTTCTGCACATATTCTCATATTCCAGCCATTGAATTTCATGCACAAAAAAAGGGACTGATTAGGTTAGTTATAGTAATAAGATCATAGGATTATAAATCACGCGGCTTTGTATTCAAAACCAACGTACCGACTACCCAACTATAAGTATAACCGCTTAAAATTGTCTTTATAAGCGGAAATCATTTCCATCTTGTAGAGAATATTAAATTTAATAGGTTAGTTGACTTTAAATTAACATTAGATGTTTTAAGCTATCACCATCCATTTTTATCAATGTTCGTATTTTACGTAGGATTGCATGATACAATTTAAAATAAGTTTCTACATGCGTTGATAAGTATATTGATATACCATCATTTCTTTTTTATTATTTATCTATATGCTTATATATAGATTCGATTGCAGCACGATTGGGACGTACTACCAGTCGAGTTCGCTAGGATTGTTATACGGAAGGAATTCTACAACTAATATTCATGTTAATTTCAAATTAAGTTAAGCATGATATATGTATAAGGACTAAGGAGGCATCCTGGTACAACATCGGTCTCATTTTGCTCTGATTGAGTGATAGGGTCCAGGAGGGAAAGTAGAGACTTAGTTATCCGAAAAGTTTGTCTAGTACTTCGCATGCTCCAGATCGAATTTCAAAAGTGATCGATTAATCATAAGATTATTGACATACCATCATTTATTTTTATGATTTATCTCTATGACTATATAGATTCAATTGCAGCACGATTGGGAAGTTCCACTTCCACCAGTCGAGTTGCAGCCCCAGTAAACCTAGAAACATTAATCAATTTCTAGTGATTGGGAGAGAATTGTTTCATATATGTCTTATTGTTAAACAATTGACATGGCGTAGTTTGGGCAGACATTCGGGGAATAGAGGCGTAGTGTGGGCTGACATTCGGGGAATAGAGGCGTAGTTTGGGCAGACATTCGGGGAATAGAGGCGTAGTTTGGGCAGACATTCGGGGAATAGAGGCGTAGTGTGGGCAGACATTCGGGGAATAGAGGCGTAGTGTGGGCAGACATTCGGGGAATAGAGGCGTAGTGTGGGCAGACATTCGGGGAATAGAGGCGTAGTGTGGGCAGACATTCGGGGAATAGAGGCGTAGTGTGGGCAGACATTCGGGGAATAGAGGCGTAGTGTGGGCAGACATTCGGGGAATAGAGGCGTAGTGTGGGCAGACATTCGGGGAATAGAGGCGTAGTGTGGGCAGACATTCGGGGAATAGAGGCGTAGTGTGGGCAGACATTCGGGGAATAGAGGCGTAGTTTGGGCAGACATTCGGGGAATAGAGGCGTAGTGTGGGCAGACATTCGGGGAATAGAGGCGTAGTGTGGGCAGACATTCGGGGAATAGAGGCGTAGTGTGGGCAGACATTCGGGGAATAGAGGCGTAGTGTGGGCAGACATTCGGGGAATAGAGGCGTAGTGTGGGCAGACATTCGGGGAATAGAGGCGTAGTGTGGGCAGACATTCGGGGAATAGAGGCGTAGTGTGGGCAGACATTCGGGGAATAGAGGCGTAGTGTGGGCAGACATTCGGGGAATAGAGGCGTAGTGTGGGCAGACATTCGGGGAATAGAGGCGTAGTGTGGGCAGACATTCGGGGAATAGAGGCGTAGTGTGGGCAGACATTCGGGGAATAGAGGCGTAGTGTGGGCAGACATTCGGGGAATAGAGGCGTAGTTTGGGCAGACATTCGGGGAATAGAGGCGTAGTTTGGGCAGACATTCGGGGAATAAAGGCGTAGTGTGGGCAGACATTCGGGGAATAGAGGCGTAGTGTGGGCAGACATTCGGGGAATAGAGGCGTAGTGTGGGCAGACATTCGGGGAATAGAGGCGTAGTGTGGGCAGACATTCGGGGAATAGAGGCGTAGTGTGGGCAGACATTCGGGGAATAGAGGCGTAGTGTGGGCAGACATTCGGGGAATAGAGGCGTAGTGTGGGCAGATATTCGGGGAATAGAGGCGTAGTGTGGGCAGACATTCGGGGAATAGAGGCGTAGTGTGGGCAGACATTCGGGGAATAGAGGCGTAGTGTGGGCAGACATTCGGGGAATAGAGGCGTAGTGTGGGCAGACATTCGGGGAATAGAGGCGTAGTGTGGGCAGACATTCGGGGAATAGAGGCGTAGTGTGGGCAGACATTCGGGGAATAGAGGCGTAGTGTGGGCAGACATTCGGGGAATAGAGGCGTAGTGTGGGCTGGCCCTAACATCCTTGAGGTGTATATTTTAGCAAATAATGTAATTATTCGCGGTGGGCACTTGTTGAGGTGGCTGTGAATTGTTTTATAAACATTTTATTATAGAACAGGCGATACTACTAACTACGCTTCTATTCCCCGAATGTCTGCCCAAACTACGCCATGTTTTGACGGGCCACATGGCGTGGGTCAAAAAACTGGATTCACACATCAAATGGTTGTAACTGTTGATCTAATCAACTGATTTTTTATATTTCAAAAAGTATATTATCATATATTTTGAGTATAATTAGTTAAAAATATTTAAAACTCCGGAAGCCCGGAAGGAGACCCTTATTTATACTTTTGATTAGATTTGTACAGCTGTTGCGGCAATTTGGTACTTTATCGGTGGACCATTTAGTGCCTCTAGGTGCCTGGGAGCCGGGAGGTGCCTCTAGGTGACTTGCAGCTTGCAATTTCAAATAAGTTTCTACCCGCGTTTATAAAGATAGCAATATTTCAGAATATCATTGATTGCATTATCAATGATGATACTTATATAGTAGCCTGTTTACCCTTTTCCTTTCAGTGTACTACTACTACTACTACTACTATGTCGGAACTAAGTCCGATCTACGCCAGATAACCCCTGTCACGCATCAGGGTTCGTAGTTCCTCTTCAAGTCTTTAGAGTTTGTCCCAACTTCCTTCAGTAACATAGAAAAGTAGCTTTGTTAGTGTACAGTGTACATTCCAATTGATTATCCAGTTTCTAATTATGTAACATGGACGTATATAATTTATAAAAACATTTCTGCAAATTTTGCATCGCTTCTGCAGATCATATAACGAGCGGAATTGGGGATAAGAGAAAATCAGATACAGGATAAAACACCTTTTCCAGTATGTTCTAATATCTAAATATAGACATTTCGGAATTCATCCAGAGGAGGACATATTATGTAATTAGATGAATAATTCTAAATCAATAATAGAAAACAAGAAATTTAAATTTCCTGGAAGAGAAGATTACTGATTTAATTTCGTGTCTCCTCCCGCGGTTGAACACAAATTCAGTTATAACTCACATGATATTTTATATTGGGTATGACTATGTCATTACTCAGTACGTGGCACAAACGGGGATAAAAAAGTCTGATCGTGAATTGAAGACAGTAAAATTAGCTCTGATTTTCGGGGATGTTGCTTTTAAAGTTGTAATTAGACTAATGTTTGTTCGTATTATTTTAATTTTTATTTATTGGTGATTGGTGAGCCATGCCGCTCTCTCAATCTGTAGTCTATACTTAATAATTATATTTATAGCGAAGATTGTGGGTAAGGGTATAACTACTGTTTACATCTCATCTCATTCCAAGGAATACAACTAGAAATATCAATTGAATCTTAAAGAAACAAACAATATGCATTTATCGTGATGTACTACCTTTGAAAATCTCTTTGCAGGGTAGCTCCATGGTTTTAAAGGGCACGATGCTAGCGTGCATCATACTGCTATGCCTTCAAGGGGTTCTTTTCGCAGGTCAGGAGAAGTATTTGTATATATTTAAAATACAAATTTTAAACTGCTCTATAACCTATTTTATCTTCATGTCACAATCATTTAGCCAGATAAAAGCTGTATAGACGAATTCAAAATATTTAGGGATTGTTCTTAGAAATTTATTTTCAGTCCCAAATATTTTTTAATAGTTTGGAGTTTAGGGGTTTTATAATTTTCGTAATCGTAATTGAATTTCCGACATTGATTGCCACTATCAGCTCTAACACCTGCTAACAAGTTTTTCTTAACAGATTGCCCAGCTGGAAGCTTCATGTCAGCTGACGGCTGTGAGGAATGCGGAGTTGACCATTACAGTGCTGCAGGAGCTACATCCTGCACCCCCTGTCCTGGCGGCCAGTTATCACAAAAGGGATCTGATTCTGTGAACGATTGTTATGATGGTGAGTGCATTGAGATTTTACTGACCAAAATTTGTACTCAATTTCGTGATATTTTACAAGTTTCATGAAAAGCATGGCATTATGCTTTATTTCTAATCTGAAATTATTTAAATTATTTATGCTATTTCAATAATTTATTTTATTTCAGAGAAAGATGCTACTGGCGAGGAAGTGGTTTATCAATTAGATAAAGTCACTGTAAAAGAGTACTTTACTAAAAAGGGTGAGCTTCTGATAATTCTATTTATAAAAACGGTTTAAATGAGCAATTATTAAGCCAGATGTACGATTCGCAAATAGATGATACTTTCGATAACGTATGATTTTTGGTTTCTAACTTTTATTTGATTTCTGAATAACACGAACGTACTAAAACATAGTTTGATTTTGAATCTGGAGAGTCGTTGTAAACATATTACAAATTTCAGGTGCGATTGTAGAGGGTAAGTTTTTATTTATTTATTTATGTAAATTTATTTAATTATGTAAATGACGGTAAATTTGTATGTAAATTCTTGGAATCAAAACATTGATATTAATATTTATGTCATAATTTACTATCAGCAATCTGCGATTAGATACATTTCTGCTCAAAATATAAAATGGATTCATCTTAATGTATCATGTTGGTGAAAATTTTTAACAAGAATTTCTAACATAATTATTTTACAGAGGGTCCAACCGAAATCATTAACAAAGGTTTGAAATATTTTCCTATTGTTTCTTTTTTCTTCTTTTATTTTGTTGTTTATTTTTCTGCTGCCCACAATGTCACGTCTAATAGAGAATCACAGTGCTGACAAGCACGACCGTTGCATTTATTGTGGGTATACTATGTTCCCCATTTACTATTATACCCCCTTTACTATTATACCCCCTTTACTATTATACCCCTTTTACTATTATACCCCCTTTGGTACACGTTACAAGCCTCTTTTGTGCACGCGAAGCGTGCACTCCGGCCGGAGGCGGCGGCCGAAGGCCGCCGCCTCCGGCAGGAGTTTTCCAGGGATTAAGACTCATCGGAAGTCGTTCAGCAGATTTATTTTTAGTTCAAAACATTCTAATTTGATGTCAAAGATGACAGGAATAAAAAATAGTTATGTTCAGATTTTTAAGAAATTTGCATAAAATACTCGCCAGCACTGTTATACGAAATTCGGTAAAAAACCCAAAATCGCCATATTCAGGTGCCCTAACAACCATGTTAAAATTGAGTTAGAGATCTGAAATTTTTCAGGGCGTCTAGACGTTGACCAAATTGACTGCAAAAAAAGTTTCAGGTTTCAGGAGCATCGGGAAATGGGTTTTCTAGAACCCCTGTTTTACGACAGATTGTCGGGACATATACATACAGATATACATACAGATATACATATATGGACACGTTCATTTGAGTTTGAGGATATTGGTAAACAAAAATAATAGCGTTTTTGACGATAGTGGCTTAATTTTGACATCTATTAACCTAGCACGTTCAGAAGTTCTGAACATTAGCCGCGTAACCCATACTCCCATATGCACTGCTCAGAAAGAAAATCTATTGTTGTTAGGCACTATAATGGTTCAAATGTCACATTTTGTGTGACTTAGTTAACTGCAGTTGTCTAATTATCATTCCTTGGTCTGAAACATAGTAGATTAGGTCAATCTAACAATTATGATACAACATTGGTTAAAGGGCACGGATCGAACGGTTACAAGGCAATATTAAGGTAACTTTGTCACACTCAAAATACCATACCTCTATTCTACTGTGAGGTGTCCTCAAAACCCTTTTTACTCATTATTTGATGGTTGATCTACCAAGTACGGAGTACCAATCATAGCCCTAAAATATGTTGCTTTGAATAGTAAGCTAATACAGGCACTTGGTTATTGGGAAATGAGGTTAATTCTGTCACAATATATGGAATTTAAAATTTTGGGCGAATTATTTATATCTGATTTTGGTTTGAAAGGCGGGAAAACTTTACATGATGACAATGTAGTTGATGCGAGTTAAGATCAGTTGATGTTTACATTGTCACAAAAAATTATACGAAATCGTAAATAGGTTAAAAACAATGATTATATAATGAAATAGTCTCTTATAATAAGTAATAACTCTTATAATAACTGATGTGACAAAGTAAACATGTCTTGCCCCTATTTTGAAGATCTATATATTCTATAACTCTATTAGAATTTAACATTCTTTCAGAAAAAATTGGTAGAATATTGTCCAGAACATCAGAGCTCAAGTTTAACAATTTTAGGTTAAATTTGTCAAAGTCACTAAAAATGTGACAAAATTAACTTTTCCTGCCCCAACAATTTCAAGAAAGTGTGTAAAAATTAGCATAGGCTGCCTTATTAACTAAATAAATCAATCCAAACTACAAAAAAATATATGTTAATGTGATGATGATTACCTAACTGTGATAATAACTGATGTGACAAAGTAAACATGTCTTGCCCCTATTTTGAAGATCTATAACTCTATTAGAATTCAACATTCTTTCAGAAACGATTGGTAGAATATTGTCCAGAACATCAGAGCTCAAGTTTAACAATTTTAGATTAATTTGTCAAAGACACTGAACAATGAACATGTGACAAAATTAACTTTTCCTGCCCCAAAAATTTCAAGATAGTGTGTTAAAATTGGCATAGGAATTAGGATGCTTTATTGCCTATATTAATTGATCCATACTACGAAAAAGATCGGTTAATCTGATAACGATTACCTAACTCTTATAATAACTGATGTGACAAAGTAAACATGTCTTGCCCCTATTTTGAAGAACTATACCTCTATTAGAATACTATGTAATTTTATCATCAAAAAAATGTCGATAAACTAGTTATTTTGCCAGCAAGGAGCTGACAGAGTTATAATAATTTTTTTGTGACGAAATTACCCTATTTTTGACCATGTTGTGGTAGTTTAATTGTGACACTGTTAACATATTACCACTGTTAACATATTACCACCATTTATGTGACTGGTGCATGGTACTAGCAGTGTTGTTTGATCCATAGTACGTAATACAAAGGGTTTAAGCTGGTATATCATTATTTGTTCAATTTCACACATGTTCAGATATCATCAAGATTATGTGACAAAGTAAACTTGTCTGTGCCTTCTGTGTTTTAATTCCTTGCGACTATATGATATAATAACAATTCCTAGCACTTCCAGGCCATTAACTAAACCTACACTAGTCAGCATTGCTTATCAGGGTTCCCTAAACATTGTTCACATATTTTCTTAAATGTGTGACAGAGTAAACCTGAGTGCACCATCTAACGAAAAAAGTCGTCAAATATGTAGGTAATGGTCATATGTACACATCCAATCAACTGGACACTCAAAATTTTGGTCAAAAACGGCAGCAAGGGGTCCATATTTACTCTGTCACATGTTTATAGTGTGACAATGTAACCATTTCCGTGCCGGCCGTATTTAAGCGATATCTTATCACCTGATTAAGATATCGTTATGTGACAAAGTTAGCCTAGAGGATGAGACGATTATCCTAACCATCAAGGGTTTGTGTAATTTCATAGTGTGACAAAGTCAACTACACTGTGCCTTTTAATAGGGTCACTTATATTTACCAATATCCTCAAACTCAAATGAACGTGTCCATATATTCAGGGATAGACGCTTTGCCAGTCAATTGTAGCCTGTATTTAAGTGTCCATAGATTCAAAAGTATAAAAGATACAGCCATTTCCGACCACAGGTCTTGCAAATAATTGTTTACACTTTAGTTTACATTGTATAAAAAATTTATTTGACGTCATAAACACCCCTTGATGACGTCATCAAGTTAACCGTTTTAAAAACTTGATTTTTGACAAAGTAATAACTTTTAAAATTAATTTTAACCCATTAAGGAGTAATTTTATTCAAAATCTGAGGAAATTTTTACCTTAGATAATTGTTCAAGCATTCTGAAAATCTACCGGAAAGTTTTTCTAGCTTGCTCCTTCATAAAGATATTTGTCATTGAAGTTTGTGCTTTTTTGAAGAATTATTTTATAAAAACGTCAATTTTGCGATTTAGTATTCTTTGGTGTTGGGCCATGCCTTGGGTTGTGGAGCTCAGTTCTGCTTCCTATAGGTATACATTGTGCATTAGGCTAGTTTTAAAGTTGAAAATCGAAAAGTTGCACACGTGGGGACACGCCCAAATTGATAGAAAATTGCTAAAATCACTGAAAATTGCTGTTTTCGTCATTTTCTGTCAACTTTAGAGTGCCGTTGTGATTACAGTTCTTCTTGAAATACTTTGAAACTTTGCATGCTTATCAAGCTATATATAATACAATTACATGCAAAAATTTACGGCGATTCAATATTGGATGCGCATGCAACGTCCGCTCAAAGTTTGCACGTGCGAAAGGTGAGAATTTTGCTCATTCGTGATTTCCAACAAATTCTGCTTTGCCACGACAGTTTAATGTCATTATATATGAATTTAATGTCAACTTGAATGAGTATTAAGTGGTATATTCAGTCAGTGATGGACCGATATGCTTACCTAAACACAAGGAAATGTTTTTAAAGGAAAAATTTCGAAATCGTTGAAACTTCCTCCTTATTATAAATATAATGAAGATATCAGTTTATATTTCGACTTTATAAAGTACCCTGACATTATAATCAAAAAGAGATGATATTTTACCAAAACCCATAATCATGGGTAGAGTGGACCGCTGCCAGTGTCTCTCTTTCCCAAACAAAAGGAAATGATATTAATTTGATTGACCGTTCTCAAATGCAAAATGATACCGAGAATGAAATCGGTCGCTCGCTTTTCCCATTCATTTACAATTGTAATAGATTAAGAAGAACTACCCAAAGGCAGCTGTACTCGGCAATAAAGATTCAATAAACTTCAGCTAATGCAATAAGTGATAACTACCACCCTTACCCCGAAATACTAGGTATCGACCCGAACGCAACCCAAAGAGATTTTTACAGCATCTGATTGACATGTAATCAATCGAAAATTATTACAATTCGTAAGCCGTGAATGAATGGGAAAAGCGAGCGACCGATTTCATTCTCGGTATCATTTTGCATTTGAGAACGGTCAATCAAATTAATATCATTTCCTTTTGTTTGGGAAAGAGAGACACTGGCAGCGGTCCACTCTACCCATGATTATGGGTTTTGGTAAAATGAAATATTACAATATCGTTTGATCTTATTCGGCGAATATATTATATAATCACAATCTATGAAAAAAGTCATTGCAGTTCATACAGATTATTTGGATTTTGTTTATCTCAACGTATAAGTATTAGAGACCCTACAAAGTCTCGAAAATAAACTAGATTTTAAAGTTAGTCACTACGTATAATAATGATCATATCAGCGATCCGATTCAAAAGTGAGTAATTTTAAAACAACCACAATTTCAGGGTTCGTATGTCCGGAGGGACAAACAAAGTGTGGCGATATTGACGAATGTGTTCCCAACAGTGGTCTGTGTAATGGAGGTCCTGCGTGTTCAAATGGCTTTGATGAATCAGCGGAGTTTTGCACAGGTATGCAGAGTTATTCCTCAATATAGTTTTTATTCTATGTAATAAGCGCCATGAGCTGGCACAGAATTTTTTTGTCTCTGATTTTGATAAATTTGGTACCAAAAGTTGCCTCTAAGTGTGAATAATGAAAATTCACCGTGTAGCACGATAACGTCAAGCTGTATGTGGGCCTTTTGTGCATCGCAAGAGTGTATAAAGGACGAAAAATGGGTAATTTATTGGTTAAAATGCCTATAACTCCTAACATATTGAATATTTTGAAATAATTCATACAGGATCGTAATAAACTTAGTCAGACGCAACTTTTAGTACCAAAATTATAATATTTCAAGCACAAAAATTTTCAAAAATTTGGTCAACATTTTACACAAGGGACCCTGTGTTCAGATTAAAAATGTTTGAAAATAATTTTCCTTTAAATCTTAAAAGATTAGTACCAAAAGTTTCGTCTCGATGAGCTTATTACGATGCCATAATAATTAAGTGATAATAACTGAAAATGCGAAAGGTATAGGCCAAAAACTGAAAATTTGTGCGAAAAAAGCACGCGCGGCAAACAAGCGCCGTGTAGCATTCTTAGCGAAAATTGCTACACGGTGGATTTATTTTATTCACATTTTTAGACAACTTTTGGTACCAAATTTATCGAAATCGGAGCTGGAGAAAAAAAGTTCTGTGCTCGCGCTTGGCGCTTATTACACTGACTATTTATGAGGCGGTATCATGTGTTGAGTGGTTATGATTTATTCATTCGATAGAAAAAGTAGGGACCTTGTTTTGATGATGGAAAATAGTTGGATGATTCGGATTAATGTTCTGTTGCAAAAAACTGGACAAAATTTATTTCTAAAGCTCTACCTTACTCGGGAATATTATAGCGGGTTAATTTATGACTGGGAAAATTAATGACCGGGAAAAATATAGCGGAATTTTCCAAAACCCACCAAGCATCAAAATGTATTACTATTAGTTTACCTTACTCAGGAACATTATAGCGGGTTAATTTATGACTGGGAAAATTAATGACCGGGAAAAATATGGCGGAATGTTCCAAAACCCACCACTTTATCCCAGTCATAATATTCCCGATTAAGGTAAGTCTAAAAATTAACAATAAAATAATACTATAAAATAGTACTGCAAAAGTACTATACAGTAACTTAAACCCCAACTAGGTTTTGAATGCCCCGTTGAACAGCAAAAGTGTGCGGACGGAATCCAGTGTTTTCCTTCATCTGGAAAATGTGATAAATTTAAAATTCCTCACTGCAACGATAAGTCCGACGACCTGGGCTGCGCTTGTAAAGAAAGCGAAATGGTGTGTGCTGACGGAAATGGATGTGCCTCCTTACAGAAAAAGTGCGATGGTGTCACGCAATGTGCTGACGGATCCGATGAGAGCCCCGACATTTGCTTTGGTTAGCACTTACCAGAATAGATATTTGACATAATATTGAACATAAGATTTAACCAAGTGAAAAAAGTACTATTCCATAATGAACATAGTGATATTAAAAATATTTTTAATTTGCAACATTATGATTAAAGCTCCGCAATCAAACGGCAAATTTCATAGGTTCAAGTTAGTTCAGCACTGCTTTTATTCAATATAACATATTTAACATATTTATTGTGTTCAAACTAGTTTTGGGTGTATGCGGGATCGGGACGAAAAAGTGCGCCAGTGGTGACCAGTGTGTCGCTAAAGGGACAACGTGTGACGGTAGTACCCAATGTCTCGACGGATCGGATGAAGATCCGGTTTTCTGTATAAGTAAGTGTAGTTATTAGTTAACTTAATTAGCTTATTTACTTAAATTAGTTACAATTTAACTCAATAACTCAATAAGCTAATTAACTTTTATCAGTTATTATTTAGCTTAATTTACTAATAAGCTTATATTAGTTATTATTTAAGTTTGATTGATAAGAAAAATCTCAGTAAATTTTAGTTTATCAAAGTCTTGTCCACTTATCATTTAACTAGTCAACAGATTACTGTATCATGTATAACTATAGTTAATGTACTGTATTTAATTTTACTATATCTAATTTTTGAAACCAGCCTACGAGTGTCAGGATAACCAAATAAAGTGTGATGGTAACAAATGTCTGTCCCGATGGAACCTGTGTGACTCGGAGCCAGACTGTAAGGACGGTTCGGACGAAGATCCTGCCTTCTGTGCTGGTAAGCGGACTATTTTAACAATATTAAGCTTTATAAATTGAGAATTATGAATTATAAATCAATAATAAATAATAAATAATGAATAATCACTTTACCAGCCTACGAGTGTCCGGCAGCCAAAAAGAAGTGTGCGGACGGTATGCAATGCGTTCCTAAGAAACTCTTCTGTAATGGTAAAGAAGAGTGCACCGACGGGTCAGATGAGTCCGAGGAAGAATGCGCAGGTTCGTAAAATCATTATTGAAATTTGAAATAATATTTGAAGTATGGAAATATTGAGATTTGATTTACGAATTGCAACAAAAAGAAAAAGCAAATTTAAGTAAATTTCTCTGATTTTAATGTATTTTAACTCAGAGGAAAAAGGAGGAGGAAAATCAGATATCGAGCGCCGAAAAGGAAAAGGGAAACAAACAATTGGTAAGTAGCACATTTATCATAAGAATATTAAGTTCAAGTCAGAGTGTATTAAGACTATTAACTTATTAAGAAATTTTAACATTGTATATAAGGGAGTACTTTTACCCAGTATTTAATGTTTATCAACCACTAATCACTTCGAGCTTTTTGTAAATGCATTAGTAAACTCCAACGTTGTTTTAACTTTTTAATAACATTGCCCTTCATTCTCTTTGACAGATTTAGGAACTTTATATTAAATTAAAGAAAAGTTAAGAGAATATCATTTTTTAGAAAAGGGTGAAAGAGTTAAAGAAGTGACGGATCAAGAAAGCCGAAGGGGGCCACCAGAGCCAGTAGACCCAGAGCCAGTAGTTCCAGTAGACCCAGAGCCAGTAGTCCCAGAAGACCCAGAGCCAGTAGTCCCAGTAGACCCAGAGCCAGTAGTTCCAGTAGATCCAGAGCCAGTAGTCCCAGTAGATCCAGAGCCAGTAGTTCCAGTAGACCCAGAGCCAGTAGTTCCAATAGACCCAGAGCCAGTTGTCCCAGTAGACCCAGAGCCAGTAGTCCCAGTAGATCTAGAGCCAGTAGTCCCAGTAGACCCAGAGCCAGTAGTCCCAGAAGACCCAGACCCAGTAGTCCCAGTAGACCCAGAGCCAGTAGTTCCAGTAGATCCAGAGCCAGTAGTTCCAGTAGATCCAGAGCCAGTAGTTCCAGTAGATCCGGAGCCAGTAGTTCCAGTAGACCCAGAGCCAGTAGTCCCAGTAGACCCGGAGCCAGTAGTTCCAGTAGATCCAGAGCCAGTAGTTCCAGTAGATCCAGAGCCAGTAGTTCCAGTAGATCCAGAGCCAGTAGTCCCAGTAGAACCAGAGCCAGTAGTTCCAGTAGATCCAGAGCCAGTAGTCCCAGTAGTCCCAGTAGACCCAGAGCCAGTAGTCCCAGTAGATCCAGAGCCAGTAGTCCCAGTAGACCCAGTCCCAGTAGTCCCAGTAGACCCGGAGCCAGTTGTCCCAGTAGACCCAGAGCCAGTTGTCCCAGTAGTCCCAGTAGACCCAGTCCCAGTAGTCCCAGATGGTAAGAAGACCTGCGACTGCTGGACTCCAGAATGTGGTTTCTGTTCAAACCCAGAATGCTCTGTCAAGCTGATTGGCGGGCTTGCCGGCTCTAAAGGTATTGGAGTACGCTCCTTCCTCCACAATAGAAAAGTCAAGACCATCGTCATGTATAATGATGATGGAGATTCAATCGGACAGTTCGAGTGGAGTTTGAAAAGGATCTCCATGTCCGGCTGTTTCCGCTGTCAGACACCTGAAGGAATAAGGGACAAGGTTAAGGGACTTCCTGTCGGAACTGTTGGCTGGAGCTTTGCCATCAACGATGGAATTGTTGAGCTTAGTGTTGAGGGTGAGATCTTGTACACCTCGAAGCTGACAAGAAAATGCGCGGAGGTATACAGAGACGTGAAGAGCTTCTCCTTCACCGGAATGAGCTGCAAGAGCTCGTTTGCCTACGCTTCTAAGGAAATGAAACTTGCAACTATCTGTGGTGGAGCTGATAAATGCCCCGCCAACGCATAATTAGTACAGTTAATGCTAATTAACGTGTTTTCAGTGGACAATTGAACAGTAAACTTAAAATGTGTCGTGCATGAACCCAGCAGGCCAACAAGCCCCACAATTTCAAAATCATGGAGACTATGTCTAGAAGAGTTAAAATAAATGTCTATACTTTTGAAGAAAATGTTTAAATTATTTTATAAATAACATCAACTGTGTAGTGTGTCATCATTCAAATTTAACTAAATGATATGTACCTTATCGGATCTTATTTGAACGGACATTAATTGGATGCTGGAGGCCCAAGCGTTCATTTGAATGTACGTTAAAATAAATTATACCCGTTAAATGTAGCTCCAAGTCAAAGTCCGTTCAAATTAATTTTTCCCCAAAAGTATTGCACCACAAACTTATTGTCCAAGATATGTTTACTTTTTAATCTCAGTAAATTTCAATTTCTATCATCAGACTAAATTATTGCTTTTCTTGCTTACCGTAATATTAAAATTAAAAATCAATTAGAAAATTGTCTACTACAATTGGAAAAAACGTTCAAAAGTATTTTTCAAATTTTGAATTTGAATGCTTTTGAATGCCATTAAGCTAATTCATTTCAATGTCTGTTTAAAATTATATCACGCAAATAGTGTGTTGGTCTCTCCTCCAACTGACTGTGGTGCTTATCGTCCAGTCATGAACAGAATGTTAACATTGTTTAGTTATAGTATGTCTCGGTTGAACTGCGGAGAATGGAGATTAGTATTATTCAGTTTGCTGTAATATGTGGTCTCGATCATCAACTCAGTGGGATTCCAAATGATGAACTGTGCTTTAAGTTTACACCAACTGGAACCAAAGGAATATACCCATGAGTGCTCCCTAGCTTAAGTGTTAGTACCTGTTCGATCAGTTAAGGTGAGGATTGCCTGAGTTGCCTCGATCTTTCGGTTTCAGCCCTAGGTCATGAGCTGTAGAACCGAAGGATCAAAATATATGTTGCTCGTTGCTCCTATTAACTATAAAACATCAATTTTGAGGGATAAGGAAGTGTTTATCGGTTGACTGTCACCCTGTTGTGATTTCTGGGACACAATTATTATACCTTATTACTATTAGGGCTTGTCACTGTCAGTATCTTTTATAAGATACTGGTAGTTAATAAAAGATACTGACCAGCAATTGTTAGTTGTTACGGATTTATACCCAGATTTTTGCCTAACTAACAGACCAGGTGAGTACCAGGAAGAAATTGTGATAGCTTGATGATTTCAGAAGGACATTCGACAAATCTGTTCCAAATAAAAATGGAGTGTTTTAATACATAACGTTTTGATTTTCTCGGGAACTGGCCTATAGAATTTTTAAAAACTTTCCAGATAGTTATATGGTAATAAGACGAATAATTTGTGCAGGTTTGGTCGAATTTTTATGTGTCAAATTTGAGACATCACTTGGAGATGCTTTTTTGTGTTTGCAGGGATATCTTTTTAAAACGTAATATGACAGAGTCAATATATTTTATAAATGTATTTTAATGTTGCCATGGGGTGGAAGTCCCCATACATCGTAGTCCGATAGTTTCACTGCGTCATAATGATAATACATGACCATATTAATCCGGGTATAAATCCGATAATAAAACTGCAGGTTGCACAAAGCCTATTATGGTACGGCACAAGCACGTGGTAGTCGAGTGACGTAGTCACGAGACATGCCCCCGTGACACAGCACTCTGTTGCAATGGCCATTCACAAGCGTCTCAGAGTAAAACCGGTTTTTCTGAATATTTATATGAGATTAGATTCACAATTCACATCCTTATAGTTCTAGAGAACAGCACGTAACGGGTCAAGCATGAAGTATCATTTTAAACGTTTTAAATTAGAGTAGATCGGAAAGGAACTACTTTCATAAATTTGAACAGGAAATTATCACCAACAATAATTTGAAAATATATTCAATTTTTATTTATCAAAACTACCTGGTAAAGCGGATTTAAATAAAGCGCTTTTTTCACTCCTAATGATTAAGGCGACTAATCATTCCTTAAGAACAAGCACCATCAACCAACACACTGTTTGATGCAGGTGTAACGGAAACTGACATAATTAAAAGGACCAGACACTCACACAGGAGCGTAGTCACGAGACGTAATGGATGAGACATCAAAATAAATGAAAATTCCTGGCTCAAAAAGATCGAATAGGACGGTAACACGACTCCTGTCCGACAGCGACATCTGTCCGAAAGAGACATCTGTCCGAATCAGGGTACCAGAAAAAAACGACATCTGTCCGAAATTGTGACCTGATTTCAATACGACACATTTCCAATTAGAGACATGATCTAAACTGTTACTTGCTAAATTGTATACGTAACATGTCCAATTTGAGATATGATCTGAGCCATAGTTTACTACCACAGTTTATTTTAATTTGATGTCGATAAATTGGACAATAGTTTCAATGTTATTTAAATGTTATAAATTAATTCAATATAATACAATATCACAGAATCAAATCTAAAGCATAGTCAAATTTCCGATAGCTTTAAGGAAATCCATAGGGTTGCTGTAGTTGTTGTAATCATCTACAATTCTCTGAAGTTGTCGATCATAACGGATCCATTTGGGTGCACGTGGCTCAGGTAGTTCCCGCCCGTCTCTTTTGGTTTTCTTCACGTCTGTAAGGGCTTGTTCTGCTTTAAGGCAATCAAGGAACTTCCAAATTGTGGGCTTCGAGCAGGACAGCATTGAATGGAATCCGTGATGCCAACCTTCTACGATGTTGGATGAGCGAGGAATCCTCATCTGTGCAGCTTCGTGTTGATTCCACATGTGGGGAGCGAAGTTAGGATTGGTGGTTGAAGATTAGTTGCCATTGTGGATTGCGATAAGTGATCTCCATACTGCTGTCCTATATGTACTCATGTCCTGTGATGTGATCGACAGCTTGTTAGGGTACGGCTAGCACGATCCTGTTCTCAACTAGTCAATCACGTATCGATGGATCAGATCTTAAGGGATCACATCAGCTTTAGAACGTCACGAGATTACCTGTGAGCTTGTGAAATGCGAATGTGAACCGAAATTACAATATAATCCGAAATTCGGACAGATGTCGCCAAAAACGACTCCTGTCCGACAGAGACATCTGTCCGAAATCCCTAATTCAGCTTTCGGACAGATGTCGCTGTCGGACAGATGTCGCCCAATCAATAGGACCGGGTCCTTGCACGCTAATCCTCTCAATCTCACCTCAAAACTCAATTAAAAGATCTGCCAAAAAATGCGTTACTCAATAAGTTGTTTGGAGTATGCAAACAACTTATTGAGTAACTAAAAATCGGTTTTACACGTGCCCACAAGTAAGCATCCAATAAAATAGAGGAAACGCAAGAGTGATCATGCTATAGGCCACGTGGATCGTCTCTGATTGGTCAGCGTTACGGAAGAAAATATAAAAATGTGTTTTTTAAATTGTTAATTAAGTCCAAATTTGGTTTTTTTGGTCGCAAATTGTAGCCTTATCTATCTTGATGTGCTGTACCATAAGTAAGTTATGGAACAGCTGTTGGAACTCGTGCCTTTGGCACTCGTTGCTCCAGCAGTTCCATAACCTAACTTATCTTATTAATATTATTTGTTTCAAAGTTTCAATAGCCCTGCAGCCGGCGAGGTTCAAGAGCACATAATTATGATCAAATTTGATATTATGTTTCAAATGAATGAATAATTTATCGTTTTTTTAGATTACGTTAGCTTGGGGAGGCTCATGGTTATTTTGTGGGCTTTTATCTCTTAAAAATAAAATCATGTTCTGGGTTGCAGCAGTATCAAATAAATGATAAATTAGGCTTCCAAAAAAAATTAACGGCCAATTTTCCAAATTTCCCCGGAAAAATTTTAAATCAATATGCCACTCTACGTATGTGTTTTTCCAAAAAGAACGGTTTGTGACAAAGGTACCGCATTTAATCGAATTTCCATACAAAGAATTCTATAATTACCATTCATATCCACCCTGCAGCTGCAGGGTTCAAGTAGCACTGAGGTGCAAGGTTCAAGTAGCACTGAGGACATGGTTATGATCAAATTTGATATTATGTTTCAAGTTGGGGAGGCTCAGGGTTATTTTGTGGGCTTTTTATCTTTTCAAAATAAAATCATGTTCTGGGTTGCAGCAGTATCAAGTAAATGATAAATTAGGAGTGGGAGTATAACTATACGTGTTAATTGCTTGTTATAGCTTTATTTGATTAAGTTATTATATTCATCGCCTAGTATTATTTCAGAATTTTTCAATCTTCCAATCGCACATGGATTTGTATTGATTTTGTGGAGGTTGCTCAAATATTATGCCACATCAACATCCCCAAAACCGACATTATAGGTGCTTTACTTGTAGCTAGTGGTCGTTTGGACTCGTATAAGAATTCTGAATTTGTAAACAGATTAGGCTTTTAAACAAAATTGGTAGCAAAATCCCAAAATTCAGAATCAATATGCCACTTTGAGTAATTGCGTATGTGTTTTTCCAAGGAAATTATTTCCGTCTCGTCAAGAATATTGATCATTAAGTTGACTCGATATTTACCTTTGTGACAAATATAACATTAAATCGGATTTCAAGTCCACTAACTAGACAGAAATAATTTCCTGGCAAAAAATTAAATATGTAACTGTAAGGCAGACAAAGTAAAACATAAAAGGCTTTATCCGCCTATTGCTGGAAAAATCCCAAAATTCAGAATCGATATGCCACTTTGAGTTTGCGTATATTGTGTGTTTTCCAAAGAAATTATTTCCGTCTCGTCAAGGATATTGATCATTAATTAGTTGACTTGAAATTTAACTTTGTAACAAACATAACATTAAATCGAATTTCAAGTTCATTAACTAAACTAAACTAGACAGAAATAATTTCTTTGCAAAAAATTAAGTATGTAACTGCTAGTGTAAGGCATATCCGCCATAAATATTGAATTTAACATAGATGCTTGCCTATTTCGTACTTTCGATAGACTAAATGTTCCCGGTTTCCCTATCACCATTCATTTTTATTAACGTATGATTAGATAGTACAATTTCAAATATGTTTCTACCCGCGTTGATAAAAATAGTGATAGTTCAGAAATCAGAATATCATTAAAAATGTTTAAAAATGAAACTTACATCGTTATATTCTAGCGGCCTGCAGCGCATATCCTTATTTCGTTTCATGTTTATTCTAATCGATAATCCAGTTCTTAATTCCATGTTTAATATTGTTTTCATTTTTACTTCCCTTGTACCTTGTAGGTTTACAACCAACCAGGACGCGCGCCGAGTTGGACTCGTCGACGGTCCTGGAACAGATATTTTAACTTGTACCATAATGACTTATTAAAGGGCTGTTCTTTAACCTATTCTAGATTATTTCGCATTATAATTTGTTGCTGTTTTAACTTAACATCTTAATAACTTAATGATATGTTAAGTTGAAAACGTCTCTCTCTCTCTCTCTCTCTCTCTCTCTCTCTCTCTCTCTCTCTCTCTCTCTCTCTCTCTCTCTCTCTCTCTCTCTCTCTCTCTCTCTCTCTCTCTCTCTCTCTCTCTCTCTCTCTCTCTCTCTCTCTCTCTCTCTCTCTCTCTCTCTCTCTCTCTCTCTCTCTCTCTCTCTCTCTCTCTCTCTCTCTCTCTCTCTCTCTCTCTCTCTCTCTCTCCGTATATTTGTCTCTATGACTATATTAATTCAATCGAAGCACGATTGGGACGTACCACCAGTCGAGCTCGTAACCCAAGTAAACTGACACATTAATCAATTTCTAGTGATCGAGATGAAACTTTTTCATGTATGGCTCATCGTTAACAAATTGACTGACATACTTAAAGTGCATATTTTAACAGTTATTGTTACAAATTCAGAACTGTAGTTTTCTTTTATTCTTCATTTTTACATTTTCCCTTAAAAACTCATAGAGGTGAATAATAATATGCCAAAATAAGGCTAATGCACGAATAAAACAAGGGTTACTTAATTTTTAAGACACGGATAAGGGACTCCCACACTAAATTGACATTTAAATTAAGGCACGGTTAAGGCCTTAAAAGTGTGTCTCAAGTGTCCACCGACCCAGCACTGAATGACCTGATCTAAGTTAATTAAGATTTTCTGAATTATTATCCCTCGGAAGAAAACGTCAAACAGCTGTAACTCATATAATTTAAAGATTTAACCCAAAAATGCAGCTTTTCGAGCATTAATTGACTGTTATATCCTATGTGAACGGCCGGGTGGTTTAATAGTTAATTCATTCGCCTCCCACGCAGGGGGTCAGGTTCGGTCGGTTGCACCCACCTCTGCTGCAGTGAAAGCACCAGACCGTGGCCGAAACTTAATTAGACATTGAAATCTGTGACCAATTATGTGATCGAAATAATGAATTTACTGCAGTGCCTCTAGGCGAGCGTGCTAAATCACTTTACAGTTGATCTTCGAAATTGTTCTAAAAGGGCCCCCGACAGTTGAAACTTGAAACTAACTGAAATCGATGTATTTTTTATCCGAATCACCCCCATGAAATAAGGTTCAAATGCTCCCCCGCCTCTATCTAGGATTACAAATAATGCAAGAGAGAACGGATATAGTTTAGTTGCCATTACAGCATTACATAATGATATACTGGTGCCTCTAGGATTACAAATAATTCAGGAGATAACGGATATTATTTTGTTGCCATATTATAATGATCTGGTTGTTCATGGACGTGACAAACCGATATATCTCAAGTGGGAGATGACTTGAATTTCTGTTATACGGAAGGAAATGTTTTATTGTTTATACTGTTTTTACTGTTACGTTATATCAAATTAAGTTAAGAAGTTAACCCATTAGGGACGATAGGGTCGTTTACGACCCACCTTTTCTAGAGGCTATAGATGGCAAATCAAAATACTAAACGGCAAGAATCTTTAGCACATATAATGCTCAAAATTTATTGGGCGACATTATTGACTTTCCAGTGAAGACCCAATTAATCATTAAAAATTAAATAATTAGGTTAATTAGTTGTAATAGTTGGAAAATATTTCATTTAAGTCATGTCACGTGACTCAGATCCGACCAATCACATAACAGGAGCAATTAGCATCGGACGGTTATCCTATGTTTACTTTTCTTATCTGTATTTTACCCTTTGTTGAAGAGGTTATCAGAAATTTTTGTGGAGCCACAAGATTGTACAAATCAACCGAAAGAAAGAGTTGGCGGACGACGTCACTTCGTTTCTCGGAAGAGGTTTCGGGTTGAAGTGGAGGGTTGAAGTGTGCTGTTCTTTGAGTTGCTCAGTGCTCTCAAACCAGTGTGATTAGTTTATAATCTCACTGTTTTTAGAGCAACTAACAACATGATAGTTCGTGCGATTATAAACTAATCGCACCGATCATCAGTCATACGCGAATCTAACTGCATGTATAATACGATTACACCAGTTATTGCACTCGGCTGCGCCTCGTGAAATAATTCTGCTTCGCCTCGTGCGATTATTGTATCAATTTACACCCGCAGCTGCACCTTGTGCAATTAATAGTGTAATCGCATTATACGCAGTTAGATTAGCCTATATAATTTTAATATCTTGCAACATTTAAAAAATCAATTGCCGGCTCTTCCTTTGCCTTTTTTAAAAAATCTAATTACAGCTTTACAGGTAACAGGACGTAGATATTGACGGAACAGTACTTAATTACTTATATCAATTAATTAATTGATTTAATATTAATTTATCTTAGCAGGATAAATCTTAATCAGCTTACTGAGAGTTGAAATAATTCACGTGCTGGGCTGTAATTAACTACAAGGATCAGTGTTCATGAAGATGTGTGATTTTTACGATTTTCAATAGAAATTCAAATAGTGTTGTTTTGGAAATATTTTGAGTATAATTAGTTAAAAATATTTAAAACCCCGGAAGGAGACCCTTATTTATACTTTTTATTAGATTTGTACCGCTGGGGAAAGTTGGTACTTTATCGGTGGACAATTATTTGGTGCCTCTAGGATTACAAATAATGCAGGAAAAAACGAATAAATAGTTTTGTTTTCATATAATGATCTGGTTTTTGGGCGTGAAAAACTGGTCTGGGAGATGATTTGCAGCTATTCGATCAAGCCTGAATTTTTTTTGCAAGTCATTGGATAATTAAAGCTAAGAAACAATTCGATTAAATAAATAAAGCAGCTTTTTTCAGAATGTTGCAATATCCGAAAATAGAAATTTTTACTTTGGTATTTACGTGGTATTTAAAATTAGGTGCGTGGCCCGGCACGAAAGGGAATAAAAATGTTTGACCGTGAATTGTAGACAGTGTGGTAAAATTGGCTCTGATTTTCGGAGATTTTTTATAAGTCCCAGGTCCTGACTGAGACTCCAAGTTGTACTTCTTCTTTTGATTGGTCGGCGTCGACAGTAAGCCTTCCTTGCGGTGGCTTTCACAACGCGTCCCCATTCTCCAACTCATGCTGCTAGAGAGAGAGACTCCCAAGTTATATACCATAATTATATTATATATAGAATATAGATATCGACAACAGACCCCGAGAGTCTTGAAGTTCTGTTACCACCGCCCCTGGTGCAACCCTTCCGGGTTAACGATGAGGAGACAGGGACTTTCAGGGACGGTCAATTCCTATTAATCTGCAAGTTATCCTACTTGTGTTAGTGGTTAATAGGATCCTGTAAAATATCCTCCTTTAATAGTCTATTGGTTGCCTCAATAAATTTTACAACCGTACTGATTCTAGTTGTGACTATATCTTCCCAGGTTAGAAAATTCTCAACCTAATGGTCATCTATCCTATACAGTGACACATGAAGTGTTCCGAGGTTTCCTCCTCTTCTGGACAGTGTTCACAGCGGGGGATGTGAAATTGTTTGCCTTGTATTGGAAGTAGGCTAGGGGGCTATGTCCTGTGAAGATCCAGGTTAACCACTTTTGATGATTTCCTGCAAGTCCAAGATTCATGTATTTATATTTGGTGAGTAAGATTTTTAGTGGGATTTTTCCTTTCTCATTCAGTACCGTGTTCCTGTATCTACGAAGATGGATTCCGTGTAAGTACTCCTTTACTGCCGCCTTAATTGCTCCTTCGGATAAACTGATGGGTTCAGGACCTTCTCTGATCCTTCTCTGGCTAGTTCGTCAGCTCTTACGTCTCCTGGAGGCTGGAATTCCTGCATGTCCCGGGACCCACCTGACAGTGACTGAGTTTTTTGTCCTAGATTGTTAAGGTAGTTAATGGTATCAAGTACTAAGTTAAATGTGACCGTGTGGTGTGTGACTGCTAAAATTGCTGCCTGTGAATCCGAAAAGAATGTTATACTCCCAGGTTCTGTAATAGTGTTAGTTGCACAGTGAGCTGATGTGTTAAGAGCAAACAATTCACACTGGTATACAGTTGCCTGAGTGCCTAGGTGGAAACTTTGTCTCTGGACCTCGATTGAGTTTTTTATTACGCAGTAACCTAGTGCACCTGAGAACTGTTCTATTTTTGAACCATCTGTGAAAATAGCCCAATGTGATGTTGGGGTGATTCCGACCTGCTGTGTTTCTGCAGACCGCTCCTGTATTATTGTTTTAAACTTCCGATCCAAATCTGTGGTAGTTTTGGTAATGTCCGTGATTTTACATTTCATCGCTGGTATGGTTGAGATAGCTTTGAGTTTGTTCAACTTGTATGCATGGGACTTACAGTTTCCTGTTCTGCTAAACTGGTAGTTAGAATTCCAATTTCTGTTAATTTTAAGTCTCCTAGCTGAAAGTATGGCCAGTTCCTTGAGTTTTAGATCAATGGATTTGAATCCTGCCATGATTTCCAAGTTTTCTAGTGGTGTGCTTTTGAGTCCTCTTGATGTCATGATACTAGCGTGTCTCTGAATTACCTGCATCTTGGTCTTATGTATTGGGCTTCGTCTATTCTATGCTGCCATGCAAATGCAGCGTAACCTAGAGAAGGGAGAATAATTTGGTGATATATCCATCTCGTCCCTGTAGGGGTAATACCCCACGTTTTACTGACTGCTCTGTTACACGCCTGAAGATGTTGTACCGCTTTGTTACATTTCAGCTGAATATGCTTCCCCCAAGACAGTTTGTTGTCAATGGTTACTCCTAAATAGACTGTATCAGTTACCTGAGGAACCTGATTAATACCTACCATTAGTGGGTTAGTGAGCGTATTATCCCTTTTATTTGTAAAAAGAATTGCCTTAGATTTTAGCGCACCAAGTTGTACTTAAACTTAGATTTGTTCTTATTATGTTACTTTTTATTTTTTGGCGGTTGGTCATGAGCTCTGTCAATTTGTAGTTTATAGTTAATACTTATATTTATAGTGAAGATTGTGGGTGGGATATAACTACTGTATAAATCTTATCTCATTCCAAGGAATACAACTCGAAATATCAATGGAAGCTTAGAGAAACAATCAATATGCATTTATCGTGATGTATAACCTTTGAAAATCTCTTATCAGGGTAGTTCCATGGTTTTAAAGGGCACGATGCTAGCGTGCATCATACTGCTATGCCTTCAAGGGGTTCTTTTCGCAGGTCAGTAGAAAGATTTGTTGGTTAATGTAACTTGTGTTAGTAATAAGGTAATAGGAGATTCAAGAAATCTATTTATACTGAGATTTTTAGAACTGCTCTATTTCCATTCAGCCAGATAACAGCTGAATGAATTTATTTTAGAAATTCAGGAATTGTTCTTAGGAATTTATTTTCAGCTCGCCAAACATTTGTTAATAGTTTTTAGTTCAGGGTTTTTATAATTTTTGCAAATCGTAATTGAATTTCCGATATTGATTACCACTATATCTAACACCTGCTGACAAGTTTTTCTTTACAGATTGCCCAGCTGGAAGCTTCATGTCAGCTGACGGCTGTCAGCAATGTGGACTGGACCAGTACAGTGCTGCAGGAGCTACATCGTGCACCCCTTGTCCTGAAGGACAGTTATCAGTGAAGGGAGCCACTTCTATAAAAGAGTGTTATGGTGGTGAGTAATATACATAATGATATACATAAGATTTACTCAGTTTAGAGTTGTTACAATTTTCACAAACATAACATTATGCTTTATTCCTAGGTCTATGTCAAGTGGGCATCTTTAGACAACACCATTTAAGAAACTAAAATTATTTCAATTATTTACTTTATTTTAATTATTAATGTTATTTCAGAGGATGATGAAACGTCTCACCGTGTTATAGTGTACAAAGAAGAGCTCGGTACTACCATAGAGATAGTGACCAAAAAGGGTGAGCTTGCCAAAATTATCTTTAGCTTTAAAAGAGTAATTATTAAACCAAATTGCAAATAGGTGATATTTTTGATAATGTTTTATATTTTTGGCTTCTTACTTTTATTTTGTTTTTGAATAACGTGTTACGTGCTAAAACTTAGTTTGAATCTGCAGAGTTATTGTAAAAATATTACATATTTCAGGTTTTGTGACAGATAAGGGTAAGTTTTTATGTAAATGACGGTAAATTATTATGTAAATTATTGGTATCAACACATTACATTGATATCTATATTTATGTACTTAGACTTACCTACTGCCAGCAATCTGCGATAAGGCACATTTCTGCTCAACAATTAGTAAAACGGATACATCCCTATCATGTATCATCTTGATTCTTGGTGAACATTTTGAACAAGAATTTATAATATCATCATTTTTCAGAGGATCCAACCGATTTTAAACCAATCACCATTCATAAAGGTTTGAAATATTTTCTTTTTTTTCTTCTATTTTATCATATTTTTCTGCTTCCTACAACTTTACGTTTAGGAACCGACCGGTCTGGGATTTTGGCTGCCGGACCGGATTTTCCAGATATCAATCTATTTTATGGATAGCCAGATTTTACAGAACCGGATTTTAGGAAGGGGAAATATAATGCCGTAAGAAAATTTAAAATAATCCTTTTGTTGGGCTTTTATCAATTATAATACTAAAAGCCATGCGGAATTTCACTGTTCTCCTCGGATTCTGAAAGAGTTCGATCTGATTTTATTAAACTAAATTAGTTGAACTATTATACCGAAGGATCAAAACATATGTGAAATATCATATACTGAACACAGGAAGAACCTATCTTAAAAGTTCTTCCTGTGAAAATCTTCTAAAGTTAAATTGGGAAAAACGTGGTCTATCTCGTGCAAACTTTCCTAATGACCAGGGTCCCATACGGAATTACACAATAAGACATTGTTTACGGTCCGACCGTTTTCTTGATTTAATAATCGACAAATTTTTAAATAATATTCAATTTTCAATGCAAGTAGAAAGTTTCTTATGGTAAATTTCACAGTGTAGATTGAATTACAATATTTATAGTTTAACTTTAACTTACATTGCGTGCAGTCGATTAGTTGCACAAAACAATGATGCAGGATTATTAAGTTGCAGGATTATTAAGTTATTACTCCGCCGTAGATTGTAGAAGTTTTAAGAAGCTATAAAATCACATACGAACTTTTAATTCCATAATCGGATGTTCGAATAATCGAATATGTGATAATCTATAATATCTTAGCGCTCCCTCATCAGAATGCAAATATCTTGCAACATTTAAAAAATTAATTGCCGGCTCTTCTTTTGCCTTCTTTATCTTTATCTAGTACCATACCAAAGTACCAATGGGCAAATATTCGGTCAATCACGGTCTACAAAAAGTCATTGCAGTTCATACAAATGATTTAAATTTTGTTTATTTAAAATGATTGGTGTTAGAGACCCTAAAAAACTATTTATAGTTTTTTATAAAACAAAGTCATCCTCGACATTATTCACTACGTATACGATATGCAGCGATCCGATCAAAAAGTGAACAATGCAATTTTCAAACAACCCCAATTTTAGGGTTCGTGTGCCCAGAGGGAGAAACAAAGTGTGGCGATGTTGACGAATGTGTTCCCAACAGTGGTCTGTGTAATGGCGCTGCTGCGTGCTCAAACGGCTTTGATGAATCGCCGGAACTTTGTGCAAGTATGCAGAGATATTCCTAAATACTTAAATACTGTTTTAGTGTTTTATGAGGTGGTATTATAAAGTTATAAGTGTTATATGTAAATAAGATTTATTCATTAGATAGAAATTAGAAATATCGGGTAGGAGAGTTAGAATTAACCCAAATATCAGGGACACGAATGACTACTCCAGGATTTAAGAAACTAAACTTTCAACACTGAAAACATTCAGATTCTTGCCACAATTAGTAAGATACATCCTAGTCAGTATCTCCTGATTCTGTGAACCTTAACAAGAATTTTAAAATATTTTCAGAGATCCAAACCGTTTAACCAATCACATCATAGGTTTGAAAATTTCTTTTTCTCTAAATTTAATAATTGATTCTACCTTACGTTTAGAACGACGGTCTGATTTGGCTGCGAGATTTCAGTAATCACATTATGGATGACAGATTTTAGCAAACGGTTAGAGGGAATTAATGCCGTAAGAAATGTAAAATAATCTTTGTTGCTTTTATCAATTATAATACTAAAGCCATGCGAATTCTACTGTTCTACCGAATACTGAAAGGTTTCGATCAAGTTTATTAAAATTAGTTAGACTTTATACCGAAGGTCAATACAATGTGAAATATCTATACTATCACTAGAAGAACTATCTAAAAGTTCTCTACCTAGTAAATCTTCATAAAGTTAATTGGAAAAACGTGGTAATCCGTGCAACTTTCTATGACGCCATACGGAATAACAATAAATACATGTTTACAGTCCGACCCGTTTTCTGATTAATACGACAAATTTTTAAAGTATATCAATTTCATGCAATAAGTTTCTTATGAATTTCACAGTGAAAATGAATAAATATTAAGTTTAACTTAACTACATGCGGCAGTCGATAGTGCCAACAATATGAGCGGATTATGTAATTGCAGATTATAAGTTATTACTCGCGCGGAATGATTGCTAGTTTTAGAAGCATAAAATATGACGATTTAAGTTCCAAATCGATGTTCGAATAATCGAAAGTGATAACTATAATTTAGCTCTATTCAGAATGCTAAATATTTGCAAAATTTGAAAAAATTATTGCCGGCACTTTTTGCACTTCTTTACTTATCTAGTACATAATACCAATGCATATTGGTCATCCGGTTTAGTTAGCAACAATTTGATAAATTTGGTATTTAATAAATGGATGTTTAGACCTAAATAGTTTAAGTTTTTTTAACAGCACTCGACATTATTCACTACGTATACGTATCCGATCGATCAAAAATGAACATATTCAATTTTCAAAACCCAATTTAGGGTTCGTATGCCGAGGAGAAACAAAGTTGGCGATGTGACAATGTGTTCAACAGTGGTATGTTAATGCGCACTGCGTGCTCAACGGCTTTGATAACGCCGACTTGTGCAAGTATGCAGAATTTCTGAATCTTAAATACAGTTTTCAGTGTTTTTAGGTGTAATTATAATAGTTTATAAGTGTTTATGTATATAAATTTATTCATTAGATAGAAATTAGAAATATCGGGTAATTATTTTTGACGATGGAAAATAGTTGAACACTTCACCAGGTTATCAGTGCCCGGCTGAATACGAAAAGTGTGCGGACGGACTGCAATGTTTTCAATCAGCTGGAAAATGTGATAAATATAAAGTTTCTCACTGTAACGATAAGTCCGACGATATGGGCTGCGATTGTAAATTGAACGAAATGATGTGTGCTGACGGAAATGGATGTGCTCTCGTTTTGAAAAAGTGTGACGGTCAAGCACAATGTGCTGACGGGTCCGATGAGAGTGACGACATTTGCTATGGTTAGCACTAAATTATTTGACATAATATTTGACATAATATTCAACATGATATTCACACATTTCCATAGTCATCCTAATCATATGGTAGTTTTGTTAGACAATTTGAAACATTTGAGATTTGCAATGAAACGGCAGATTTCCTAGGTTTAGATTTGTTCGGCACTGCTATTATTCATTATTCGATAAAACATATTTAACATATTTATTATGTTCAAACTAGATTTGGGTGTATGCTCGAAAGGCACGAAATTGTGTACCAGTGGTAACCAGTGTATTTCTATTGCAACAATGTGTGACGGAACTGTAAACTGCGACGATGGATCGGATGAAGATTCTGACTTCTGTACAGGTTTGTGGAGGTATTATTTAACTTAATTAACTGTTTTGTTCATATTGGCTATCATTTAACTTTGATTAATCAAAGAAATCAAAGTACATTTTAGTTTGTCAAATTCGTGTCCACTTTACATTTAATTAGTCAATAGATTACTGTATTTAATTTTCATAACTGCAGAATACGAGTGTCCGCCTTATCAAAGAAAGTGTGATGGTAATAAATGTCTGCCCCAATGGAATCTGTGTGACTCAGAGCCAGACTGCGAGGACGAGTCAGACGAAGATCCTGCCTTCTGCGCTGGTAAGCAGATTATTTTAACAATATTAAGCTATATAAATTTAGAATTATGAATTATAAATCAATAATAAATAATAAATAATAAATAATGAATAATCACTTTACCAGCCTACGAGTGTCCGGCAGCCAAAAAGAAGTGTGCGGACGGTATACAATGCGTTCCTAAGAAACTCTTCTGTAATGGTAAAGCAGAGTGCACCGACGGGTCAGATGAGTCCGAGGAAGAATGCGCAGGTTCGTAGAATAATTATTGAAATTTGAAATAATATTTGAAGTATGGAAATATTGAGATTTGATTTACGAATTGCAACAATGAAACAAAAACGAGTTTATGTCGGTTTCTCTGATTTTAATGTATTTTTCAATGCAGAGAAAAAAGGAGGAGGTAAAAATGTGATTGAGAAAGGGAAAGGAACAAGGATCCCAAAGAGAGGTCAGTATAGCACATTAATTATAGTTAAAGTTCTTAATAGTATATTAAGTTCAAGTCAGGGTACATTAAAACCATTCAAAACTTTTAACATTACATATAAAGAGGCCTTTTTAATCCGGTTTTTAATTTTTATGAACCGCTTATCACTATGAACTTGCTTGCGTTTGCATAACTATAAGCAAACTCCATGCAAAGTTGTTTAACAGTAATGATCTCGATTTGTTGTGACGGATTTGGAACCTTTAATTAATATTCAATTAAAAAACAAGTTCACATAAAATCATTTCTCAGAAAAAGAAGAGAGAGTTATAAAATTGACGAAGGAGGAAAAGCGTAGAAAGTTAGAACAACAAGAGAAGGAAGATAAAGTCCCAGAGCCAGAGCCAGTAGTCCCAGTAGAGCCAGAGCCAGTAGTACCAGTAGACCCAGAGCCAGTAGTCCCCGTAGAGCCAGAGCCAGTAGTCATAGTAGACCCAGTCCCAACTGCCACTTCATGTAAGAATATGACGTGTTATAATTTTCTAAATATTTTTACACAAAATCATTTGTAATTGATTCTGGAATTAATGTATACTGTATATAGCGTTTCAAGAAGATTTCTTAGATGATTAATTAAATAATTAATCGGATGGTATTCAAGCCTTAAGTTACTTTTTGAATTATTCCCACAGGATTAATTTCACAGAATTTAAAAATCTTTGTTGGAATAAAAGTTACTGAATAACACTATTCCAGATTTCACGGAGTATGCCACTACATCATCGTGGATAACACTTGGAGGTCCTGGAAAATGTGAGTGCCCCAGCCCCCAATCCCCATTATTTTAATTCTTCCTTTTTCATGGCTTGGCTCAGTTGGTTAATCTGCCTGCTTGTTAAATACAAGGTACCAGGTTCAATTCCCAATTTTCAGCTTCCCACTTAATTGGCTGGTTACACTTGTGTAACAATGTGGCGGTTGGATTGTCCGAAATAAAATGAGAGTTAGATAAAATGCAAGTGATGCACGTACCTTTAGTGACGTATATTGAAAAAAATTAATCAATTAATATCCTATTATATTCCATATTGATCGAATGATCATTTCCATTTCTAATCCTATGCAACCCTATGCATATCAGTATCACTTATAGTTATGCAAGCTGACACGGATCTGTGCATAATACTATAACGAAATGAAGTGCAAAATATTTACATATTTACATATCCGCCACTATAGACTTTATACAGTAAAACCCCGATTTACCGCAAATCTCAATTTAACCCCAATAGTCTGCGGTAAATAGGGTTTTACTTACTTCCGTTTCCTATTGAGTGAATCCGTGCGTGGTGATATGGTTCAATTTGACAATTCTTGACATTTAGCTCACCACTGATTTTAATAACATTCTCATTCTGAGATTGTACGCAAAATAATTTTTGGATTGTAATCATTTGGTCATTGTAACTGATACTAACGTCAAGACAACTAAGCCAGGATGAAAAACAAACGGTGACAAACAAAGCTTCAGGCTTTGTACACAATATCAAAGAAAGTGACACTTAAGGTATACTTAGAAACGATCAAATTTATTGACTTAATTGATTTTTGGCTAGCTTGAGTCATGCGAATCGGCAATAACACATTTTAGCTTAATCGCATATATTTAGATTAAAAAGCTGGATTGCTGACCAAGAATGCGGCTTACCTGCACAAACCAGTATTGCATCAACACGCAAAGGAGTACTTCGACGGCTCAAGTATTGAGGTACGTATAGCACACAAGAAAAAGTCAGATTCACCATCTTCCTGATTTAAACGTGTGGAGATCACCTCTGGACAGTTCCAGTGAGATTGTGCAAAATCATACCTCTCGGCTTATCCACTTCACACACAACGATAACGGCAAATAGATAGCTTGCAATGACTATGACTGAACTATAGCATCAACGATGGGTTGTTGACTTAGTGTTGAGGTGAGATCTTGTACAACTCAAATGCAAAATGCGCAAGCATATCGAGACGTGAAGACTTTTTTTCAACGGAATACTGCAAGAGCAATATAGTGTATATGTAAGAACTCTCAAAATGTGTTGTGGAGTGATAAATGTGGGACGATGTACGAACTTGAATCAAGTAATTTGTTTCAAGAAAATGGGACAGAACTGTTGAGGAAAATGTCGTGATAATGTGCGCATACAAGCTTCAAATTGGAAATACTAGAAATGCTTTGAATTACAGGATGTTATTAGCTGGTAGAACATTGATAATTCCTAAATGTTTTGGAGACATTGTTAAATTAAATTTTATAATATTCACCAGTGTCAACTGTCATCTTTAATTGAAGCGATAATAAATAATGTAGTAACATTGTGGATCTGATAAAAATGACTTGTAGGTAGAATAATAAAATTCTCCGAACAACGCTGGTAATATTCAGTTAAAATCGTCTGAACGAAACTCTATTTTAAGGGACTTATGACGTTGTGTTGGGATTGTGTATAGTGACGATAATGACATAATTGACGACCTCAGCTCTCAAATACTTGACTAGCAAAACTTCTGTTCACCCATGCAGTCAGTTCACGTGGATCTTATAATCAACACTTAAAACGGATGTTCTATACATTATACATCTACAGTTTTAATGACTCTAAAAATATCTAATAGAAAGAAAGTATTAGAATCACCTCACATCGATTGATTTGCAGGATGTAATTACGTATCAAACGCGCTCGCGGCGGAATATTCTAGACTCATAAGTACAAGACCCATAGGCGGAAAACACATTAATATCGCATGCACTAGGTAGCAGTACAAAGCAAATTCAGCGCGGCACACAGCATTCACTGTGTCATAAATGTGAAACGCGAGATTCTAATTTTGACGTATTGTATCTTTAATATCTGAAATACTAACTTATCGAGAGCTATAAATAGCTTGGACATTATAAACATAAATAAGTTCGACATGTCTAGTTTTGCTTTGGTGAGATTTATAACTAACGTTTGATCAAATTCTGCTTTCCAGGCCAAATATGGCTCCAAATAATGGCAAATAATGGCAAATATGGCAAGTAAAGATGTATACTGACTAAGAACTAAGCAGAATACTTGATAAAATTCTAAGTCAACGATTACAAGTTGCATTGATTAAATCATTCTGAAATAACAGACAATCAAGAATCAAGACGGACGATAATATTGTTGATGTAAATTAGGGTGTGCAGTGTATAATGTGGACTGATAAATAGACAATCATGGCGCCACAGCTCTATACTATTCAAATTTAACAACCAGGAAATTCTTTCACCTTATCGCAGATACAGATTATACGATAAGGACTGTGATGTATAATCAACACTTAAACGGATGTTCTATACATTATACATCTACAGTTTTAATGACTCTAAAAATATCTAATAGAAATAAAGTATTAGAATCACCTCACATCGATTGATTTGCAGGATGTAATTACGTATCAAATGCGCTCGCGGCGGAATATTCTAGACTCATAAGTACAAGACCCATAGGCGGAAAACACATTAATATCGCATGCACTAGGTAGCAGTACAAAGCAAATTCAGCGCGGCACACAGCATTCACTGTGTCATAAATGTGAAACGCGAGATTCTAATTTTGACGTATTGTATCTTTAATATCTGAAATACTAACTTATCGAGAGCTATATATAGCTTGGACATTATAAACATAAATAAGTTAGACATGTCTAGTTTTGCTTTGGTGAGATTTATAACTAACGTTTGATCAAATTCTGCTTTCCCGGCCAAATTTGGCTCCAAAGAAAGTGTGATAAAACATTAATCACATGCCTTCTCATGCGATATCAACATTTTCAAAACTCGGCAAGCCTCGTGATTGAAAATGTCGATATAACCCTCGGCAAGCCTCGGGAAATATCGAAACTTTCGCTAACTCGGCAAGCCTCGTGGGCGAAAGTTTTGATATCGCATGAGAAGGCATGTGATAAATGTATAATATTCCATATTGATCGAATGATCATTTCCATTTCTAATCCTATGCAACCCTATGCATATCAGTATCACTTATGCAAGCTGACACGGATCTGAGCATAATACTATAACGAAATGAAGTGCAAAATATTTACATATTTACATATCCGCCACTATAGACTTTATACAGTAAAACCCCGATTTTCCGCAAATCTCAATTTAACCCCAAACTCCGCGGTAAATTGGGGTTTTACTGTACTTCCGTCTTCCATAATTGAGTGGAATCCGTGCGTGGTGATTGGTGAAATTTGACAATTTGCTTGACCAGTTTAGCTCCACGCACCGATTTAATAATTCAGTCTCAATTCAGAATATCACGCGAAAAATAATTTTGCGAATATTTAATCATTGAGTCATTGAAACTATACTAAACGGTCAGAGACAACAGCTACAGCCAGGATGAAAAACAAACGCGTGAGCATGAACACAAGCTAGGCTATTGTACACAAACTCAAAGAAAGTGAAACACCTCAAGTTAGCTAACCCATATTTTTGACTTTTTGTTTTTTGTGCCTACGGCATTTGAGTCATGGATATCGGCAAAAACATCGTTTGTAGCCAATAGAAATACTATTTCAGATGGTAAGAAGTCCTGTGATTGCTGGACCAAGGAATGCGGCTTCTGCACAAACCCAGATTGCATCAACACGTTCAAAGGAGGACTCGACGGCTCCACAGGTATTGGAGTACGCTCATTAGTCCACAAGAGAAAAGTCAAGACCATCTTCCTGTATAAAAGTGATGGAGCTACCTGCGGACAGTTCCAGTGGAGTCTGAACAGGATCTCCCTCTCCGGCTGTATCAGCTGTCACACACCTCAACGCATAAGGGACAAGATTAAGGAGCTAGGCAATGGAGCTATTGACTGGAACTTTGCCATCAACGATGGGGTTGTTGAGCTTAGTGTTGAGGGTGAGATCTTGTACACCTCGAAGCTGACAAGACAATGCGCGAAGGCATACGGAGACGTGAAGAGCTTTTCTTTCACCGGAATGAACTGCAAGAGCATGTTCGTGTGGGTGATTGATGGTATGGACCTCTCATCTGTGTGTGGTGGAGCTGATAAATGTGGAGCGGATGTAGCACGTTGAATACAAATTAATTTGTTTTCAACGGACAAATGGACAGTAAACTGTTTTGAGGTTAAGATTTGTAGTGCCCATAAAGCCCCGTAATTGGAAAATACTAGAAACTTTTAATTTAAGAATTGTTATTAATGTTTAGAACAGTTAGAATAGATTCCCTTTATATTTTTGGAGACATTGTTTAAATTATTTTATAAATAAAATCAACCGTGTCAACTGTCATCCTTTTAATTTGACTAAAAATATGTTATACCATTTGTTGGACGATAAAAATGACTTAGGTGGGTGATGAAATTAAAAAGTAAATCATCGCAAACCGCTTTGGTACTAATTAGGTAAAATCCGCTGGACGAAACTCTTTATTTTAAGGGACTTATGGACCGTTTGTTGGGAGCATTTGTTACTTAGTAACATACATCCCGACATGACTGACGGACTCTGCTCCAAAACTTTGCACTGCAAAACGTTCTGTCTTCACCAATTTCACGTTGGATCTTCATAATTCCAACGGTGAAAAAAAACGAGTTCAAGTCAACGTCTTAAATTAAATGTATTTCTAATGCATTATAGTGCGATTTCACAAAAACGATAATTTTTCTAAATCACTAGAAATATGACGAAATTAACCTATGTTTTACCATGTTCAGCCATCAGCATGTTACGATGTTAACATATTGCTGCCTCATAATAATATTTGGCTGGGGGAGCGGGTGGTGAAGTGGTAACACGATCCAGTCCCATGCAGAAGGTCCCGGGTTCAAATTCGGTCTGATGCAAGTCGTCCAGTCACAAAGCTGTGATTTGGTAGAGTATCAGATGGTGAGTGGTGATTCATACTCCCTGTCTCATAGGACTAACCCCCCTACAGCTAGTATAATACTAGTATAGTGCCTTGGCACAGAGTGGTTTAGGGTAACTGAAACGGGGATAAGCACCTCAGGCATCCCAACACCGGGAAAGACATTCCCTTTTATCTGAATCTCGTTATTTGATTATAATGTTTGTGGCTGCTACACGGTTTTATCATGTTGATTGATCAATAGTACGTAATATAGGGTGTCTCAGCTAATAATATATCAATATTTGCTCAATTTCACGCATGCTGAGATATCATCAAGAGTAGGTAACCTGGAGGCATGACTTTTTAACGGAACAATTGTCGAACATGTAGGTAATTTTCATGCGTACCCATCCTTTCAACTGGACAGTGGACACTCAAAATAATGGTCAAACACGGCAGCGAGGCCGAGGGGTCTGTATTATTATTTATTCCGTCACAATCACAATGTTAATAGTGTGGCAATGTAAAGGTTTCCATGCCGACCGTATTTAGGCGATATCTTATCAGCCGCTTAAGATATCGTTATGGTACATAGTTTGCCTAAAGAATGAGACGATTATTTATAGACACAATGATAGATGTAATTTCTTAGTCATAGTGTGATCACCAAATTACCTACACCGTGCTTTTTAATAAACCTTTTTTTACTAAAATTTACCAATATCCTAAACTTCAAATAAACGTTTTCTTATATTCATGAGATCGAGTTGTTTTATTTTATAGATATGATTTTGAATAAAAATTAGACAAGAGTTTCAATATGACAAGTTATAGCAAATAGTTGACTGATTAAACTGTTTTCAAATTTTTAGCCAAAAATCAACTTTTTCAAACTAAAACTATACACCGACTAAGAAAATTAAGCAAACTTAACGAAACTTCGTATGCTTTTTAAAGATGGTGCTGAAAGAAAAATGTTTCTACGAATCAACTATGGTTATGATATTAGAAAATCATGAAATAATCATAATATTAGGAAAACTAAAACCTCGGTTGAAACATGAGCGCATATGAGAAGTGGATAAAACCATTAAAATCAATGCCCACAAATAACACACATTCTGTTCCAGACAGACAAATTTTGGGCAAAAAATTATCACATGCACAATCGCATTATATATATGAGGAACTTTTCAACAACCCCTTGAAAGAGCTTTTGCACAATGTTCAACAAATATACATTGGATGCTTTTTTTCTCTTTAAAAACTACGTCACGTTACCATGGCATTACTACGATAAAATAACTATTTGTTAAAATAACACGTGGCGCTAAAAAAGATAAAAACTTGTTAGCTATTTCATAGCAAGAGATCAGAGGATGATAATTTCAGTTTTTTTCATCGTTTTCACATTTTCTTGAGAGATTTTGTTCATAACCTATCAGGATGACATTTATCTGAGTACGTCTAAAGAACTAAGAAAAACTACATAAAGAGCAGAGATGTAGTGAGATAGTTGAAGGACTGGAGGAGGATAGAGAGGTGGTGTGGAGGAACCGTTCTTTCATTTGCGACCCCATGGATTACCGCCGCCTGGGGCGAGCTTAATGTCTGATCCTGGGGAAGATTGGGTTAGAGTACACTTCGGTTATTTCAGCAGTGTGAATGCGCGCAGAACAAATTACCGTGTGTTTTTAGCAGAGTTTGATACTCAAGACTGAAAACAAACAAACAAAAATCAAATTAAATTTTGTTTTCGCTCTCTTGAGTGGGTCGATCATAATAGATTATACTGCACTGGAGACGAAATGAGAGTGTCCACTCACTGCGAATAGTTTACAGTGAGTACCGAGTGAAGACTCTCATTTTGTCCCCAGTCATCTCAAACAAACAAACTGATAAGCTAACAAACAAACTGATAAGCTAACAAACCTATGAGCTCCTCCTCCAGATCAACGCTATTATCAGCTTCCAATTCCTCTGCTCCTCCCAGTAATACGTCTTCGCTCTCCACCAGAATGCTGAAGGGAATATTGATTAATAACCCTAATTATGTTAGCTAATAATAATATTAATGAGGGACGTCAATGACTATTTGACTTATCAAGCTGAGAATTTATCGTCGATTGAATATCGACATGAAAATGAAAGCTAAGACTTTGAAGTATACTAGGGAGTAAAATTGAAAGTAAAAGGGAGAGTGAAAGTGAAAGTGAAAGTGAAAGTGAAAGTGGAGAACATACCTTTTGGATTGTGCCAGTACAATGACTCCTAGGATGGTCAGAAGAAGTGCCATAGATTGCTTCATGATGCTAGTGCTATAAAACTGCGTGATGTCAGGTTAGTAATTCATCCCAATATCAAGTATTTCAACTTAAAGATTATTAATAGTACTGGTAATTAATGATGAAATGTCATATTATAAAATGAAATCTACGGTTACAATTGTGGTAAATAGCTCTTTTTCGGGGAAAAGAGTGTCAAATCAATAAGAAGTAATGGTGAAAAACCAGGTACAATACAAAACTTTAAAATAAAAGTAAAAAGGTACACCAAAAGTTATTGCACGGGGTCGGTAGAAATTCGTTATACCAGAGTTAGTGCATATAGGTAACAATTTTGCAATAGTTCCGCCAACATATAAACCTCCACTCTGGGAGAGGAGCTCCCAGAAGGATTAAATGCAGAATCTACATACCGGGGGTAATATTACCATGAAGTATGGTAGAATGAAGTAATCAAGTATTTAATTGCGCCTACTCCTGCTTACTTCACATAATAGTGAGTGGGATAGGGGGAAATGGGGACTGCTTAGCGGGGGGTTGGGTTCACTAACCTTATACACCACCTACCAATGGAGTTCTACACAACTGTATACACCCTGTTCCGGTCCAGGTTTATTTTCGTGGGGCTGATTGGAGGGAAATGCAAGACGTAATGCTTGACATCTACAACCAGAGGAACCCCAATAGACGTTAGTCACTAATGACGGACGTAGCCTCCCAATAGGGAGGTAAAGTGGGTGCCCCAACATAAAAAAAAAAAAAATGCTTGACAATGTTTTCCCCCTTATTTGCTTACCGAGGTCCGGTAAGGGTCCGAATTTGGGTTTGATGATATTATGATAACAGAATATCGGGATTTAAAATATTTCTGAGCTATTTTATTCATTACGAAACGTGGGATGCTCCAATACTATTATTCTCTATACTTTTATTCCCTTTTAATTAAGCCGTTAGAAGGGGGGAGGGTGGGAAGGGCGTTTTTAATAAATAGACATAGGCATCTAATTCAAAGCCGTATTTTATCAATAAGCCTCGACCAAAATCTAAAGCCCAAATGTTCAAAATTAAAGCAAAACCATGACGAAGTTCTTTAATGCTAACTGCTATAATCCAACTTAAAGATCATCTAATCAACCTGCATAAACTTAATAAACCGCAAAATTTTCTACGTTAATCTTTGAATACAATAGTCAGCGTCAGTCAGGCCGGCATTTATTAGCTCCCAACATTGGTATCCTGATCAGGTCCTCCTACCACGTGTCATGACGTCACACCACGTGACTCGCCCAGGTGACGTGACGTCACACCGCGAGTGACTCGGAGACTACCCTCCAGCACGTGGGCGGGAGACTACTCTGCAGTCTAGGTAGTCTAGCTGACCAGGTTAGTCATAACATTAGGACCTAAGAGCATTGACCTGCACATCCTAGTCTAGACCTCAGTAATCAACCAGCTGATCAGACATAATACCCAATTATTAAAGTACAGATAATATTATTCCCAACTAAAAACGAGAAAGCAGATAAAAGAAGTGGTATTACAAAACGGCTGGTATTAGTAATGTAATATTTAGATAAAGTATAGGATTGCGGTGGTGGGTTTGGTGAATCTAGACCATGCAAGTTGAACGGAATAACCTGCACAAATCCTGCCGTTTTACTCGACCTCTAAACATATAACTTGACGTAATAAGCAATGTAGTCTTCAAAAATATACGCTTGCGGTATACTGTAGTTTCGGCGGGGAAATTGCGAGGGTAGTTATCAAACCGTTAATGCTTTCTAAGCGGAAAAGAATTATGGAAGCCTCTAAGAGAAGGGTATTTTCTTTAGCGAATATACGCAAATCTGGTAGAAGCAAGTTCTGGTAGTTTAAAAAAGCTCTTTTAAATGGACCAGTATGGAGGTAAAGAGGTAAAGGAGCAGGTTGTTATCAGCACCTTTTTGAACAATGATAGGTTCTAAGTAATATATATTGCTTCGTTTGATGAGAGATTGACGCATTTACTTTATAAAATTGTAAGGACTTATGATGAGACATCAAAAATCTTTTCAATGGGTGTTATTTTAATTGTTATCCAATAATATTGAAGTCCAACATGGCATTATCTTGATGAATGTTAAAGAATTCTGACCTTTATACCTATAGAATCTCGAGTTCAATTAGTCGGATACAAAAAATTATGTATGATATCGGAGGGTGCACAAGAAATTCGTAAATAGTCGAAAAAGGCATCAAATATAATTATCATAACAGTCTCTACTGCAAATGTGAGACCAGAATCCTGTACTCAGCTGCAGGACCAAAACCCTGTACATAACTTCACTGTTCCCCATAAACCCCCTCAAGATCCTATTTATAAGGAAACTAAATACCTCGATAACAATACCACTTTGCAAATTTAAATGGGATCAAAGTGACTAATTCTGACGCAATTAGGGGAGACGCAGTGAATAATGAGTCATTATATGATGACGTCACAAATTACTATTATTACTATCGATGACGTCACGAATTACTATTAGTCGAATATAGCTGATTTGTTACAATAACGATGCTAATCAACACGCGTTGTAGGTACCGATACATTTAAACTTGGTCATTAAGGAGAATACAAATCGGTCATATTTATCCAAAATGAGAGTTACACAACCAATTCTGTTAGCACAACCAGTTTAACTGCGCCATCATCTAATTTAGATTCCCTACAATCACGTACTTGCACGAAATGATTTGCTATTAAGCTTTTAGAAGAGGCGACCAAGATTTAAAATTTGCGCTTGGACGAGAAGTAAGATTGTATATCGTGACTGATCGGGGATTACCATCTGCAGGGCGGGAGACTACTCTGCAGTAGTCTACAGTGCCGCCCTGATGTTTCTTCCCTGTCCTACGGATCTACCCTCCCATTGCCCCTCCTGGAGACTGGTTGATAACTCCACCCGGACACTGATCGCATTTAATGGCAATCAAGCTGAATTACCAGCCTCTACGACCACGCGATTATCTGGTGTCGTCACGGGAATAATTCGTTAACCGTAACAGAAAGTAATACGAACGCTCCAACTCGGATTATTCCATGTAATTAGCGAGGCTAAACTCCCTCCCCTCAGTGCAGGAATTAACCTGGAGAGGGTTGGGTTGATACAGCTCCTATCACAAGTATCGTGCTGCTAGACTGCCTACTTCACAGTCCTACGTCCTACCAACACGGACAATTTCGTATAATACGACTCACTTATAACTGGAATAAGTTTCGAGTCATTGATAAATATCTTATGACTTCACTTAAGACCAACTTAACACAGCTCCACAACACAGAAAGCGAAACGTTTTCTGAAGTCGCGCTGCATCACAGACTTCGACCAATCCTGAACTGAAGGAACCATTTGGAGTTCCGATCGCTGTGATTACCGGCACTCGTCGGACAATAGCCGAATTGTAAATCTCATCAAGAGCACATGCATTATGCATAACCATTATGATAACGCTCACTTCCCATGCAAATCTTGCTATACAGAGCCGGACTAAAAGTATTTTTACATGCATATTGATAGCCAGGAGCTATTATAATTGGAATACTTCATTGTAATTGGGAGTATTTCATTGTGATAGTTTCCCTCACGTGACACTCCACCTTTGTGGAAGAGTCTGGGAGTTCCCCGAAGAGATGATACCTCTGGCACCACCCCAAATAGTTAGAGAGTTAGAGTATCAGTATGAACTAGGAGACTCTAACTGGACGGCGTTCAGCCTGTCATTCCGCCGAATCTTTATTCGAATATTTAGCCGCATATTCATATGTTTATGAATATTATATGCCTGGGGTCCCCAGGTAACTCAAACAGTTGTCTTCAATATCATTGTGGAATGTGGATACTTACCAGAGACCTTGTGCACAAGCTCCCCCTGCTTAAGACAACCTCATCATCAAATTAACCATGTTACGATTAACAAATTCCTTTGTAAAGAATCCATCGTCTAGTTCAACCAAATATTATGTCCTAATGCCCTTCTTCACCCCGATTCCCCTCCTTGATAGTAACCAAGCTGATACCAGCAGAAGGATTAACCAGCTCAATTAAAATATAACCCTTCCTACCAGATTGTCTAGTTTTACCTAACTGTGGGGTGTGTACATGTGCGCAAGTCTGTGTCATGAGTACTCCTAATCCCCCCCTCTATTAATATTCGACCTTATACTGACCCCCTGGTATTGTCCTCCACTAACATGATCCTCGTCAGGGAACACAGCTCTCTCGGGAGACCAACATTTGGGGAATCAGGGAATACAAATTGTTAACAATATTTGTAAGCTGCCAAAAAATGGTAAGAGTGAAATCCGGAATATTCGTGCGCAGAGTTGAATGAAAATCTCCAAACTATTTGCAGGATCCCATTAAAATCTGGCCTTAAGTAGGATGGAAATGTGGGAGAACTAGCCAAATTTAGGGCTAAATGTTACAACCATAACCTTAAACACTTCCTTGAACAACGGCGAACGGTTGCAGTTTTGTAATCGCGCTATTTACAACTATTAACAATACTACGGTAATAGCTCTACCCGAGCATGCTATTCACTGCTAAATCATGCTCTACAGTCGATCTTCGAGATAACGTGTTTAAAAAGTCACGTGACAGTCGAGCGTGGAGTGATAAATCATCATCCAGTTCTACCGGGTATCACAATCATCAAGCCATTAAGCTCTCAGCCATCCTATTGGACCTGGATTAATAAGAAATATGAACTTGGTTGTTGACGTGAAAATCGACCTTTAAAAGTTTAACGACCACTGTAATTTTCCAAAATTCTTACTCCAACCAATCAAACTGCAAGAATTCAGTTAGATCGGCTAATTTCGTCATCTCAATAATTGGCCTAATAGTAATATCATTTAGTGATCAGTAATTAAAGTTTGCAATCCTAAGTTGATCAGCAACTTTATTATAAACGTCCGGCCAACGCTCCTAGGTGCTTAAATACCTAACAAACGCCAGCTCTGTTACTATGTATATGGCTGTTTCTCAGCTAAAGACGGAT